TAAAAAACGATTGCCAAAGGCTTTCGAGCCAACATTGGTCAAACTTCATACGTTACGTTGGGTTGTGAAGGTATTTGTACGTTTTGAGAACAGAAGATGGTACAGTAATGCTATTAAAGAAAGAAGAAGAAGAAGTAGAAGAAGAAAAAGAAGAAGAAGAATAGCAAATATTTTAATTGTATAAAACTAATAAACATGAAAGTGTAATTTAATTTGTACATGTAATTATGTATGTAAGAACTGAAGAGAAGATGCGTTTTGTGAAGATAGGGTAGAAAGCCTATTAACGGGTGGAACAAAACAAGTACTCAATGAGTTACACTAAGCACAAAGTGACTCCCAAAAATCTAATAATTGTAAATAAAACAAAATCTAACCGCATTAAGCTTAAAAGAAAAACTCCCAATCTGCCCCGTTCTGATTAACTTCAAGCCTTTTATGTAGAAAGATCATGTAAATATAAGATCTGCATTAAAGTATTAAATCGCGGGAAACCTCGAGGAAACCGAGCTCAAAAAATATTTTTTTGAATTTCCTGCCGAATTGACATTGTGTTTCAAGCTTGTAACTTTGTCATTTTTTGACTTTTAATTATTTTTTAAATATATTAGTAGAATACATTTAAATGAACCTACATTTTTAAATTCGTAAGCGTAGCTTGCCTGAAAAGTCAAAAAAGGGCTTGAAACACAATGCCAAATCTGCCAAATTGGCGAAAATTTCAAACATTTAAATTTTAAAACTCAAAAAGAGCAAGCTAAAATTTTTTATGGGTACTATTGGTAGTACAAGAAATTCAAATAAAAATTTTGAGCTAATTTTGAGCGGGACGGGTAAATATACTTCTTTCCCTGTTAGCCCAAGTAAATTTAGCCGCTTAAGCTTATATATATTATGTTTTTACAGAACAACCAGGTCAACCCTACAAAAAAATCTAAAAAAAATTTTTTTTTGACAGCCGGGCTAGTCCGAAATGAGAAAAATTAAAAAGATCGAACCTAAACTTTAGAATCCGGGCCTGGGTCAGGCTTCAAACGTACGCCCGGCTTGTTTCTCACCCTAATTATTTAAAATAAATGTGTTTTTTCATAATTTGAAAGCCACTTTTTTTGATAATGTTAAAGCCACGTAAGATGAATTAAAATATACAACTCTCTTTGCTTATTATTACGAGTTGCCTGAGCTGTGTCGAAACGTAGAAGAAGTAGCCAAAAGTGTGTATGCAATCAAAGATCAAACATACAGAGATATGTCTTTCAATGGCATGGTTATAAAAGCCGAAGAATTTGAAGGAAATTGTGTAAGTTAACAACGCAACGTTTTACTTGTTTTGAAATTAATGTAGCGTTCGATTCATCGATTTTTATATTTACAAAGTGCGCCAAAAGTTCTGTTACAAAACTTTACCGGTCGTTTTCTCTACGTTTTATACATTAGGTTGGCCCAAAAGTATTATAAATTATAAAACCTTGTGGTTGTTAACATGCTAATTTTCAATATTCATTAATTTAGGTGCAACAAGGTTATGATAAACAATGTGTAGCGTGCGGCAAAGCACTTGCCAAAGGCAGTCAAGCAAATGTTGGTCAAAGTTCATACGTTCCGTTGGGTTGTGAAAGTGCTTGTACGGTTTGAGAACAGAAGATGGTAAAGTCGAGTAACTAAAGAAAGGAGAAGAGTAATAAAAAATATTTTAATAGTATTTGAAAAACTAATAAACTTATGAAAAGTACAAATTATTATCTACAGAAAAAGTACGTAACCTACCTCGCTCAGAATCAGTTCAATATTTTTATTAGAATGATCCAAAAAGAGCCGGTCACTTTACATCGTACTTAACCTGTTAGTTTATGTATAATCTTTGACTGAAAAATAAATAGTGAGTGACCGGCTCTTTTTGCTTCAACCTAATACTTTTAAATATTTTTTAACATGTACTACTATAGGTACTATTATGCATTTTTTTACTACCATACATACTACAATAATTTTTCAAATTGGTGCTTACTTTTCAAGACCAACCTTACAAATCAAAATAAAGTTTTGAGCCTGGAATTTTAGCTCAAGGCTGGTCAGGCCTGATTGCAGTGCTAAGACGGGTGCGGCCTAAACTTTGAGCTAGTCTTAGGCCCTGGGGGCCGCGCTTTCAAAGTGTGGTGGGCCCGGCTTGTTTCTCACTCCAATTTATTTAAAATAAATGTGTTTTTTTCAAAATTAAAAGCTGTAAAATAGAAATTCAGCTATAAAATAAATTTTAGACCTGAAATTTGTCAGTTTAAGTCTATCGCCTTCTTTGATTCATATTTTTACACAATGAATTCTGCCGTGCTGTTGCTGTTGTGTGCTGCAATTGTCTCCGTTTCTTCACAATATACCTATGATAGGTGTCCAATTGAGGAACAACTAGCCAAAATCCTTTACAAAAACACAAAGGTCAATCTGAAAGAAGTTTTAAATTTAGTCTACTCGTTTCTTTTGCCGAAAGTTCTGTAAAAGATTGTGTAAGTTAACGAAATGTAAAGGTTTACCTGTTTTTAAGTTAAGGTTAGGTCTAGCCATTTTTATAATTATTATAAAGAATTGTTGTTATTGAAACGCTGCTATTTAGGTAGAACAAGGTTATGATAAACAATGTGAAACGTGCTTTAAAATACTTGCCAAAGGCTTCAAAGCCAATATTGGTCAAAATTCATACGTTCCGTTGGGCTGTGAAGGTGTTTGTACAATTTGAGAACAGAAAATGGTAAAGTCAAGTTACTAACAAAAGGAGAAAGATAATAAAAAATATTTAAATTGTATTTGAAAAAGTAATAAACTTATAAAAAGTGCTATTTGATAAATATGTATAGAGCGAAAAGAGAAGTTGGCTCTGTGAAGGTAAAAGAGAAGATTCTACTACAAGGAAGGACAAGACAAGTTCTCATTGCCTTTGCACTACGTCAAGATAAATCCCACAAAACTAATAATTACAGTAGTCTCTCTATATAGTGAACCATCTGTATAAGCAACTCTCCTTATAGTAAACAAGAAATTTGGCCTCGCCAAGCCAATTTGCACTACAAGGTCTATTTGTAAAGACAACACCCCTTATAGTAAACACAAAATGTCGGTCTCTTTGGGTTGCTTATATAGAGAGAGTACTGTATAAATAAAACAAAGTTCAGTTGCATTAGGCTTAGTCTGTAGGTTTAGTTGCTTAAGCGTAGCCGTTCAGAATTGGCCGCTGCATTTACAAGGAAAGTACTGAAAACTGCCTTGCTTACAATTCCAAATCAGCTCAGAATTTTTATATAGCTTCTTTGTACAACTAATAGTACTTAAAAAAATTTTGCACTTTTTAGTTTTGGATTTGAAACACTTGGGTTTCTCACCAATTTCGCAAGTTTGGCATTCTGTTCCAAGGACTTTATTCGATTTTCCAGACAAGATACGCTTACAACTTTAAAAATGAATATCCATAGCTTATTGAATTGTAAAATCAAATCAAACAACCTTTAAAATTTTCTCAGCTTAATAACTTTAAGAGCTAAAATTTTATATTGATACTATTGGCGGTACAAAGAATTCATATAAAAATTTTGAACTGTTTCTAAGCAGGACAGGTAGGGCACATTTTTGTAAAAATTTCTCAGACCAATAATTTTTTCACTGTATGTTAATTTAATTTGTAATTAACATTTTTTAAAGCTTACACAATTAATTTTTTTTGAAATATCAAAAATTTCAATTGTAAACAAAATTTTTTTTTTTCAATTTTTAAAATGAATTCAAGGTTACTGTCAATATTGTCTATTTTGATTACTATTGCTTGTGCTGAAAAACCCAGAGATCGTTGTGCCGAAGTCGAACAATATGTAAAGCTAGCATACAATGTGACAGACCTTGATCCAGCTGAAAGAAACCGTTGTTTTGAACAGGAGGCAGAAGAGTTTGATACACCTGAAGAGGACTGTGTAAGTCAGCAAAGATAAGGATAGTAGGTAGACATTTACGGAAGCTTTATCGCAAGCCAAATCTTTCGTTGCGAGACCTAATGCGGGATCATGGGGCTTTAGTTTGGACTATTGGGGCCTCGGTTTGGACTGTTCGGGCCTTGGTTTGGGTCTTTAGAGACTTGGTTATGGCCCCTTGAGCCTTGAAAAAAAAGGAAACATCTGCTTTACTTATTCAAACGTTAAAAAATTCAATATTTTTGTTTTAAAAATAAAAAGAATTTAGGAACCAGACCACAAAGCCCAATGTATCGTGTGTTTTAAAGCAATTGCTAAAGGTTTATTGAATAACATAAACCAAACTTCGTATGTGCCTTTAAGCTGTGATGGATTGTGTACTTGGTGAGACTATAATAAACTGTTAAATTGTTCAAATAACTCTGTATTCTTTAATCTTCAAAATTAGCTTCGAGAGGGGCACAGGATTATTTTAAAAACCCAATATCAGTCGTTAAAGAAAGAAAAGATTACAGTAAAAGTCCTGTATAACGGATGGCTCAGTGTAATGGGGGGAGAGAAAAGAACAGTTTGTTTGTTATGTAAAAGTTTTGCTATAGAAACGTTTTAAATTAGCTGTCTAGTGGTAGGTTTAAAAGCTGCTTATTATACGTAACTTTTGTTGAAGCTTCGTTAAGGTTTACCTTATCTTTTTTTGTCCACAAACCAAAGTGTTGAAAATTTTGCTTACATTACACTGTAATCAAATTTCATCTCCTTTGCCAATACAATGTGTAATCTTGTTCAAAAAAACACATTTTGTGATGTTACTATGTGCAAAATTTGAGGCTTTAAAAATGTAATTTAAAAATAAAGCAACGCAACTACAACTATTTTAAAAACCCAACCATAACATTTGAAAACTCAAAAAAAAACCCTCAAAATCGCTAGAAAGGCATCACAAAAGCTAAACCAAGGCAAAAATATAAAAATCAAATCCAAAACCAAAAAAATCAAAATCAAATCCGACAAGTTATGTACACGTATTTACTTTCAAAGCAAACAAAGAGTTTAAGGGTTGTACTCGATGGGCAAGTTCTTTCTGCGAACCATACCATCGCCCTGGAACCACTCGCGGCGGAACTGCTTGGCGGCACCGTCGGGGGTGTTGGTCCACTCAATGGTGATACGGTCGTTGTTGGTGTCCTCCTGTCCGTACTGGAAGGCATCGCACGAGACGGCAACCAAGACGGCCTCCTTGGGGTCCAAGACACCGCATGGGGGGTCGACGCCGAGACGCTTCATGTTGGTGGTCTTGAAGGCCCATCCGATACGACGACCACCGGCGTTGATAACCTGAAAGGACAAAATTAAGCCTAGAAATATAAGCCTAGAAATCTATAGTCTAGAAACCCAGAAGCCTAGAAATCCAGAAGCCTATGAATTCAAAAGCCTAGAAATCCAGAAGTCTAGAAGTCTAGAAATCCAAAGCCTAGAAATCTAGAAATCAAAGATTCAAAAGCTCCTAAGCTCTAGAGCTCAAAGCTACAGTAACCCCTCCCTACAGCATTCCCACTCCAAACATACCTTGATGTGATAGGTGTGCTTGTCATCGTATGGGGCGTTGAACACGACCTTGGTGCCGGGTTGGGTAGTGATGTCTCCTGGGGGAACAGATTGAGCCATTTGGACGAGAAGAAGAGAACACGAAACCGAAGAACGGAAGCGAGTGAAGGAATCGACTGAAATCCACCGCTTTTATACCGTCCACGGCCGGCACGTTCGAATATTCAAATTTCTGCGAAATTTGGGAAAATTTGCAATTTTTCGAACTTTTTTGAATAAATTTTGGGAAAAATCCTTTTTTTTCATTTTCAAAATTCAAATTTTTTAAAATTCAATTTTTTGCATAAAATTTTTTTTAAAAAATTTCATTTTCAAAATTTTTTTTAAAATTTTTTTTCAGTGTCATACCTATAACATGGTCCGAGGAGCAACCACAGATACCACAATCACCACCATCACCACCCAGAATGCCAGTACAGCTCAAGATGTGCGAACTCAAGACGCTCTCATGACGTTGGACCTCTCGAGGCCGGAGAAAGCGAAACAAGTTCAACTAAAACTGAGGAAAAGAGCTTCTCAACTATCGGAATGGTCCAGTTCCGAGTCTGAAGACATTGACATCTACGATCCAATGCTTTGGGAATGTTTTGGCGATGTTAATATACAACCAAGTGAGCGAAGACCTCAAGCTGGACGACCTTTCAGTATCATAAGGGCTTTCCCCATGTTGGATAGATGGATAACATATCAGAGCAAGCGGTGGGCTAGACTGGGCATCTTTTTACAGGCTTTTTACGATTGGTGGCACGGGAGTAGACAGGTAAAACTTTGATTTCGAACTTATTTTTGGGAATTTTTTGAAAAAATCGAAAATAATTTTTGTTTTCGAGCTTTCAAACTCTGTTTTCCCAAAATATTTTGGTACCTACAACAATTCCCTATATAAAAATATATTTTTCCTACTTTATTTATCAATTTACTTTTTAGGGAATTGGCCAAAAATACTTCCTGGACCTAGAAAACGAAAGTTCCAAGCCAGAAGTCGATAACTTTTCCGTTGCTGAAGATGAACAAAGAGAAGTGGAACCAAGAGAAGCTGTTGAAGAATACCCGTGTAAATGGCAGGTATATGACAGCCATGATAACGACAGCTCTATTGAGTCAGAAGATTCTGATTTAATGACATTGGAAGACGAGTTATGGCCAGTTTATAAAAATGTCAAGGATAACAAGGATGTAAGTCAAGGTTTTGGTTGTTTTTTTAGGTAATAGTTGAATATTTTATGTCAGTTTGATGTTTAATTATATTAAAAATAAGGAAACGACATAAATTTACAAAAATTTAAAGTTGTGAAGCTAAAATTATATTGTTTTAGGTAAAACAACCGGTTTTCGTTTATTTTCACAACTTTTTGCATCGTTTTTCCTCCCAAAACTTGTAAAGTACGAAAAAATAAGATTATAGATAGGATACGACACAGATGGAGACCTGTCAGACATGGAACTTCACAATCACAAGAAGCCGGAAACTCAAAAACGTCAAATTGGAGGAGCTCCAATCGATATCCAATACATTTCTGAGGATTTGTGGGATAGGATGCTTGATAACGAGGCTGAGTAGGTTTTTACGTTATTTTATTATGTTTTTAGGTTGTAAACGTTATTTTAAAGTTTTTGGGTGAAATATTGTACTTGGTTTTACTCGAAAACGGCAGAATGATCAACAGAGTGGCTAAAATAAGGTTAGGCTGATATGTTCCGTTGTGGTCTAGTGGTTAGGATTTGCGGCTCTCACCCGCAAGGCCCGGGTTCGATTCCCGGCAACGGAAGAAACTTTTTTGGGGGTTTTGGCTGTAAAAATGGATGGTTTTGCATATTTTTGGTATTTTAACTTAAAAAATGTAAGAGTAATTTACATTTTACACCTTTACTTTGTATTTTTTTAGATTTTCGCCATTAGCATACGAAGCATCAGCTAAAAGAATAGAAAAAGGTGAAAAAGATGAAAAAGCTAGAGTTACAGAGCTCCAGAATTGCGGTCGAATACTCAAAGGTACTAGGAATAGTACAAGAAGGATTAAAAAAGTGTTTAAATAGGAATTTTTGAGTTTTTGTTGTATTAACTTTAAGAATTTGATTATATTGTAGTAGGTAACAAGGTTTATTAAAAAGAATTTTGTACAAAGTGTAATGACCGGCGTTGACAATTGTGATTGATATGCGACAAATAAATGTAAAATACGATTTCCATTCGGTGCCTTAATAATGTTTTGGTCCATTATTATGATATTTTAAAACTATTTTTTTTTGAAATTTAAAAAATTTTCAGTATGACATTTCTAACCCAGCCTACTTCCCATAAACCCCAGTAGACCATCCAATACTGCCGACAGCTGGTAAGTTGAGTTGTGAGCCAACACCAAGTTGGCCAGCTTGTCCATACTGACTAGAGCCATAATACTGGGCCATAGTACCGTACTGGCCAGCACCACCGGCTTGTTGGTAGTACTGTTGAGGATAGGAGTATCGTTGGTAGTATCCTCGGTTTTGTTGATATGGTTGGTAGGAGGATTGTTGATAAGATTGAGTTTGAAGGGTCTCGACGTACTTTTGATAGTAATATAGGTATTGCTTGTAGGCTTCTTGTTGTTTCTCTTGTTGGGATTTTTCCTTTTGCTTAGGCTTGGGAGTGGTTGGCTCGGCTGTTGTGGCGTTGTCTGTTTATGAAAAAAAAATTTATATCTCGAAAAAGAAATGTCACAAATGACTTTGGAGCCTAAAACATGTAAAATACTAGTTATCATAGACCATATGTCAAGCTTTGGCGCTAGTAACGTCCCCAGCAGCAATCAATTCAATCTAAAGTAATTCTACTTTATTCGCTAATCATATCAAGTAAGAAACCGTGCTAAAAAGTACTACACAGTACCAAAGATAATTCTAGTTGTCTTATTCAGAAGCCTTGGCGGTAGTAGCAGCCGCAGCAGCACCAGTAGTCTTTGCAGCTGAAGTGGCACCAGCTCCAGCCGGAGCTTTGGTACCGGCTTTGGCTGGGACTTTGTGCGCTGAAGCTTTGTGGGCTGGAGCTTTATGGGCTGGAGAATGGTGGGCTGGCTTCTTGTGAACTGGCTTCTTACCGTGGTGGGCGGCTCCTAAAGGTTCATGGTGTATATGATAATAGTATTTTTAGGAAAACGTAAAATATTTAAAACTGAAAGAAAAATGTCATTCTTTCAATATATTGTGTAACTTACCAAGAGCAGTGACAGCCAAAAGAGCCAAAAGAAGGATAATGAAGAATCTCATATTGGAATGGACAAACAAGTCAATGAATGATATGATCATGGTTGATTTTTTGGGTTTTTATACTAATTTATCAACAAGGATTTGCATATTTTTGATTTACATTGTAATCATGACCTAGTTTTTTACTTGTTTTCACTTGATTTGATTTGTGTTGTTTTTTGATTTTTTGCTTGTGTTGATCTATTGGCAAGAATTTATATTATATAAATTTACATAATATCTTTATAAAATATTATAGGATTAAGGTCTTAGCGTTAGCATAATCTTTTGTTTACAAATGCAAGTTTAATCATGCAAATCTTTTGCCCTATAAATGTATATAAAACCCAAAAATCGACCATTAACAATATCATTCATAAACTTTTTTGTCCACTTCAATATGAGATTCTTCATCATCCTTCTTTTGGCTCTCTTGGCTGCTACTGCTCTTGGTAAGTTACACGATATATTTAAAGAATGAAACTTTTTCTTATCTTTCAGTTTTAAAACATTTTACTTTTTTTTAATGGTTCTACTATAGTATACACCATAACCCTTTAGAGGCCGCCCACCACGGTAAGAAGTCAGTTCACAAGAAGCCAGCCCACCACCCTCCAGCCCACAAAGCTCCAGCTCACAAAGCCCCCGCCAAAGCCGGTACTAAAGTTCCATCTGGAACTGGTGCCACTGCAGCTGCCAAGACTACTGGTGCTGCTGCGGCCGCTACTACTGCCAAGGCTTCTTAATAAGTTAACTAGGAATGGTACTGTTCAGTACTATTTAGGATTGGTACTGCGTAGTACTTTTTAATACAATTTTTACTTGATATGATTAGCGAATAAAGTAGAATTACTTTAGCTTGAAGTGGTTGTTGCTACCGCCGTTACCACCGTCAAGGCTTAGGATGCGGTTGATGAAATCTAGTATTTTACTTGTTTTTGGCTTCCATATCATCATTTTGTGACATCATAACATAATTTGAATCTGCTTCATACTTGAAAAGTCGTCTTACTTACCTTCATTTTCTTCTGGCTCAGGTTCGGGAAGCTCAGTTGCTGTAGCAAAGACTTCTTTCAGGGCTTTGTTGACTTCTGGCTACAATGTGAAATGTAAAAATAGCATTTTTAAATATATTTTTAGCCTAAAACCTTTAAAAAAATAAAAGAAATTATTTTTTGCTTTCTCCCTCCCCCCCCTTTTTTTTTACCCCGCCCAACAAGCCGTTTTTGATGTTTTTGTTTCTAATTTTGTAGAGATATAGAGTTCTTTATAAAATACTACTTTTGCCTATAATTCCAAGCCTTTTTTGACCGCAAGTATTACATTGTAATCTCATCTTACCTCATCATTGTTTTCATCTTCATTTTCTTCTTCGTTTCCTTGGTTATCATCTGTTTTTTCTTCATTTTCTTCTTCCGGCTCTTCTTTCTTCTCTTCCTTCTTTCCTTTGCTCTTTTCCCTTCCCTTTTTACCACTCTTTTTCTCTTCCACTGGTTCTGGTTCTTCATCTTGATCTTCTTCTATTTCTTCTTCTGCTTCTTTCTTAGGTTCTTCTTTCTTTGCTTTTGTCGCTTTTCTTCTTTGTATCATCTTTGGTCGTGAAAGATCGCCCATTCCATCAATAGGGTCGTCGCGGAGGTAGGCATGGGAGTCGGAATGAATAGGTAGTGGGGGTGGAGTTGGAATAGGGTCGTCGTCGATTATGGGCTTGTCATAACGGCGGTGGGTTTCACCGTCAAGGAAAGTGTATTTTCTGAAGATTGGTTACTTTTAGGTGGTTTGTATAATTCTGTGCTCCCTAATCTTTAAAATTTGTTTAAATTATGTTCAATTAATTCTGAGCTCCCATAACCTCGAAATTTGCTTAACTTATTTATTTTCAAATAATACTGTGCCCTCTAACCTCGAAAGCTTACTTTCAGAGAGGGCACAGGATAATTTGAACAGTCTAATATGTTAATTTTGAAAAAATGACATTTTTTGGGTTTTTAGGGCTTTATAAGAAGTTTTGTCGTCAATTTATATGATCTTTGTATATTGAAAAACGAGAAAACTTTTTTGACACTAATATTTTTATCTAAAAAGTCATATGCCGCTATGATTAATAAGAAATGGCTAGTAGAACGTAAGAAAGGTAATAGTACACTATTTCACACCCAAATTGTCATTCGCTACGCTATGTTTATTGTCTATAATAGTATCAATACATTAACACTATTTAAGCCTGAAGCAATCTATCCAGATCAATTTCCCTCTTGGACTTAGAAGCGGCAGTGGTTGCGGCCGCAGCGGCACTAGTAGTCTTGGCAGCTGAATTGGCACCAGTTCCAACTGGAGCTTTAGTACCGGCTTTGGCTGGGGCTTTGTGAGCTGGAGCTTTGTGGGCTGGAGGGTGGTGGGCTGGTTTCTTGTGAGCTGGCTTCTTATGTTGGGCAGCTCCTGAAGGGTCATGGTGTATATGATGGTATTCAAAGGGAAACAAGGTTAAAATTTGTCATATTTTTCAATTTTTTAAATTTAATTTGAACTTACCAAGAGCAGTGACAGCAAAAAGAGCCAAAAGAAGGATGATGAAGAATCTCATGTTGGAATGGACAAACAAGTTAATGATGGTTATGGTTGATTTTTTGGGTTTTTATATATTTGATTATACAGAAGGGATTTACATACATACAATTTACATATTTATATTGTTATAACCTGATTTTTAGTTCTATATTGTTCGTTTTTGTTGTTGTTTTGTGAGTGTATGTAGTTCCCGAAAAGTACCCAGAATAGTCTCTATTTTTATAATGTCTAATATCAATTAATACGCTTTTTGTTTTTACTTGTTTGCCAAGGTTAAAATGCAAATCTAATAGGTCTAATCAGTATAAAAAGCCTCATAAAATTGACAATAACCATATCATTCATTAACTTGTTTGTCCATTCCAATATGAGATTCTTCATTATCCTTCTTTTGGCTCTTTTGGCTGTCACTGTTCTTGGTAAGTTCAATTTAAATTTTAAAAATTGAGAAAAATGACAATTTTTAATTTTGTTTTCTCTTTGAATATCATCATATACACCATGCCCTTTAGGAGCTGCCCAGCACGGTAAGAAGCCAGCCCACCACCCTCCAGCCCACAAAGCTCCAGCTCACAAAGCCCCAGCCAAATCCGGTACTAAAGCTCCATCTGGAACTGGTGCCACTTCAGCTGCCAAGACTAGTGGTGCTGCTGCGGCCGCTACTACCGCCAAGGCTGCTTAGTAAGGCAAATAGGATTGTGATTAGTTGCTCTATTATGGAAATTTATACATAGTACTGTAGCTTAGTTTCTATTTGCGGTCAATAAATTTATAGTATTATACCTTCATTAAATACTATATTGTAATATCTTGTGTTAGGTATAATATTATAGTTTAAACAAGTCTGTCCTTCTCTCAAAGCACATTTTGCTGGTTAGTGGCACAGAATTAATTGAACAACCTAATAATAGCCGTGATTTTAGAGCTCTTTATAGAATTTGAAAGAATTTTAAATTAGTTTTAAAAAATTATCTTTGATAACTCACTGATTCTTTTTCGAACCTCCGTATTGGTTCTGAGCTGGACCAAGGATTTTAAAGTTTCGAATGTCACAAATACTCAAATTTGGTTGTTTGTGACATAGATAGTTGACCATTGTGTTGTAACGGTGTTCATGAGAGAGTCCGGTGTATCCTGAAACAATTTTTTAAATTTTGTTTTGTACGATGATATTTACTGTAGTTAGAATGTAAGCTTGGCTAAAGAAAAAGTTAAGGCATGTTGGGATTTGGTTCTGAATTAGGACTTCTGGAATTCTCGTTTAGCTATGCCAAATTATATGATGTAAAGTAAAAATAAATCATTTTTACCTTGACCGTTGACTAAGTGTAGGCTTGTAGTTGTGAGTAGTAGAATTGAAATTAATCTTTCCATATTTTAGTATCTAAAACATTATTTTTGAACATTTTTTACATAGCATATTTGACAAAATTTACAACTTGCGTTGTATGATGCCAAACCCTATGGTAAGTATGAAAAAATTGCCTTGCCATGCCCTGTTTTGCCGTTCCCTGCCCTGCCCCGCTCTGCCTTCTCCCGACGTACCCTACCCCTAAGCTACTCTACTCTATTCTTACCCTGCCTTATGACCAACCTAACGTGGTTGCAAAAATTTGTTCACAATAATTGTATCTTGTAAACGCCTACATGTTGTTTGATTCACAATAAAAGGTCTGTGTTCAAATTACTTCTTACATTGAGGCAAAAACAAATTTGTTGATCTACTGTTCTAGAAAAAATTTAGAAAATGTTAAATGTGATTGAAATTAAAACGGCAATTGACCCGTAGACAAAAAATGTCTTTTTCACTCCTCTTCTCCTTTCTTCCCCTCTTTCCTCCCCCTCTATTCTGAGCTGGCATCCGTTACTGATAGGTGAATATGTAACCTTAACAAAACAATACTCAAAACCCTCAAAGTGGAGTTATCACGATCGAAACGGCGGTTTAATCGCACAGTATGATATAAACGACGTTCGCCTCTTCGAATGCCCTCCAAACTTGACCTTGAACAACTTTTCGAGAGCGTTTCCAGGAGTTTTTATTACTTTTTTCGGAATTCTTTTGAAAGTATTAGGCAATTAGGATGCAGACCTTTATTGTACATCAAACAACATGTAGGTGTTTACGAGATACGATGATTGTAGTCACATTTTTGGAGCCACGTTAGGTTGATCAGATGTTAAAGATGTTACGGTAACTTTTTTTATAAGTAAGGGTAGGGTAGGGTAGGATATGGTAAGGTAGGGTAGGATAGGGTAGGGTAGGGTAGGGTAGGGTAGGGTAGGGGAGGGGGAGGGGGAGGGGGAGGGGAGGGGAGGGTAGGGTAGGGTAGGGTAGGGTAGGGTAGGGTAGGGTAGGGTAGGGTAGGGTAGGGTAGGGTAGGGTAGGGTAGGGTAGGGTAGGGTAGGGTAGGGTAGGGTAGGGTAGGGTAGGGTAGGGTAGGGTAGGGTAGGGTAGGTTAGGATAGGGTAGGGTAGGGTACGATAAGGTACGGTAAGATAAAGAACGGCACGGTAGCATTTTTAAAGCAAATATTCTTTTTCCAGGTAGTTTTTGTAAAATACGAAACTATGTCATTATCGTCAAATATAAAATCATTTACCATGTTTAAAACTTTTATGTGGTATTTATAAATATTAAGGTCACAACACTGTTCACAATATGATGAAAAGAAGAAGTGAGAAACATTCAAAAAAAGTTTTCAAAAAGACTGTAGAAAATTTAATTACAAGGTAATAAAGGTCAGACGTAAATATAACTTACAATTTATTGTATATAAGTATGTAATAATATAGATTTAGGTAAACGATAAAAAAGGCGTGTTAAAGAATAGGATAAGTTAAATATTAGGTTGTTCAAATAATTCTGTGCTCCTCTCCAAAGCAATTTTTTTTGGAGTTAGGTGGTACATAATTAGTTGAACAACCTAATAGATCGGTAATGAGATCAAAATGACTATGGATTAAAATATGTAAGTAAATATGACAAACACAATATGATACAAAAAACCTATGTTAAGGTCAAATATAGACTCTAAATAAAAAAATACTTTCATTTGTAAAAATTTTAATCAAAAAATTGAAAAAATAGACAATATACTAGCGCAGGTTATAATACAATATATAATGGTCACTTATTCTTCCTCTGGCGATTCCTGACCGTCATCAATAGTACTATCGCCAGATTTACCATTCGGACACTTTTTGTCTTTCATTCGACGGTTTTGGAACCAGGTTTTTACCTAAAAAAAATTTTTTTAAAAAGAAGTTTTATAATCAATTAGGGTTGTATAATGGTATGCAGAATTTTGAGGTTTATATGTATTACGGGAAATTTTTATGGTTATGATGTAGGGAATTAAGATACGAAGGTAAAACAAAGTTAAGTGAACTAGCGTAGAATGAAATAAAGCAAGATATGGTAGGGAAAAGTAAGTTAAGCTGGAAAGAGAGTAGGTGTAGAAAAAAGCTAAACTAGGGTGTATGTAGCTAGGCTTGAAGAAAAGGCTATGGTAGGGTAGGGTAAAGTAGGATTGAATATGGCAGGTTAAGGAAAACTAGAGTAGACAGTCACAGAGTAAATGTTAAAGTAAAGTAGAGCAGCGTAGACAAAGCTAGGGTAAAGTATAGGTTTCTTGTGCTATTTATATGAGCTCCACAATATGCAGAGCGTTCCAAAATTTCTCTTTGATCAGCCACTGAAGATACAGAGCCGAAACATGAGCTAACCTCAAACTTGGGTTAATAAACCGAGGAAGTCCACTTTATTCTTAAGCGCATTAAAACGAAAATTTACCTTTTAATTGAGAGCGACAGACATTTTGGAGTTGTTTTCTCTCTCTAATTGTCTCTTATCTAAAGCTTTTGCTTCCTTTCATCTTTATTGAGACGTCTCATTCTCTAATTTTTATATTATTATGTCTATCATGTGTGTACCTATCACTACGTTCAAAAGATAAGCTACAGGTAGGGAAAAAGCAATAGATAAAGTGTTTTTCATAGAAGGCAGAATCTCTTTCCACTGTCTTTGAAAAAGAATAAAAATCAAATGTGTACGCCCATAGCCCGTTGAACGCACGCCATCCCGTCCGATCTGGCAAGTTAAGCAACGGTGCGCTTGATTAGTACTTGGATCGGAGACGTCCTTGGAATCTCAAGTGGCGTACGCGTTTTTGGCACATTTTTTAAAATTTTTTAATTAATTTTTGTTCAAATAATTCTGTGCTCCTATAAGTTGTTCAATTAATTCTGTGCTCTATCTTAAAATAAATTGTTTGGGTTAGGGGCACAGAATTATTTGACAAACCTAATAATAACTTTTTTTTCAATGTGGCCGGACCTAAAACCCACGCCTAGGCCTATAATTTTAAAATTTATAGTAGATTTCGATTTAAAACATGTTAACCTACTTGGGTCTCACTAAGTTGTAAAGAAGCAGCCAGTTCGATTCGTTCTGGCGTGGAGAGATATCTTTGAAGTTCAAAGCGATTCTCGAGACCTTGAAGTTGAGCGTCCGAAAAGACAGTACGAGCCTTCCTTCTTCGGTACGACTTGTTCTGTTGAATAAAGTTGGAGGCGTATAATCGAAGGGCTTGGGCGTGGAGGAGATCCCATGGGCCTACTGTAAAATTTAAAAAAATAAAATTTTTAGAAGAAGTACTGTAGTATAAAATTATTAATGTTTTTTGAAAATCAAAAATTGTGGTTTAATGAGTACTGTAGTCATACTGTAACAAAAAATTTTTTTTTGATTTTGGTAAGGTAACATAAATTAATACCAATTTCAGTACTAGAAAGCTAAAAAAGATGATTTTTTGGATACTGTAACAAAAAAGTTTTTTTTTATTACTACTGTAACATAAATTTTTTAACAAGTTTGTTACTATTAAAACAAAAAAGTATTAATTTAACAACTGTAGTCATACTGTAACAAAATTTAAATATTAGTGTTTAAATATTGTAAAATATCTTTGTAAAAATTAGTAACATGCTGTAAAATTATCTTTTTGGTTATAATTTTAACTATTGTATAAAGCAGGATACTGTAGTTTTAAAAAAAATGTGATTTTACTGTATTTTTTATATTATACAGTATCTTTAACTTACATCCCACCATCATGCCATCACAATTCAAAGGTGTGGGCATGAACCCATTTTTGATCAAATTTTCCATACTGCAAGGCTGGCTGTCTACCGTACTCCCATCCGCATTTACTCTGTAATTCGGGCCAATAAACGGTGACTGTGGTATGTTTTGTGCCGCTGCTAACATAAACTTAGCACATTGTTCGAAATTCAAGTTACTAGGACTAGGAGTACTAGTAGTACTATTCGCAGTACTATTAGTACCAAACATAGTGTTCGTAGTACTATTAAAGCCTAGATTTGAATTTGTGGTACCAATAGTACCAAAATTAGTGGCAGAGAAGGGTAGATTTAGTACTGTAGGCATTTGTTGAAGAGTGTTGGATACTGTAGGTACGGTAGGTTCTATAGCGCTGGATTTGGTGTTGGAGTTCTCGTCTTGATCTGTCTTTGACACTTCTGTACTATTACAAGGTTTGGCATCTACTGCCATGCACTGAGATTTGAGTAGGAGTTGGTTGATCGAAAAACCGGGGTTTAGGGGATGGGATGGGTCAATTGGCATGCTAAAATAAGGTACTGTAATTAAAATATGTTTTAATATCTAAAAATAGATGGACGACATTCATAAAGGCTGGGTGGGGCAGGTAGAGCAGGGCAGGGCAGGGCAAGGCAACGCAAGGCAAGGCAAGGCAAGGCAAGGCAGTGGAAGATCGGATAGGGTAGGACAAAGCAAATTGTTTGCTAATCTCCTCCCCCCCCACCCCCCACCCCCCCCACTTTTCTCAAATTATTCTTCCTGCTTTTACCCCTTCCAAGTTCTTTAAACACCCGCTTTATCCTCTTGTCATACCGTATTTAATACTTTTCTCTACTATCCACCCAGCCTAGCAAAGTTAAAATAAAGGCAACAATACCCTAACAAGACCAGCGTTAACAGTACTATGCCAATCATAATAACATTTATTATGATGGACAATATAGCCCGAAGCTTTAGTCTGTAATTCCGCGGAATATGTCGTAATAATTGGCAGACGGAAGAAGGAATCGGCCGGAAGCGTTGTAATTGGCCCTAATTTAGTTGGAACACAATCCTTTTATGGCCAACATTTGGGTCCAATTAACGCGGTCGGCCTTATGAATCGAATAATATTAGGCGGAAATTGGGGTACGGTAATGTAGTGAAGGGGGTGGAGGTACGGTAAATTGGAAAAAAATTGGAGAGGTAAAAGTAGTACTGTATAGAATAAGTTGATACTGTAATGTACAAAAAACTTACCTTACCCTACCCACCCTACCCTACCTTACCTTACTCTACGTTTTGTTGCGGCTTGCCCTGCACTGACTTACCCTGTTTGCCTTTACTCTACCGTGCCCAACTCTACCCTACCCTATCATGTTTTGGTCTGCCCTGTTCTGCCAACCCTACTTTACTCTGCCCTGCCTTACCTGTTCTTATATCCCTACCCTACCTTGTCTAACTCTACCCTACCCTACTCCACCCACCCCCCTTCAAAAACCATAATTATAAAAAAATTACAGTAACTTTTCAAAGTCTACACCTCTCTTACATCTGTCTTAACCGTGCTCTACCCTACCTACCCTGTCCTGCCCTACTCATATCTTAACCATGGCCTACCCTACCCCACCTAATCAAGTAATAAATCATATTTACACTCCGCCGTCCCCACCATAACCTATCTGTCTACAAAATGGCGATTAAGCCCTAATTACTGAACAATCGATGACCTTTTACGTTGTGGGTTGCGCAAGAGGAAGGGTAAATTAGCATAAACATTGGGTTAAGGTTAGTTTAGGTATAAGCGTGGCTGTCGGTCACAATTCCGGAACTAATCCTATCAACCAGCTAAATGTTGGAGTATAATAAGGTTACCCGTAGGTATGGGCATGTATATTTAGATGGTGAATATTAAAATACGTTGTGATTGGGTTGGGCGTGGGAAAAAGGGAAAGGCAGGGGTAGTATGGGTTGTGTGCTATACCAACTGTGGAGTATCGTTATAAACTATGTTGCTGTAAAAATCTTTGCCATAGACAAAAGATAAGACTGTGATCTATCAGTAGAAGGCATGGGAAAGGAAGAACCTCACTCATCCTCAAAAAATTACCCCACCCACCCCTGTTTCTATATATATGCACTTGTGGCTATCGTAACCCAAACTAACCCATTTCCGAAACAGTAATTGGCTTTAAAGAGGACGAGAAAACTTTTAACTAGTTCATTGTAACGTTTTCAACATATTTAAAAAAAATTAAAATCATAATTGGGTTTGCAAAAGTACTCGGTTTAGCTTGTTATGTGGTCGGATGATCAATGAGAGCTGGGATTAAGGCTATGGCTAGGAGTTAAGCTAAGGGTATAAGCAAAGCTATAGCTAGGGCTAAGATTAAGGCAAAGGCTAGGGCAAGGCTACGACAAGACTAAAGCATAGCTTAGGGGCAATGCTAGAGGAAGGCTAAGGCAAGGCTAGAGCAAAGGCTAGGACGAGGACGAAGGCTACAGCTAGGGCAGGGCTAGATCAAGGGCTAAGTCAAGAGCTAAGGCTCTGGATTAGGACTCTGGGCTAAGGCTCTGGACTAGGGCTCTGTGCTAGGGCTCTGGGCTAGGCCTCTGTACTAGGCCTCTGGGCTAGGGCTTTGGGCTAGATCTCGAGGCTAGGGCTCTGGGTTAGAGCTCTGGGCTAGTGGTCTAGGCTAGGGCTCCGGGCTAGGGCTGTGGCATAGAACTAAAGCTAAGACAAAGGCTAGAGCAAAGCTAGGCTAGGGCTAAAGCTAAGGCTCTGTGCTAGGGCTCTGGGCTAAGGCTAGGGCCCAAAATATAACCAAAATTCTGGCCAATACAGTAAGCGTTAGGCCAATTAATGGTGCCGTAAAGAAAGAAATGCGCCGTATGATGACAATCAAAAGAGTTAGTCTAATTGGACTTTAGGACAATAACATTATTATCCCAAAATTAATTGGCTGCGGCTGCTTTAGCATATCAAAAATCATGTTTTAGGCTATATTAACATGACTAAAAGCGTATTTCAGGCAATATTTATATCTCATAAGTCACTTAATTATATGGTACCAAATTCAAATTAAAGTGTACCAGTAGTTCCTATAACCAAAAGATAGTGTATCAGTAATTTTTGCAAAGTGTATTACTAGTACTAACAATCAACCTCAAGTTTAATACTAATACCAACATTTCAAACCCTATTGTACCATCAGTATCAACACTCAAAACGTATTTTACCATTAGTACTAATAGTTAATAGCTGCTGTATCATTAGTACCAAAACTCAAAACTTATTGTACCATTAATACCAAACTTCAAAATAAATTGTACCATCAGTACCAAATTTAAAGGTAAAGTGTACCATGAGTACCATATTTATTAAAAATCCACAGTACCATTCCCAGTAATGGCCATGTATAACCCACATAATATTGTAATTGTCTCTACTGTGTCATAAATTAGTGTCTATGTTTGCTCTTCCCAAGTGTGAACTTTTTGTATTCTACCCAGCATGACGTCTTAATATTCTCCTTTATTGGATAATAACAATAGTCGGCCACTTCGGCGTAAATTAAGACAATTAAGTCTTGAACATACCGAGCTTTACCTGCTTTTCATGAACAATATAAAGCTTATCGGTCAAAAGAGCAAGGTATGGTCAGGTAAAGTATGATAAAATATGCTATGGTAGGGTATGGTAGAGTAAGGTGCAATAGGGCAAGGTGAAAAAAGGCAGGATATTAAGCTAGAATAAGGTAAAGTAGGTTAAGGTAGGGTAGGGTAAGGTAGGACAGGGGGTAAATATAAAATTGTGTTTAAACTTTACAATGCAATATTACTTTGCATCACAATTTACTGTGTTCAAAGATAGGTTCAACAACAACATTTTGAGTGAATGAAGCTAACAACACTCCTTGTCGGCTCCATAACCTTCCTTGGACGAAACTATTGTTATCAGAATGCCAATCAGCGTTTTGTTCCAGTAAAATGTAGTCAGTCACATCGAAACTAAAGGATAATATTATAGTTGATATTAAAAACAGATTTAACACCATATATTATCAGCTTCTTAACTTTAAAAAAATTATATTGTTGTACTTTCATATTATATTGTTGTACTTTCATAAATTATATTGTTGTACTTTCAAAAAGGCTCCGTATACAATATATATTGATATTAGATAAGGACTATAGTACTCAAAAACCAAGTCATAAAGAAAAAAAGACACTGACTCTACTATAGTATAAACTCTTATCGCTTAAAAAATTTTAAAAAATATTTTACATTTATGAACATGACACGTACTCAGTTCTGTGAATCCAAACATTTTGATCGAGAGAAGTCATCACTTTGAATGGAACGTTGTAAAAGAACTGAGCACCAGCTATAGACAGGCCGTAATCTGACATTGATGACAAGGCTGTGACAGCAAATCGTTCAGTAGATTTTACTAAAAAAGATTTGAAATCACATCAGAAACAAAATATTTTTGCCTTACTCTACCTAACTCTACATTACTCTACCCTACCCTACTCTATGCTACCCTACGTTACCCTACACTACCCTACCTTAGCATATCTTACTTCACGCTACCGTAATCTACCCTATTCGACGATATCCTAACCTACCTTATCCTGTCTTACTCTACTCTAATCTATCCTACCCTACTGTAATCCGCCCTATACTGCAATATCCTACCATACCCTACCCAACACTACCAGAACATACCAGGTGTACCATTCCATCTAGCCCATAACAATTGTGTCCTGGTAGCCTTTTCCGGCCCAATCAAGTAACCACTTCCATTTACAGGTCGCAATTCAATAAAAGGTATTGATATTCTCATGGTCGCTCCAGCCAATAACCGCTTTTCGGGATTCGTTTTGATGTAATCCTGTAGCAATTCGACACTAGTTTTAAGAGATGACGGCTCTGAAGCTTCTGGCATTTTGATTTGAGTCAATAAAGTTTTGTTTGGAAACTGGAATTAAAAATTATTGAGGATAGGATGGTTAATATCAATGTTATTCTAGTTTACTACTATTTTAAGAGTTTAAATTTGTTCTTTACTTTAAGTAAACATTCATATAAGTATAAGAAATGCTCTATTACATTCAGAAACCACTTATTTTGATGTAATATTCAGTTTTTTAGATGCAAAAATGGTCCAATTCATCAACAACAATATAATTTTAACCAAAACCAAAAACTCACTTTTCTAAACGTCATTTGAGCTGAAAATATGAGTTTGTCATGCTGAGTAGCATTCACTTCCCTAAACACAAAGTTTCTTCCATCTCTGATATTCTTCACTTCGAATTCTGTTGGTTCATCTCCATTACCTACAACAATATAAATCCATACCAAATTAATGTCTCTTATAATAAAAAATAGTTAAAATGTCGAAAAAAATGAAATTTACCTGCTCTAACAAAGTAAGAGTGTAGATTACTCAAGTTACAATCCTTTGGCACAGACTCATATGAACAATGGACAGCGTTGGCTAGAAGACTACCTCCAAATATCATGTTATGGCCAATGTTTGGGTCATTATGACCGTCTTTCGATCTTGAAAGTAAAGCTTTAGGTAAAAAATGGCAGTAAGAAGATTTTTTATAATCATTTTTCGGTCAAAAAGTTCGTAGAATCAGTGCTCACACGATTTTATTTCAATTTTGTTGTTTATGAACACTTTTTTAAATGTTTCTACGTACTTTTAAACCGAAAAAACCAAAACAAAATTTTAAAACGGAAGCTAAAAGAAGTTTTCAAAGAAGTTATGTTATGTTAGAGTCCTAAAATTAATAAAAAACAAGTAAAAATGGCAAAGAAAGCTTACTTATACACACTGTCGTTGACTTTTGTTAGTCGATCCCAAGAATTCTGATACTTTACATCAGTCCTTGTCATGTTCTGAATAAACTTTTTCATAAATCGTTGTCTAAAAGTCACAAACGTCATAATTTTACAGTGTCAGACAATTTTAACTGATCGAAAAAAGTTTTACACTATGAAAAAACTTCGATAATGTAAGGAAAAAGATGTTTTGGCAAAAATTGATGCAATATTTAGAGGAAACCTATAATAACATAGCTTTTTATATCACACAAGTTTTGTAGTCTACAAGTGAAACACTGGAAACCGGCAGCAAGGAAAATGGATTCGTATTTTAGTATTTTTTGAAGTTAGCGCGTATTTTAAAATTTTTTGTTGTGATTGGTTTTTTAGAATTCAGCCGGGCGACCAAATTGCTCAAGTTTAAAGTTTTGTGATTGGCAATGTTGTTACGGTTAACAAGCGTATTTTAGCTTCAGGCTTTTGGCCAAGTTTGAGACGTTTTGGTTGCTTTTCTGATTTCGAAAAAGCTTGTGTCCAAGAGTTTGAACAAACAACTGACACAATAATAAACGCGGTTTTCACGTTTTTTTCACATTCAAAAGTTTGTCAAACAAAGTGGCGCCATCTTTCGATTGTAATTGCTCTTTTCGTTGTTAAAATAGTTTTAAAAATATTTGGCTTTCGAAAAATAAGCGTTTCGTATCTGTTTTGATTCATATAGTTGCCGAAGTAAGTTTAGAAAACTTAAGAATATAAAACTATCCATAACATTTTAGCTACATTAAGATAAGCTCCAATATACCTTCCATACTACCCATAAACTCCATCTTCTTTTTTAAAACAGATCCTTCATTACTGCTTACTGAACCATTTTATATTAGCCTTGACAAAAGCGTACTATACTATAGTTTCAAAAAACCAAGTTTACAAACACTACAGTTTATTTAGTTATACCTTGACACAACACAAGAATAAAGACCAAAAATATTCATCTACTACAGAATTATAGTATTAGAGACATCATCTATTGCTTGGAGGCAATGTAGCTGATGAGGTCGACAACTCTGTTGGAGTAACCGTATTCGTTGTCGTACCAGGAGACCAACTTGACAAAGTGAGGGTTGAGGCCGATGCAAGCGCCGGCGTCGAAGATGGAAGAGTGAGTGGAAGTGGTGAAGTCGGTGCTGACAACCTGGTCTTCGGTGTAGTCCAAGATGCCCTTCAGCTTGCCTTCGGCCGCCTCCTTCACGACCTTCTTGATTTCCTCCAATGGAGCTGGCTTCTCGGTGCGGACGGTCAAGTCGACAACCGACACGTCGGGGGTTGGGACACGGAAGGCCATACCAGTGAGCTTGCCGTTCAATTCTGGGATGACCTGAAGTCAATTTCGTTAAAATTAAATATTTTTAGATTTAACACTAATTCTTACAACTTTTGTCATTCTACCAACAAATTAGCTTGTATTGTAGTATAAGAAACTTCAGTATTTTAAAAATACCCAAAAATTTAAATCCTTAAAGCATAATATATTAAAATGTCAAAACATACCTTTCCGACAGCCTTGGCGGCTCCAGTCGAGGCTGGGATGATGTTTTGTCCAGCTCCACGACCATCTCTCCATTGCTTTCCAGATGGACCATCGACGGTCTTCTGGGTGGCAGTAACGGCGTGAACGGTGGTCATCAGACCTTCAATGATTCCAAAGTTGTCGTTGACAACCTTGGCCAATGGAGCCAAGCAGTTGGTGGTGCAAGAGGCGTTACTGAAGGAAAAACCATAATTTTAAAAAAATTCAAACTTTACAATCTAGAAATTTGAATTTTTGAAAAAAAAAGTCAGACTTCTTGTCCATTTTCAAAAGTTCAACGTTTAAAAAAGTTTCAAAAAGCGTAAAACGTTTTCCTTACCTGATAACGTGGTCCTTTGAGGCATCGTACTTGTCTTCGTTGACACCCATGACGAACATTGGGGCATCAGCAGATGGGGCAGAGATGACGACCTTCTTGGCACCACCCTTCAAGTGAGCGGAGGCCTTGTCGGTGGTGGTGAAGACACCAGTGGATTCAACAACAAAGTCGGCTCCATCAGATCCCCATGGAATGGCGGCGGGGTCCTTGGAATTGTGGACCGAGATGGTGTGGACGGCCTTGCCTGGCAGACCCAAAACCAGTTTGCCGTTCTCAGCCTTGACGGTTCCCTTGAAGCGGCCGTGAGTGGAGTCGTATTTGAAGAGGTAGACCATGTACTCGAGGTCGATGAAAGGATCGTTGACGGCGACCAATTCGACCGAGTCCTTCTCGATGATGGCACGGGCGACCAAACGACCAATACGGCCGAATCCGTTGATTCCGACTTTAGGCTTGGACATGGTTATCGAAGGAGGTTAAGGTTAAGTTTAAACAAACTGAAAAGAGATGATATTTAAAAGTGGCAGCAAAACTTAAATCACATTAAAAGCGCGACCAAAATAAAATGGCCAAAATAAAAGTATAACATAAATTTAAACATTAGCTTAAAAATCATATCATACTCATCATATACAATTTTACCTACTCGAACCAAAAAGTCCAATATTCAAAAAATCAAAAACAATACCCGATAATCGACCGGTTTCAATTTCAAACCCCAAAAAACTGCAAATAAAACAAAATCTATTTACGTTTCCAACTTTTTAGATAACCATGAAAAAGGAAATGAAACCAAAAACGGACCCGCCTTCCATTACAAAAAACTAGCAAGACATAACAATATTAACTTATTTTGAGCAATTGTGAATTCAGTTTATTAAGAAACTCAATTTGACAGCTGCATAGAACTTTCGCAGTTATTTTAGAGTTAAAACCGCATATTATTCATACAGTAAATGACTTAATAGTAAATGACAAAAAAGATGATAATGACTATCACAATACCTTCGAAAGTAAGGCTGGTCCTTATTATCATTGATAGTTACCTACCAATACCAAAAAAGCCTTAAAAACATCAAAAAACTACTCTACTATCATTGTTTTGGTCCATTTATAAAGTTTCGAAACAAAATGATGCAATATCCAAACAAAAATGGACATTACACTAAACGTCTATTGAAAGTCTCTCACCAAGAGCCAATACAATATGAACAACTCTCACCAGGAACCAACACGACATGACCTTCTGTATTAACTAACATAACTATCTAAGTCCTGTGAATGTAACTGCAAGTATATTACACTAGACCGGTAAGAATTGACCTCTGTTCATTCGGCAATCCGCCCCACGTTCATCCTTCAAAACTGAACGAAAGAGTGGGAAAAGAGGAACGTTTCCAATACGGGGGGACACACATTGGGCGGGGGCATTACGGGCTGACGAAAAGACGAACACAAGGCCCAACGTCCAAAATAATCACAAAAGAGTGCAGAGAAGAGAGAAACGGCCAGATAGCTGGACAAAATACCATAGAGTACATTATGGGATTGGAAGGGCGACTGCAAAAGAATACTTAATGTAGAATAGCAACTTTCTTGGCTATTGCTTCACAAATGAAGAGCTTGAAATATTCACTATGATTTTTGTAGGAAAATATTCAAAATTTGATGTCGAACAAATAATGTTAAACATCAAAAAATTTACTTCCTTGTTGAGCATAGTGAATATTCAAAACTCTTCAACTTTCAAACATAGCTGGCTAGGCTATGTTTGAAAATTGAAGCGTTGCTTTTAAATAAAGCATATTCTTGTACAGTGACCTTATCAATTCCAAGGTTTACTCTACAATATTATGCTCAAATTTATTCCCGTTCCTCCGTTCTTTAAAGCTTCGCCACTCTTATGGTAAAAGCTGTTTCAAAGCTTTACATGTACACCATTTCCACAATCAGAGAAAACGGTTTTAACCTTGATCGACCTCTTAAACCCTTCACAAATCAAAGAAGCAGACAGCACCACTAAATAGCAGTCTCCAATTCGAATGTCAGAAGCAGAGAGAGCTCGACGAGAAACAAACAAAATGACAAGTACAGAGGTTAGCAAAATTGTTTTCCTTTCTCACGTCCCCCTTGCCCCCGACAGGCGGCCCGAAATTGACCTTCTCCTTCAAACCTTATCAATATTGCATTGATAGCAGAAGATGGTAAACAAGCCAGCAATAGCTCATTTTTATTTTCAAGGATGCTAATAAGACCATGGGCATTACACAGATGTTTTTTTCAAAGCTTTCTTATGCTTAAATGGTAACAAGATGGTTTTAAGCTTATAAAGAAGATTTAAAAGGAAAAACACAAACGTTTGAGTCCAAAAACCTGACCATTCGCAATATAATACACCTAAAGGTATTAAGACTATTCTTTACCTCATAACTCGTCCAAAATTCTCTTCACTATCTTAAAATACATTTAAAATCAACAGCAAACTCATCTACCAACTAAAAATAAAATAACATCCAATAAAATCCAAGTTACGTACGAAAATAGCCTAAAAACCTCTGCCATCTAAAATAATATCAAGCAAACGTACTTTGGTTGAATATAAAAATTCGCCGTACTTTGTTCATACGATTAACCTTATCAATAACAGCCTGTCATAATTTACCCCACGTGGTTTCGAAAATCACGGCTATCGTTACGATTTTACCACTGATTCAAGTTTGATCTGTTTCATAACTTTGAAACGTTACTTTAAACTGATAAAACTCGATCTAATAAACATATTGAAGCCTCAAAATATACGTTTTGCATAAAAGAATACAGAAAAAACGTAAAGCAAAGTAAAATATACACAAAAACACCAACAAACAATAAAAAACAACAAAAACCAAGCAGAAGATTCATTGAAAGCGATATCACCCATTAAAATCAACCAAAAAAACGCAAAACTTTACAGAAAAATATCAAAAACAATGAAAAATGTGAATAAATTGCCGCCTCAAGGAGGGAAACGTGAGAACTCGAAATAGAACGTCAAAAGAAATTGTATTTGGCCAAAAACATCTCGAATGTTCGATCACCGAGCGCAAATTCAAAAACAAGTGTCAGCACGACGGAATAAATAAATGTAATTTATGGAAAAAAAATAAAAAAAACCAAATTACTTCGGCATTTATGTTTTTACGTTGTTAAAATTCTTATTTACTCAGTAAGTTCATTTCTTTACTTTTTTAAATTTAGGTTCATCATACTCATTACCTACATGAACATAATTCAACAATTGCGCGGTATTACACGTAAACCATCTAAAACAACATTTGTATGAGTTAGAAGAGAAGCCTCTGAATGTATTTAGACCAAATCTGTGTTGAATACCATTGTTTTTTGCGTGTTCGTGGCTTCAGAACGAAAAGAATTCGAAGAGCGCGCGTTTTTCGACCCTGCGGTTTTGCACGTTCCCTTACGGAACGGAACGTTCGATTTTTACGTTCTTATGGCTGTTTGTGGGACACTACAGAAAGGAGTTGAACACTAAAGTCCGTAAAAGATGTCAATAATGTAAAAATGTAGTTATGTTGGAAGGTTGAACTTCAGGAAACTGGCTAAATTATCAGTTAAAAGTGTCAGAATCCGGTTGCTCTTGCGAATTAATAGTCCGCTTTTTACTATTTTGTATTCTAATATACATATTATCTTGGCTTTAAGCTAAATAAGCTATCCTTGCCATTTAAATACGATTTTTCTTTTAAAAAATATATATCATATCTTACACACAGCTCATACATAATAAATTTCTGTAAAAATCAACCTTGCAAGTTTCAATATATTATGACTTTTTTATTCGCGAAACATAATTCACTCAAACAGTTAATAAATTACGATAGTTCTATTAAAAAGTGGCACCAAAAATGGCGAACATGGGTTACAGTAATATGATACGTAGTAGGTAAATCAATTAACAATTCAACTTTTCCATGATTTAAAATGCCAAGTTAAACTGACCTTTACAACCAATTATCCATTTAGAAAATATAAATTAGCATTACTGTTTGATCTACCTACCACATACCCATCCGTATAGAACAACATGAATACTGTCAGGTTAGGTGGATAAAATGGAATAAAGTGATGATAAAAAGGCAAATGAACATTTTTAGATCCATCTAACATATAATAAGATACGCAATCATGTGACTGTAACATAAGAATGTAAAACATAATGACGACTGTAATACATAGGTACAAAACAATATGAATACATAATGGGGATTCGTTGTTTAAAAGCTCAATATAGACAGTAAATTTAACAATCAGGATGTAAGGGTGATAATTGGGGCTTTATTATGCGCTTCAAAAGCTGAGTTTTTAAAAATTAGCAATAACTATGGCGTGAAGGGGCTTGTATAATGTTATAGTAGGTAAACATCAAAAATTATCGATAAATTATAGAAAAAACTTACACCTACCATAAAGTAATCCTAAAGACCTTTACAAGTGCACCAGCTTTTAATTACAAAAACCTACAAACATTTAAACAAGCCTAAAACCTTTAAAATAAGCCTAAACCTCCAACTAACACACCTTGATCCATAAAATTTTGATGCGGCAATTTTGTTACTTGTTTTCAAAAAATGAAACAATGAAAACGTTGTAGAGTACTATAAATAAACAATAATAGGCAATTAGTTCGTTTAGTTCCAGACCTTGAGCAGTGAATCCCAGCTTCCGGTACAAAGAGCAGCACCATCTTCCGTCACTCCGAGGCATGAGACGCGGTTATCGTGACCGGATAGGACACCTGGAATTTTGTGAAAGATAAAAATAAATTTGTTGGTCTTTACTGATGCTTCTTTACTCTATCAATACTATTATATTACTATTTTGATTAAAAATGAAGATAAGAGCAGAAAATTAGAGGTTAGGCGCTATTGCTCTTAATACGAAAAATAAAACCAATATGCTGCCTTTTTGACCAGCTGGTTGTATATAAATCACTTCAAAATCTATATTGTACAAATAAAATAAGTCTTTATCAAAAAATACCTAACGTACACCTTTAAAATCCATCAAAACCCCTTACCAGCTCGTTCCTGCCTCATCGAGTCCCACACATTACAGTTGAAGTCGTCGTATCCTGCGAATAGTAACCTTCCTGATTTAGAAAACGCTACTGAAGTGATGCCACAGTTAATCGATTCGATTCCATATACTCCAACTTCTGAGTCCGCTCGGATGTCAAATAATCTGCAGGTAGCATCATCTGAACCAGTAGCAAAGGCAGTGCCTGATGGGAAGTGCTGAAATTATGGGGTTTAATGGCTGATTTTAATCATAAAATAAGTAAAACCTTATACATACGTTTCTAATAACTTTATTAACAATCTACTGGACCTTTTTAATATTACTTTGTATCGTAAAATACTTCTTGAAGCTCAAGAACACTAAAACTCAACCTTCAAAGTTCACAATACCATCATTAATACCTAACATTCCAAAACTTTCAAATTTTTAAATAACCCAGCCCAAAAATCCACTGATAAGCAATTGTAAAACTCACAGCGATAGCATTGATATCTTGTGAATGTCCAGTGAAGGTCTGTTTACATTGTCCATCACGCAAATCCCACAGCTTGGCATTGGCGTCACAAGCACCGGAAATGAAGGATCGTGGATCATTTTGATGCAAACTTATCGACATTACATCTCCCGTGTGTCCAGTAAAAGTGGTTATCGCTTGTCCAGCTTCAATATCCCATAGAATACTAAAAAAAATTGAAGTTATATCCCAAAATGGGCATTTTTAGCAAATTTTGGGCATTTTTTAGCCGCTTTTCGAAAAAAAACGCCATAAAAAGGCTAAAAACTTTTTGACCTCCACCAGATTTTGTAAAAATGATCCTTATTATCACCTTCATCTTATTTTAAGACCGTTTCTTTTACTTATACCTAAAAACATAAAAAATAAAATAATAACATACCAAGTTTTGTCTCCAGAACTGGTCAAAATCCGCGCATCGTCCAAGAACCTACAGCACGACAAGAAACCTTTGTGGCCTGGCAGCTCTCTGGAGACTCGTACGTTTCCTTCGCGAGTTTTTAGAGAATAAATCGAACATATATTATCTAGGCCACCACATGCGACAAAGTTGCCTGATGGTGAATAAGCGCATGTCATTACCCACGAGGATCGGAGTGGGATCGCGTGAATTTTGTTGATTGTGTAAGTGTCCCATACGATGAGTTTGCCGTCTTGTGAGGCTGACACAATATTCCTAAAAATATTTGTCAAAATTTGAAAATAGAAACTAAAAATCGATTAAAAATAACTTAAAACGATACCTAGAGTCCGTAAGCCAGTGCATTGCATAAATTTTGGCCATATGTCCTCTTAAGATGCGACATACTGAGAGTGATAGACGTCCCACGGGCTTAAGAGTGCCAGAATAAGCAGCGACTGATGCTGTTGGACCATCGCCATTTGTTTTGGACTGCCTTAGAGTATCAGGTAAAGCTGTGGATTCGTCCCTCAGGGCATTTATGTCCGTGAACTCCATGTCGTTGCTGAAAATATTGTCATATAATGTTTTAAAATCTTGAAGAAAATTGTGATAATTTAAAAATATTGAATATAAATTTAAAAAATTTAGACTAATCTACTACAATATACGAAAATTCATAAAAACCCAAAATCAAAAAAAAATTTAAAACTTCAAATTTCATTTTCACAATACACCCTTTAACCCAGAAAATCATACTTAATCCTCCCAACTCCATGTTTTACTTATTAACTCTAAAAACCTTAAAACGCCTTCCTAAGCACAACAAACCCACTACACCATCGCAGACAACAAAAACCATGTGCAAACCAGTATTAGATAACTTGTTAAAACCTTCGCCTTTCACTAACCCTCCCTCCCACCAAGCCGTACTCTCTTCTCAATGCGAACACGAGTTCCGTACTCATCCTACCTCGGCTTCAATTACTGCAATTAAACCTCCCCCGATATTAAAACAAAAGCGCTTAATAAGTCGTGGCACTTTCTCCCCTTCTCCTTCCTGATTAAAAGCCGCTCTTCGCAGCCACAAAACTCGAGGCGCCGAAACAGGAGAAAGGGTAACATGAAACACACCGAAAAAGTCCTGCGGCCCCACTATTTTTGGAACGGCCAAAAGTCAGAACGAAGCGCCAGAGGCATGGATGTTAATAAGAGCGGAAAAAAAGAAAGATATAAACTATACGTTAGAAGTGTGAATGTAATCTATATGCAAAAAAGTCAAAAGTTCTCGGACTGTTTTGGGTTTTGGCTAGTAAAGTCCTATATAATGTTTTGAGGTTTGGCTAGCAAATGTAAGTTCTGAATTTTAGAGAATAAAATTAAACTTTCTAACCAAAAATTTTCCACACATATTTTCAATGCCATTTGTAAGCTCTACACAAAAATTGAATCAATTAGACCCACTAAAGATAAAATTGTACCACATTGAATCCCCCACTAACTCTTTACTGCACCGTGCAGTTTTTAAATCAAAAATAACAAAATCCAAATATTTACATCAACTTCGCAACAAAACAAATAAAATCCGTGTGTTTTATAACAAAATAAACGTCAAAAATATTTATTTTGACTCGGATTCCCGGTTAAGAACATCAGGTCTTGAGCTGAAAATCTGGCCAGTTTATTGCCGGATTGTCTATCCCCTCTGTCAAGTATGATATGCTCTCACAGAAAACATGATATTTTAGTCTATTTGTAAATAAAATGTCTAAAGACTGCTTCAGTATTCTATAATATTATTTTATACATCAAAAACAGCGATTTTTTCTTAATGTACAATAATGTTTTTAATATTGTTATAGCTTTTTAAAAAGTTTTTAATAAATTTTATACAACATTAAAACCGCAAAACTGTAATCTATCTTTAAGCACCATTTTCATAACGATTTTCTTTCACGAATCTCACATATCGTGACCAAAACCCGTCAAAAACCTCAAGTATTCAGCTTGATCCCCCTAAAACAATATGTCTGACTCAAACCAAACCATAATCTTACAAAAACACTGTAGAACCACGTCCAAAACCCTTTTCCCACCTTGTTTACCATAAGTCTAGCATTTCTAAAAGCGAAAAGCACACGAACAACAACAATCAAAACATACCGTGACATATTTTGAGCGAAACGGCCACCAGAACTGGCCCAATTTACAAGTCGATGATAGGTTCGAGAACTGGGTCGGGAGGTTCCTGATGACCTGTGGTGTTGTTCTCGTTTCTCTTGCTTCTGAAATCGAGATAACTTATCGACGAAACGGAAAAAACAAAAAAGCGAAGAAATTATTAAGGCGCTCTGCGCCCGAGATGTTTGAGACATTTTTATACGAGGATTCAAGGAGAGTCAGGCCAAATATAATTTAGTATAGCATGATAGGTGCCTGTAAAGTATTGTAGTACTTAAGAAACCCTCTTTTTACTTAGTAATACTATAAAAACAAAAACTTCTCACCAACCAGGGCTCAGACTTAATCATACACATTAACTACGCGGTAATTTCGTCGAACGTTTACAATAAAGCACCTGTTTGGTGAAACGCTTTCCTCGGGGTTTTTCCAGCTATTTTTGGGAGGAAAACACGTGCCTTCAACTCCAGAATTTCAAATAAACCCAACCAAACGAGATTACATTTTCATCGAAAAAAGCGTTGACTCCAAGGTCGTAAGGGCGAAGCGACAGATGAGTCTACAGGGTAGTTGACATATATTTTGCGTGACATGTTTGTAAAAGTGTTTTCGAAATGCTTATGAGTTGGATAAACATCTGTCCTGTCTTGAATTCGAAGTATTACGTTGTTTTTTCTATCCCACCCTACCCTACCCTACCCTACCCTACCCTACCCTACCCTACCCTACCCTACCCTACCCAACCCTACCCTACCCTACCCTACCCTACCCTACCCTACCCTACCCTACCCTACCCTACCCTACCCTACTATACTCTACCCTACTTTGCTCTACCCTGTAATAAAGAAAAACACAAGTATACGAAATACCACACAGTAATCTGAAGACCATTCATTAGATCTAACCACAATACATATAACTCTCTATTCAATCCATATTCAGAACAAACTATTCAATCCATATTCAGAACAATTACTTATCTTCTTACAATACCCATTTACTCTATACGTAATCCAGATCACCGTGGCAACATTGTGCCCAGATTACCATGCAATTATGAATACAGCTTTCAATCCCGTAGTAAATTGTAATTACAACTACTGTGAATCCGAACAAAAAATACCTAACACCCACCACCTTTCGGTAATTACTAGAAGTGTTATCGGAGAGTAAACAAAAGTACAATTCAGTAAAATAAAGTTGGTGTAATAGCCAATAATTAAGGTTTTATTTTATTTGGCATATCAAACGGTAATTACTTTTCTATCTTACCATTTGATATGGCAAAAAAGTTAATAGAGTTCGATCAATGAAAGGCTATTTTTTCAATATAAAGAAAGAAGATCGTGACTTACAAGGAAAGTGCCCAACGTGTCTCGCTCTGATTTAGCTGCAGGTTTTTAAATGAATTCTTGGTACCACTCTTTAAAATTAAAAGATTTGTAATTTCTGCTAATTTGGCATTGTGTTTCAAGCCCTTTTTAAATGTTTCAGATAAGATAATTTAAATAAATCTATTTTTTACAAGTTTAAAAAATAGATTTATTTAAAGGTTTTTTACTAGTATACCAAAGAAAGATGATTAAAGTCAAAAAATGACAAAGTTATATAAGCTTGAAACACAGTGCTAATTTGGCGGGAAGTTCAAAACGTAATTTTTGATCTTGATTTTCTAGTGATTGGCTGGTAAGCGCAAGTTGGTAGTTTGCTGAAGACCTTATATTTAAATGATCCTTCTTTACATAAAATTTGAAGAAAATCAGAACGGGGCAAGTACTTTCCATGTAAGAAAAAATCATAATTTCAAAAATTCAAAAATTTCTTTGTAAAAACTATTGAAAATAGAGATAAACTAAAGTTTTCAAGTGTACGTTGTTGTAAAAATAGCAAATTGCAGCCTATTTTAAACATTTATCTTGACATAAGATAATCCAAAGGGTTTTGGAATAATCCGATATCTTTGCAAAACAATTTTTTCAGTACAAAAGGTCTAAATGGCATTAAAAGAGCAAATTTTGACTAGGTTTTTCAAATAATTATGTCCCCTCTCACAAGACAAATTTTCGTAGTTGAACAGCACAGAATTATTTGAACAACCTGGCATTCAAAAGCCCCCAATAAAAAGGTTAAATTTTTATTTTTACCATGTTCACGACTTTTTACTAAACACAAAAAATATTACTTCTCCAACTATTGTTTTTGCTATGCAGTACCAAAAACACCCCTTTCGTTTCCTTACTTCTTGTTTAAAACTTTCTCTTTATACCTAAAGCACCTCTTGATAAACCTTGCCTATACAAGATAAAATTATAGTAATGCCCACTGATTTACTTTGCCCAACACCTCATAATCCTTATTAATAATAATAACCCAAAATCTACCCAAATGTCCCCAATATCTTCTCAACCATGTCAAGACCGGAGCTCACAAATATTCTAACGTACTCAAAAGGGAATCTAATAAAAAAGGAACGCGCGCGAGGCTAGAATTCCCTTACATCTCTGGCCACACTCTCCTCGTTTTGCATGTTCTCTCGGCTCACTTAATGACACTTGTAGTAGGTCTTGGCAAATTTCATTCCGACTCACTTATAAGACGACGTTTCTAATCTCCGGTCTACAATCTAGAACGGCAGGAACGGTCTGTTTTTGAGGGAGAAAGGAGAGTTTGTAAGGCTTGGTTTGGAAGGCCTTAGCCTTAGCTTATAGGGAAAGTACCCAACCTGCAACTCCCAGAATCAGCTCAAAATTTTTATACGGATTCTTTGTAGTACCATTAGTACCTATGAAAAATTTTAGCTTGCGCTTTTGAGTTTTAAATTTTAAATATTTAAATTTTCCGCCAATTTGGCAAATTTTGCATTGTGTTTCAAGCACTTTTCGACTTTCCAGCCAAGCTAAGCTTACAAATTTAAAAATGTAGGTTCATTTTAAAAATGAAAGGTTTTTTACTAACATATTAAAGAAAAATGATTAAAAGTCAAAAAATGGCAAAGTTATAAGCTTGAAACACAATGCCAATTTGGCGGAAAATTCAAAACGCGATTTTTCGATCTCGATTTTCTCAAGACTGGCCGCAAACCGCAACTTAGAATTTTGCATAACATCTTACATTTACGTGACCTTTCAATAAAAAAAGTTTGAACGAAATCTGAGCGTTGCAGGTCGGGTACCTTCCTTGCTAGCCTTAGCCTTGGCCTAACGACCTCAATATTCAATAAATCCTACAGTGTTACACTATAAACTTAAATACATTCCAAACATTAAATTATAGTCTGAACTATACAAACGTGCTGTAAACAGTGTAGGAAAAGTCCAAAAGAGAGGGGAACAAAACAAAATGTGACATTTACGTGCAGGAAATAACATGACCTCGTGTTTTGCCAAAAAAATTATTTTAGTTTTTCTCCCCAAAGAATAGCATTGTACTATGCATGTTGTCAGAACACGATAAACCTATTTGTCAGAATACGATAAACCGAAAGTAAATGCAATGAAAGGATAAGTAATTCCGAGAAATTTTCATAAATTCTTGTTGTTCCTGTCTAGGATTTGTTCGAAAAAAGGTCAAAGATAAATAAATTGTTTTCTAATATGGCTTTCTATGAAAAAATAAATTGCTTTTGAATAGGTTTTTTCGAATTTTACAATGGTAATTTATGTTTTATGCTGAAAAAGTGCAGGTAATGGTTTGAAAATGTCATACAGGGTGGAAAAGGCATAGCTACAGATTTCCTCAGAATTTTTCAGCTGAGAAACAAAACCGACTTTAAAAATTTTTCTAGTTTATCTTTTACCCCTATTCCAACATTCTTTTGTACCCTGCCCTCTCCCCTGGTTGCCTATATCCACAGAGAAACTTGTGTAAAACTTGTTTACATTAGAACGAACCCCTGTATAACATATCAAACTAAAAAATTTTTAAATTTGTTCATTATAAAGGTCTTTTGTTTTACAGGGATTACTGTTGTACAAAATAAGACCAATGTCACTTTTGAACTTTAAAATCATACCTTTCTAGTTTGAGCATTCGTATTTGGTCGTTCTACTGGAAAATCAGTCTGCAAATAAAATTTATACGTTATGGCTTAAAATATTCATTCAAAACTTTTAAAAAAATTTTCATAAACACCATACAATTTATTATACAAAAACCATAAAATCTCAAAAAGCATCAAAAACTTACAGTATGAAGCGAAATCCCATCGATAAAAGTGCTACCAGAAAGTTGAGAAACTGGTCGTGAAGGTAGTTCTGTAGCCGTTTGCTTGAAATAATTGTAAAAGTCTTGTTGAGGTAATGATGGAACTTTTGATGGAACTACGCTTCTGTGGTCTGTACTGGTCTGACTGTTACTGTGGAGAAGCTTTTGAGAGGTTGTAGAAAGTGAGTCTTGTTTCATACCTTCAAAAGTCTTTTCAATATAAAAATTAAAAAACATTACAAAACGCGTAAAACCTTATAAAATTGAGAAAAAAGCACCTCTGCGAACATTATTAAAGATGAAGTGCTTAAAATTAACGAGTTTACTTGAAAAACCAAAAAGTTTTTTGAATAAACAATTATTATTCGAGAATTAGATTTGGAAAATCATTTGAGCAAACAATGACACTACAGAATAATTTTAAAAATATGGTTTTATACTTAGTGAATAACTTTAAATTGAAAAAAAATTTTTAAACTTTGGCTTTAGTCTAGCTTACAACTTATACTTATTAGGAAAGTACCCAATTTGTCACACTCAGAATCAGCTCAAGACTAGGACTCTTTTGATGTCTTTATATAAATTTTTTGTACTTCCAGTAGTACTCGAAAAAAATAGCTCGCGCTTTCGAGTTTCAAATTTAAATTATTTTTGTTTCCCGCTAATTTGGCAAGTTTGGCATTGTGTTTTAAGAACTTTTTTTGACTTTCCAGGCAAGCTACGCTTACAAATTTAAAAAAGTAGGTTCATTTAAAGGTATTTTACTACTAAATAAAAGAAAAATTCTCAAAAGTCAAAAAATGGCAAAGTTATAAGCTTGAAACACAATGCCAATTTGGCGGGAAATTGAAAACAGAATTTTTTTTGATCTCGATTTTCTTGATAATTCTTGGAAAACGCAATTTAGTACTTTGCTGAAGGTCTGGTATTTACATGATCTTTCTATAGAAAAAATTTTAAGTCAATCCTTGTTAGGCTTGGGGGGTAGCTTTTGTCACAATGAAGACAATGAAAAAATTTATGTCCTTGACATTTAAAACTTTATTAATTTTACAAAAAACCATTCAATACTAGCATCACAATCTCAATTTATATCAGATCACGGTCTTCCTTGTGGAATTTGCTTTCCAAGTTGAAGGTGCCGAGTTTGAAGTATTTCTTTGGTTCAGTTCCGCTGAAAATGTATTGGCTTGGAATAGCCAGTTTGACTTTTCGTTGTCCGGGCTTGATACCATCGTCACAGTCGTGGTAGAACTTCAGTCTTGGGTCAATGTTGGTGAGTTCGCGTGTGCTGCCGTGAAGCTTGTAGTTGCCGTTGGCATCGGTTCTTACTTCGGCTAGCTTGTCGTCTGGGTCTGGGCCTAGAAGGGATGGGGTTAATGTTTTATTTGACTAAAGGAAGGATACGGTAAGATTACGATACGTTTGTAAGAATTGGTTTTATTAAATTGTTCAAATAGTTCTGTGCTCCTCGACCCCAATAATTTGCTTTAAGAGGGAGCACAGAATTTTTTGAACAATTTGATAAATTAAAAAAATTTTTTTTGCTTTTTGCTACGGTATCCTTCAGTATTAAAAACTCCATCTTTTCTATGTATATAACTTTTTAAATACGTATTTTAACTTACCATCATCCTCATCCCACAAGGCAACTCTAACGTTGGCGGCTGGCTTATCACCGCACAACAGGGTGCCTTCAGCTCCAACGGCTTGTTGCCGCATGGCGTAGCTCATGCCGAACAAGGCTACTAGTAAAACTAGTGATTTCATTCTGAAAAGCGTTTTAAATGGCAGCTTAATTTGAAATATAAAATGGCATTTAGCACGATAATGATTATTTAATGCACATAGTACGATAATGTGCATCTTGGTAGTATGACACCTTTTTTAGAAAGACGGGTTTATACAAGTCCTTTGAGTGTCATACAAACAAGGTTTGACTGGACTATACCTGACGATAAGAGTATGCTTTCAAATGGGCATCTCACTAGACTGCAAGTAAATACAAAGAGGTTGCTTTAAAAAACCTTAAGAGTATTTCTTCTTCCTTCGCCTAGATCTGGTTTCCCGACAAGGCTAAAAAATCAGCCCGGCCCATTCTGAAAGCCAGGTCTAGGCCCTCCCGCTTTAGCCCAAAAGCGTGGTCTAAGCCTTCCTTTCCTCGGTGTGACTACAGTATTTCCCTTTCTACCACCCCAACTCCACTCTCCATCAAAATAATGCGTCCTTGTTGCCATTACAAAACTAAACAAAATACGAAAAATCTTGTTTATTTATCCGAATTTTTATCAGTATCAAGCAATCGAATAAACATCGTTATAAACAGCCGCGTCTCGTCTTTTATAGTCAAGTGTGATTAATGTTGTATTTACAACTGAAATATCAAATTTGAGTCATTCTCTTGATTTGATTCATTTGTTTTTACACTGTTTTCTTATGTACGATCAGGAAGAGTCATTGATTGTATGTGAGTGATACAATCAATGACTGAGTGATATTATAACATCGAAAAACAATCGGAAGCTGTGATTAAAGGGCGATGATAAGGATGTTTTTCAATTGAAAAGTGTTTTTTAATGAATTTTGAAAAAAGAAATAACAAAAATATTTTAAAAATATATTATACATCATATTCAACATTAAAAAAAGTCTCGTCGTCAAATCAAACGTATATAAACGATAAAATACGACAAAACTTTTTTGAGCATGTTAATACTAGAATATCTGGTCATATTGTACTAAAAATACTAAAATTACACAAAAAAAATTTTTTTTTAACAAAAAACTTTTAAACTTTTTAAATTTTTTAAATTTCCAAGTTTTTCCCATAAAAATCGAATTTATGCAAATTTCCACACACTATAAATACCCAAATTCACGCAAAACTCTTTCTTTTTCCTATCGACAAGCTCACAAACGGTCGTTACCCTTCTACTGATGCGGTCGTCAAACATCGACCAGTCCGCCGCGCCCAATGGCTTCGGATTCGACGAAATGGATCTACAACAGGATTCGGAAGTCCCGTTGCACAAGAAACTGGAACGACCATTTCCACGGAATCCGTCCGTGATTGCAGATGAATGTGGTTGGCCAAAGGAACGGTCGAGGGATGTGTTGTTGCGACCGATGTATATTAATGGTGTTGAGGTTGGATATTCGTAAGTTTTTGACGTTTCTCAACAAATTTTAATTTTTAAATTGGAAGACTTAGTTTTTAAGTTTCTTTGTTAGGTTTTCTGTAATTTTTGCATTCAAATTGATTATTTTTATCATAAGAGGTTGCTGGCGGACATGTTTTGTCGTATAACTTTCCGTGGGCGCAGCTTACCATGTGATTGTTGAATTCCGACAAAATTTTGTCGAAATTCGTTCTCTTTGTTGTTTTGTCTTTAAATTCATTGTAGAGTATTATTTGCGTGTTAGTTTTACTAATTTTGAAGTTTTCTTGATGTTATCTTTGACGAACTCTCAAGGATCGGCCGATTTTTGATCTTGTTTGCCTGATAAAACGATAATTTATAAGTTTTGGATATTTTTTAACATTATTTTAATATTTTCCATTCCAGGTATGGTGAAGCTACTGGTAAAAAGGGAGTCTCTTCGATTAAAGGTTGTCTGATAACCTTGTGGTACTTTATATTGCGTGGCCATGATGCAAAGCTCTTCTTTCCCCACTGTTATCGTCGTTATACGGAGAAGACGGACGATCATCAACTGCTGACTGAGCTGGCTCGAATTGGCCTGGTTCAGTTCACACAAGGCCAAGGTCAAGAAAAGTACAATGAGCTGAGCCGTGTATTGGCCGCGAATGCTCGCAGATTTGGTGGATGTATTGTGGCATGCTCGTCGTTGCGAAGAGTGTTTGAGGAGAATCAGATCTACCATCGCATTGTGCAGAAGAGAGTTTTGGTGCCATGTTTTGTGGGTAATGAGGTGCTTTTTCCGGCCGATGGACCTGAAGGAAGAGTTGGGCTCAGATTTAGTGTAAGTCTATAGGTTTTGGTGTTTTTGATATTTTAGGTAGTTGTATTTTAGACAAGTTTGGAGTTAAAATGTAGAGAAGAGTGTGGAAAAGCTTTTAAAATTAAAAAGTGGACATTTGATTCATTCTTGATTTAAAAATGGCATTTTTACATGACAATAGGTTCGAAAATGAGAAAAAACGTAAATTTTTACGAAGCTATTAATATGATGCTTAATATTAGTATTACCTATGTTCATTCATTCTTCTTTTTAGCGTACAATCGTAGCCACGCCGGAGGACGAGGACTACGAAGCGGCCAAGGTCATGCAAATGAAGTTGGAGTATCAGGTGCGGATGGTCAATTTGTTGCGTGAGCTTCACCCGAACAGCGCGAGCTTGGGTACGATTTCGGAGAGGATGAACGACTATTTGAAGGAGGTTTTTCGGGCAAACAGGAATTATCGACCGAACTATTACCGGTCGGAGCCGAGCTTGGATTATAACCCTAGGTACGGGACGGTCCGCCGGCCAATGACCAACACGTTTTATCGGTCGAATACGGAGTCCAACTACATTCCATCGATGAATCCATCAAGGGCTGAGGGTGAGTTTTTGATTTTGTTGGTTATTACTTTGGGAATAAAGATTTATGAAGAAAAAAGTTATTGTTTTAGATGAAAAGTTTGTTTTTGGCTTAAATGCTTAGGTTTTTAGATAAATATTAACTTCTTTGTTCTATATTATGATCAGCTAATGTCAAAAATTTCAGGATACACTTCGCTGAACAATCCACGACCCCGAGTCACGTTTCTGGACGTCCCAAACGACAATTTGTCCCCATTTTCGGGCAAGAACCCTCGTTCCCATTCTTTTGGGTCCTTTGCTCAGCCCCGCCCAACCACACATCCATCGATGAATCCATCATGGTCCGAGGGCCGGTTCGACGAAGAAGATGAGTATATTGTGTATTCGTATGTCGGCGGAAAACGAAAACCATGTCCGACTTTCTATTAGCCGTTGTTGTGTATTTCAACGCAAAATAAATGAATTTTATTTTGCGTGATCTTATTTACCATTTTTTTTTACCAAAGCCATCATGTATCGACAGGAAATTCGATTCCCATGACTTTTCGTACCTCATCGACGGTCTTCTGAACCTGCCTACTGAATCTCAATGGCACAATGTTACTCTCGGTCTTGTTGTCAAATATCATTTCATAAACATGGTCAGCTTCGTATCTCAACCCAGAGCTGTTCGGATAGTTGAATTCTTTGCGGTTATCATTCAAAGGGCATTCTCTTGTATTAATACCATTTTCTGTTGTTATTGTCAGTTTGGTTGGGCACCAGAATGGGGCATCTACCTTGAAATAAAAGGGTTTGTCAGATGGGGCAATGTTGTGTTAGCTGAGCTACAATTAGGCAACTAGTTGAGTGCTTACCTCTATCAAGGCCTCTTTACAATTTACTTTTAGCTTATTCTCCAAAGGTTGGGTTTCATCAAACCTCAAGATAGCCTTTTTGTCTTCACCGAAGCTCAAGGTCAATTTTGTACGTTTGTCAGCTCCTAAAACAATGGTCTGATATCTTTTTCATGTCATAGCTCTTCAAGTTTCAACATAATATTAGAGTTTGGATCTAAAAGCCTAAGGCTTTAATTCAACAATATTTTCAAGTTTTTACGAAAGAAAGGCAAAAATAAGTTTTGAAACTCCAAAACTATTAACTATGACAAACTTAACATACCATGATCATTTCTTTCCCAATCGACATCAACTATCCTTCCTTCAGTTTTATATACAAAGTTGGCAATCATAATAGTGTAGCAGCCTAACGTTGTCAACATGGTCTCGCCTCTTTCAAGGTTTACGAAGTCGGATGGCTAAAATGCAAATTTTTATTCTCAAGGTACATGACTATACTTCTGTTTTATACCTCAACTTCAAACAAAACTCACCAAACTGTACCCAAAACTAGCTTCAACATTAAAAACGTCACCATACGCTTTCTCTTTCAGAATCTTGTCCAATTCTCTGTAAATCGGAAAATGTAGTGTCCAGTAGCCTTCAACAAGAAGCTTTCCAGACTTTTCAGCGGCTTCAAGCATGGCTTCAGATTGTTTTAGATTCAAACCAAATGGTTTTTCACACAAAACGTTCTTCCCGGCTTCTAGAGCCTTCACGGTGAATTCTTGATGCAAAAAGTTCCTCAAACCGATGTAAACTACATCAATATTATCATCCTTGAGGAGTTCATCGTAACTACCATAAGGTTTGGCTTCTAAGATATTGTGCTTGACTATGAAGTCAGATGCTCTGCTCTCTGATGATGCTGCTATTGCTACGACCTGAAAAAGCAAAGTAATACAAGTTGGGTACTACGGTAAAGTAAAAACGCTATAGTCACTTATCATGCTTCATACTACTCTGCCTTACCAGATTTTACCGTACTTTACCCTACAATACCCTGTCATAGAATACCCTACTATACCCTACGTAAAACTAGTCTTTTTTAAATACTCCTTCCCAAGCACCGGCCAAAACCTTACTTTATGTTTATGTTCAGCCTTGTCCAAAGCCAAAACAAAGTCGTTGCAAATTTGGCCAGATCCCAAGATTCCCCAACGTAAAACCTTTTCTTCAGTAGCCATTACTTCAAACAAGCTCTTATGCTGTTTAATATACACTGATCTTTAACATACACTGATCACTGTAAAAAATCTGCTTTTTGAAACAAAAGAACCATTTATATGTTCCCTTATCTACGATAATGTGATGCAAGTTTAGTTTCAATTGTATATTTTGTAGTTTTGATTGTTGACGTCAACTGTTTATGATTAAAGTTATAGCTTAATTCTGATCGATCTGTTCAGAAAAATTATGTGAACGACCGCTCAACATTGCTGAACACAAAAGAAACGAGTGAAAGTGTGCGCCATGATAGCTCAGTTGGGAGAGCGTTAGACTGAAGATCTAAAGGTCACCGGTTCGATCCCGGTTCGTGGCATTTTTGCTAGGGCACTTTTTATTGGCCAAAACAGATAAAAATCAAAAAATAAATTTTTGAACTATATTTTTTTTTGTATTTTTTCACTGGAAAGTTACTCTTTTATAGAATCGGTATTCAATTTTCTATAATATTATAATTTTGAAAAATGTGTCATAACGACGGATTTCCTAGAAAAAACGTTTTCACTGCTTATCACATTTAACATTACATTGAAAAAAAGTTTAAATCACTACAAAACGTTTAACTTAGTATGGCATGGTATGTTAAGACTATTTTTTCTCAGTGTCCCAATCCAGTAGAAATATTATGCCTTATCATAGGAAAATGACACTTTTAAACTTAAAAAGTAGCTTTTCACGAAAAAACTGCATTATTATCATAATTTTTCATCCCACGGTTTTGTCGTATTTTACACAAAAGATATGTTTTATTTTTTTTTCGACCGCGTTGTAAAATTTCCTTAAAATTTTTGCCGCATGGTTTAAACGTCTATTTTTCTCAAATTGTTCCTTACTACTTTATTTATTAATACATAGTTAGAAATCTTATACACATAGCTAGCCACACTTTTTGTTAGTTTTAAAAAATAATTTTTAGAGCCGGCCCGTTTTTCATTTTCCTTAAGCCCAACACTTTGCCAATGTGTATATCCCCCAGTGCAAAAATGCCACGAACCGGGATCGAACCGGTGACCTTTAGATCTTCAGTCTAACGCTCTCCCAACTGAGCTATCATGGCGCACACTTCCACTCCTTTCCTTTACGCACACATAAACGTAGGGGAGTAGAGAGGGCCCGCGGCCGAGTAGCTTCACAGTTTGTGAAAGAAGAGGAAAAGCGAAAGGCACGAAGGCAAGAGCCGCCATAGCTCAGTCGGTTAGAGCGTGGGTCTAATAAGCCCAAGGTCGCAGGTTCGACCCCTGCTGGCGGCAATTACCTTTTTCGAGGTTTTTTGTATAGAATTATTGTAGCTTTGTTGTTTTAGGCTATTTTCAGCCACTTATTAGATCTTAAACGTAATATTTTACTTAGCTATCCTTAAAAATTTTTGAATAAAAAACATAAAAATATTCTTTAAATCATCATATTAACATTAATTTTTCACATAAAACCAAAATTCTTTGCCGTATTAAACAAAAAATACTATAAAAATATAAGTTATCTATTTATTATAGCTATAAAACTGATATGTTAATTTAATTTCGATTTAAATAATATTTTCGGTCATCCGGAGCTTTACGATCATCTGCGTAGATGTATCGTACGACAATATATTCGCGGAAATATACGAAAAAGCAAACGTAATTGGCGAACATTAACATCACCAATGTACAGATATGTTGCCAATCAGTTGCCATTACAAGGTTGTGAAATTGAATGGCTATTAAAATGCCTTGGGCATAACAAGAGTATTTGAAGATGTTGGTTGGGTTGTGGGCGAATTTCTAGAATTTTTGTTGTTGTAGCACTGCAGTCTGCAGAAATTGTTTTTTTTTTAAATTTGAGTTCTTTTATGCACTGTAAATAAAGTCATTGCCATTTTAAGAACTGTAAAGATAGTTATTGCCATTTTCTGCACTGTAAAGAAAGTTATTGCCATTTACTACACTGTAAAGAAAGTTATTGCCATTTCCCACCCCTACTTACATAAAACAGGTTATGTTTCATATTCCCAGGTGTCGCCGCGACCTCATACCAATGTTTATGACATCTTGCAGTATATACAATACTGTCTGACCCTACAACTTTGGCTCCATCACAAGCTACATCGTCACCTCCAGCCGGAATCGGGGTCTGTTTCGTTTCCTTCACTGGATCCGTATAGTAACCAAGATGTACTGCTGTCTGATATGCTTGATGTAGTAGCTGAATCGGCAGTTGATATAGAGCGTATATGAAGAAGGTTGTCATGAACACGTTGACGAACATAAACTCGTACCACACGGTTTCACGATAAAAATGTTGCGTTAGGCCGGAGTAGGTTTTGCTCTAAAGTTTGGGTAGGGATATTAAGGTAAAATATGATGATATAGCCATGGCTGTGAGATGAGAGATATATCTTCCTTCTCACAACTACGCCTATCTATGCATAGCGATATCACCGCTTGTAGAAGCTGTTAAAACAACTTACAGGTACAAAGATGATAGGCAAGTAAACAGAGTAATAGGCCGTGTAGAAGGCTATTAACAAGCAGTTCAATAGTCTACATTTGATAATCTCGTACAGAGTTTCAGTTGCTTTAGTATGAGGTGAACATTTTGGAACTGAAATTAAAAAATTTTTGACATTCACAAAGAAGTTAGTCTCAAAACACCTAAAACAATACAAAGGTCAAGTAATCTAACCGATTTCAGTTAAAAGACCCAAAAATCTTCGAATGAAACAAACTATGCCTTTTACAACAAAGTATGTCATTTAAAATAAAGTAAATTTTGAAAAATTTTAAAAAGCATACCGCACTCATGTTGAATATCTAACCCATAGTCGATTGAAGTAGGGCTTTCGATACGTGAAAGTTGTTGATATGTATCTCCATTGTAAATCGCATACGGTGTAAACGACACCTTCATTAGCTCTTTCCTTATAAACCATAGTTCGTACAAACCGTGAAGGAGGCTTCTAAAATATCACGATAATCTAACATCTATACCTACTACAATATCAATAAACAGAAAAAGTTAAACTTCAGAATCAAAAATTATGATAAGCAAACATTTTTTTATCCAAATAAAGAAAAATCTATGTAAATCACAGCAAAATAATATTATAAACAAGCTTTAAAGTGCAAGGAACCTTGTCAACAATCAAAATGTCAAGATACTTACGGAGTAATAAGTAAAACTGCTGCAGTTAACCCAAATTCTTTTGTGATTCTTGTCATACTGAACAAAAAGCTAGCTGTTATCATGGTACATAAAGGTGACTTTATAAATGCATATTCCACAATGCTCCAGAATACCGAATCACACTTTGGATTCAGTGCGTCGAATCGCTTGGTTATCTAAAACAACATCTAATTTTAAATTGTTTTAAAGGTTAAAAACAACGTGTCATATAAGTTTTAGGTTAAAAACAACATCTTCTTTTAATATTAATTGCTTATTAACCATAAAAAGCGTTTTTTACCTTCATTTAACATTCTGATGGACTTTAACATAATATACCAAGAATTATGCGTTAAACATCCAGAATATGACTCTAAACTTATAAAATACAATAATAAAGGACCTTACCGTCTGCCAAAAACATTTTGTCACACGAATCCCCAATAGCAAGCCAATACACGACAAAACATATGGGTTGATCAGAAACGTCTTCTAAAACAATATAAATTTTAAATTCGCCCTTTCTAAATCAAGAACTTACAAAAACTCCATGCCAATGAGACTTAGGAAGCCACCATAACGTTTTATACAAATTGAGGTACTGAATAAATAAGGCAAAGATTGAATATAAAAATAATGTACATTCAGAAAACAACGCCGTCCGTGGTTGTGGAAGAACCGGCCAAGATCTATGTCCTAACCTGAAAAATTTGCGTTTTTTTTTTACTTGACATAGTTAATACATCTACTTGTTTCAGTTTAAATTTTTTACGTTTTTTATGAAGCCGACCTTTGTTTTGGGCGAAAAACAATATTACACTAGACAAATGACCTTATCGAACTTTTTTATCAATTTCGGCCAAACTTTTTAACAAAAACTTTTCGTATTTACGTTGTCTAGCTTCTCAACATTCTGCTACGTTTTTTAAAACCAAAACCAAAGTTCTTTTCATCTAAAAATCAAGAAAAATAAGACAAGGAACTTACGGTTCAACATCCACACTTTGTTTTGCCTGAGTTTTGCGCGATTTTATGATACTATCCAGGAATTTTGATTTCATTTCAAGCCATAAAAGTTGTAAGAAGTGAGAAGAAGCCCTCTTCAACCCAGCTGGTCAGTGGATCGATGGTCAGACGGCTGCATTCATCGAGGTGCGCGAGATTTTTCTCCAAAAATTCTTTTTTTTAATTATTGCGTTAAGTTTTTCTTTTGAGTCAACTCTTCCTTTCGACAAAATTTTGTTTTAAATTTACAAAATTTAGGATTGGTCTTGTTTGATTTGTGACTAACAAGGTTACTGTGGTCGAAAGAACTTTTGCACGTTTATATTTTGAAATTTTAAATATTGAACTTTATAAAAATCAGGGTTTTTTCGTGTAAAACAACAAGTTTAGTATCATTTATGTAATTTTTATTAGGTCAACAACAATTTTACAATAAAATAATTTACCAGTTTTACCTTCCAAACAATAAAAACATAATAAAACCGGAAATAGCAACAAGATACGACGATGTAACAGTAAAAGAGCTGTTACATCGCTGACCAGCACAAATGCATTGTGTTCCCTTCAGCTCTTGGTTTATGGACATTCCCAGTAAACTGATGTTGATTGGACGATTGAATGGGTAACAGTAGTCCACTTGGAGTGGGTTTATTGATGTACAGCCACGGTGTTCAAATCGGCGACCTTAAATCGGAAAAACATTGATTTAGGTTCAATAATTTGGTGACATGGGTTGGTAAGTTACTTTTTGTCATAATTTTTTTAAATGTAAAGATAAGGTTTTAAAAATTTGTGTGATTAATTTTAGTTCTTTACTTGACTAATGAAATGAAAAAGGTTTTGAATTTTACAAGAATTACCGTTTAATGAGCCAACAACTTTAGTGCAGTAGGATCCAGTGCATGTTACTTTGCTGTCCCAATTGCACCATCCTTCTCCATCAAAGTGGGTACATTCAATGCATTGCACAGTAGCTAGAACAATGTATTACTGCATTTATATTAAGGTTTACATTTTTTTTTGCTTTTGGTGTTTAAAAAATGAAAAAAACGTGGCTTCAGTTTAGGATATACCTACTACAACATCTTTTCTGTACTTTTTACTATTATTACCTTAAAACTGATAAAACTATTTGATATAAAAGATGCTGACGTATATAAAAACATTGTTCTTACCACTTTTTTCTTTGCAGTTAACGTTTTGCCATGGATTTCGGGCAAAAGCTTCACTGTTATCAATGGCCGAAGCGTGGTTACATCTGTTCGTGACGCAAATATTGATGCCAGTGAATGGGTTAGCTACATCTGTGCCATCAACACCGACTTGTGCAGTTCCTGTGTAATGAGCATACTCACAAATTTGGGCTGTAGCTGCTGCAGGAACGTTGGAATCTTTGATGAATTCTTCTGGACAGCCACGGATCACTGCGTAACGGCCTTCTGAAATTGTTTTTTGGTAGTTTTGGATGGGATGGAGATTTAAAGTAGGTTTAAGAGACTAAAAAATGAAACGGAAAATGGAATTTAGACTTCCATATTGTTAAGGGCCGAGCTAGAAAAATTGGGGTTGGTTCCTTTACAGGCCTACTAAGGATGGAGAAGATTTCAAAAACTTACGAATAACAAAAGCAGCTGCATAGCAAGCCGAGCTACCGCAATTTTTGATATTCACATTCGATAATGACCCTGCACAATTCTTCGTATAAGCCATGTCCTCGGGCTGTGTAGGCAAGCCGGTAGCTAGCCAGTTATCTTTGATTATCTCTTCAGCACATCGATGACATTCTTCTCCACGAACCGTACCCAAACTCGATAACAAGAATACGATTTTGCTGATGATTAGAAGTTTCAAAATCAAATTGATTTTAGTCATATCATCCATGATATGAGCGCTAGTCAAATACACTGGAATATATTACAGTCTCGTATTGCTCGAGGCAAGAAAGTTAATCCCTTGAATCATCGCAAATGTGGGCAGCGCGAGAGTTCACCGTCGCATTATCTTTGATATGACGCACGCGACGTTTGTTTGTTTGTTTCTCATACACAATGTTACATTTATGGGGTGGATCATTTGAAAATTGAACTGTAGTTTAAGTTCTTGATTTACAAGTGAAATTTTAACGAGTATTACTAAAGATAAAGGTATAATATTAAGGATGTCAGAAGGGTAAAGTTAGAAAAATTTTTATTTTTTCTAAAACTGAACTTTAACATAAAGAGCGGTACAAGCGAGCATAGTACTTGAGTTTTTGTTATAAAAATAAAATTGGTCTTCCGGCGGCCCAAAGAAGGTTAGGCCTTCAGTACTATTCGGGTACCCATCCATCCAATAGTTCCGGTATGGTAGAGAAATATTTCTGTCGGTAGCGTATATCCAAGCTTCATTGATCTCAATTATACCTACTAACGCGTTGCCTGGGGCTTGGGCTAAAAATTTGAAGTTTTTAAAACTAAAAAAAATTTTTAATTTTGAAAAATTTGCTTTTTAAACTTAAAATCTAATATAAAATGACTACTATAACATACATATACAGCTGCTGTTGATAGTATAATGATGGTAATATAGAAAAAAAAGTCTTGTTGCTAATATGTTAAGGTTTTCACACTAAAAAGCGGCAAGACTTTTTTTGCCACTTTATAATACAAATTACTATGACATACATGACATAAGTAACTTATTACTGTGACATATATGATATGAAAATATTAAAAATCTTAAAAACTTACCATATACAAACCCAGGAATGAGAGGATCAATGATTTCCACCGGTTTACCGTTGACAATGGTTTGGTTACACAATTCGTTCGCTCCTGTTCTTACTTGTGATGGGCTTGTCACGTTCATTTCGATTAACAAAAAACATTTGTAGGTACCACTGTACATGATTACATATGCCAGTTTGTGTGCACACTCGTATAAATAGATTTGGGAGGCTTCTGAAGTTTGCATTTTGTGAAATTGAAAAAAATGTTACAGTAGACTATCGTTGTCGGACAAAGGACAGGCTGCGGACGGACAGAGTAGGATGTGTTAGGCAATGAAGGTAGGGATGGGTAAAATAGGGAAGGATAGAGCAAGGGAGGGTAGAACAGAGCAGGATAAGTGTGGTAGAGTAGGGTAAAGTAGGAAGGACGGGGTAAGGGTAAAGCATGGTAGGGTGGGGTAGTGCAAGGCAAGGTAGGGCAAGGCAAAAAACCTACGTCCTCTAGTATAAGTGAACTGCATAAGACTCATACTGTCATTTGTAAACAATCCGTTTCTGTAATTGTAAAAAGTGCTTCCATAAGGATCGTCCGACACATCTTTGAGCTAAATTTGTAATAAATGAGCTCAAACTTCAACAAAGTTTGGTTAAAATTCAAAAATACATATACTGGTCAAACTTCAAAACTAAACCAATTTTGTTTAGCTTTCTGCATCGCTGAGAACGGAGACTATAGTTTTGAAGTGTGACCAGTATAAGCTTATCTGATACTTACATTGGCATAACACCTTCCTTGAGGCCATTGATAAATGAAAGGCCAATCGTCAGGGCATATTGACTCACCATACGCTACAAAATCAATTTGTTCCAAAAATATTTTTGAGATTTGTTAAAATTAATAATGTCAACCATAACAAAGGTACGTAATGTAGAATTCAAAAACGAGCCATATAATCCCGGCCTTCGACAAAGATAAAAACAGGTCGAGCTCAAAAGTTGGGCAGCTGGCCTTGGTTCCGGGACCGTATTTTGGCAGTGGCGATGAATATTTTTGGATTTACTGAGTCCCGCAACGAAACATTGATTTTCAATTTATTATGCCGCGAAATATTTATTGTTGTTACTGTTTGTTATGCGACTATACTCAAATAAACATTTTTAGTTGTCTATTTTCTCACTACATTATAGCTAAATGGTAAAGTAACCAAATTTTATTGTTACTTTGAAAAAATCTAAACATGCCAAGGTTGCAAACTAGGTCCCGAGTTTGGGACAGACCTAAAAAGTGCGCCCGAACCGGCTTATTTCTCATCCCTAACGTTATTCAAAAAAAACGTGTTTTTATACCAAGATAAAATGGAGTTCAAAAGTTAAACTCACTCAAATCCATAATGACTCGTTGAGCATCGGTTCCATTCAATGTAGTGTTATACTTGAGTTTGCTTTTTATATACACCAGCTCCGTTCTGTTGCCATAAGCTAAAACTTCATAAACATAAAACTTCAAACTTCCTACTTTGTATATCCAGACTAGCCATAGCCAACCCAACAAGTTGTTTACCACCAACACAAGTTTTGTTATCAGTGTTATACATCAGCCATCTAGCATCATTAATCAATGCTTCTACTGCACAACCATCTAGCGTGACATCTTCAACACTGAACAAGGTGTTTCTATAATATACGTCATACTGAACAGGTACTTGTTGATAGATAACATCGTACATTTGACAAGATAGGGTGGTTTTGATGTAGTAGATAAGGAAAAAGGTTATGATAGAGTTATCTATGATGTTATTGTACAAGTAGGATAAAAATTGAAGCAACATTCCAAAAAATATGTCATAACAACATTACTTTTTAAGAAATGTGTGTTTTGTTTTGAATTCAGATGAGAACGTTAAGTAGTGTTGCTGGGAGATGGTAGGAAGATTCTGTAGATAATATTTATGACTTTAATTACTTCCTCTAAGATGGTCGTATTGGTCTAAGGACTAATGATCTACGGTAGCAACTTAGGCATGCATGTTACTATTAAAAAAATTAAAAAAAATTTTTTTTTAAATTTTAAATAATACTTTACTTCAAGCTAATGAAAAAACATCTAAAAAAGCTAATTAGCCTAATAAGACTATATTTAAGAAGCCTTAGCGGTAGTAGCGGCCGCAGCAGCACCAGTTGTCTTGGCAGCTAAAGTGGCACCAGTTGCAGATGGAGCTTTAGTACCGGCTTTAGCTGGGGCTTTGTGAGCTGGAGCTTTGTGGGCTGGAGGTTGATGAGCTGGAGCTTTGTGAACTGTGGGATGGTGGGCTGGCTTCTTGTGGACTGGTTTCTTGTGAGCGGCTCCTAAAGGGTCATGGTGTATATCCTGATTTGTTGAAAATATTATAAATATTGTCTTAAGTTTCACTGTCTATGATAGTTTTTGCGCTCGCTTTTATCGACGACGTATTTTACACAGTAAAGTTTTATTTATAGAAAAATCATTTTGAAGCTTACCAAGGGCAGTGACAGCCAAAAGAGCCAAGAGAAGGATGATGAAGAATCTCATGTTGAAGTGGACAGAAAAGTTAATGAATGCTATTGTTGTCACTAGTTGTGGAGCCTTTTATACTAGTTACTAAATTATGATCTACATACTAATTTGTTACCAATATTTTGATTGCCACGTTTTATGTAAACTTTAGTTCAACTTATGTTAATCTTATAATACACTGTAGTTCTTGTAAACAGAACAAGTAGAAATGGACAAAGAATAATAAACAATATAGAGTTCCAAGACTAGGTCATGATGATTATGTAAATCTGTATACAAAATTTAATATATAAGGCTCAAAACCTAGGTATAAACATATCATTCATTAACTTGATTGTCAATTCTAACATGAGATTCCTCATCATCCTTCTTTTGGCTCTCTTGGCTGTAACTGCTCTTGGTAAGTTTATTGATAATTCATTTGAAAATTTACTTTACTTTCCTCTTGATCTAACCAAATATATATTTAATTTTCAATTTTATAGGAGCCGCCCACCACGGTAAGAAGCCAGTCCACAAGAGGCCAGCCCACCACCCACCAGCCCACAAAGCCCCAGCCAAAGCCGGTACTAAAGCTCCATCTGGAACTGGTGCCACTTCAGCTGCCAAGGCTACTGGTGCTGCTGCGGCTGCTACTACCGTCAAGGCAGCTTAGGATACCTAATCTTTCCAAAATTTGCTTTATTATTATTGGTATTTCTTTAGTTTTTTTACAAAATAAAGGTCTAGTTATGTTAAGTTTCTATGGCGAGGTAAATTGTAATAATAAAAACTTTTTTTAAAATTTTTTTACAAATTTATTAAAAAATAAGCAATTTTCCGAGATAAAAAGTTAGTTAATATGTTTTGTATCCACATAGTGATAAGAATTAAGGCGCTCCAACACCTTGGCTGGTGACCGCGTTTATAGGTTCGGCTGGGCTTTTTGTTTCTGTATTTTCTTGTTCTTTGGCATTGTCTTCATTACCATCACCTCGTTTTGTCACATTGGGTTTTGTGTTTTCTGAAATGGCATTTTTTAAAATTTTTTGATAAAAACTTGCGATATTACAAGTCTTCGCTTTTTATGTAAAGTTTAATGACTTATGATTATAATTTGCCAAAAAAAATTTTCGATCTTGTAGTACAAGTACTAATACTAAACCAATTTTTAGTTCAATGTCTACCTTTATTATCCCTCTTTTTTCGTCCAAAACCCATGCCAAACACGCCTTCCTCATCTTCGTCGTTCTCTGTTTCTTCTGCTTCTTCACCTTCTTCCTCTTCATTATCAGCATTGTCTTCTCGTTTCTTAACACCTTTATCTTGCCCAACACTACCTCTTCCACCAGGACCATCTTTCTTCTCCACAGTAATTGGAGTCGTGTTTTCTGACATTCGTTTCTCCAGTGGCTTGACTGTGGATTCTGCTTGACGTTTTTCTTTCTTTTCTTCATCAAATTCTCTCTTTTCCTTCTTTTCTTCGTCTACTTCTCTCTTTTCTTTCTTTTCTTCATCAAAAGCTTCACGTTTCTTGACTCCTTTGTCTTCCCCCGTAGTACCTCTTGAACCATCACCACCACGTTTGACTACGGTAACTGGAGTAGTATCTTCTACCATCCTTCTTGCTCTGATAGTTGATTCAGCTTGGCGTTTTTGTGCCGCAAGGGTAGTATCTTCAGCTTGTCTTTTCGTCACCTTAACCGTAGTATCTTCAACTTGACGCTTGTTTACTGTAAGAGTTGTTTCTTCAACTTCTCTTTTATTTTTTGTATTAGGCTCTAGTATGTCAGTTTGTCGCTTTTTGATGCTACAAGGCGTAGAAGCTTCGCGTTTATCGACTACAGGAGTTGATACTTCGACTTGACGTTTTTGTACGGTAGGTGTAGTTACTTCATTTTGACGTTTGTTAATACTAGCAGTCGATGCTTCAACTTCCCGTTTGTTTACAGTGAGAGTTGATGTCTCTACTTGACGCTTATTGACAGAAGAAGGCGTAGTACTTTCTTGACGTTTGTCTACCTTTACTGTAGGTACAGTACTAATATCTTTTTCGTTCAAGGTAGTTCCTTCCTCCTCAGCGGCTCTTTTGCTCACAGTTGATGGGGTAGTAAGGACAGCTTGTCTCTTGTTTACAGTGGGGGTGGTATTTTCAACTTGATGCTTGTTTAATGATGCCGTAGTATCTTCACGTTTATCAACTTTTACAGTGGGCACTGTACTGATATCTTTTTCATCAATAGTAGTTTCAGCGTCTCTTTTTTCCAAACCGGCCGTTGTAGCTTCTTCTCGTTTAACTAGACCTTCTGTAGTAGCTTCTTCTCTCTTTTCAAGACTTTCAGTAGTAGATTCAGGGCTACGTTTGTCGATTTTAGCTGTCGTATCTTTAGCACTTCGTTTTTCTTTGGTTTCTTCATCAACTTCTCTGTTAGTTGGTAGCAGTGAAGAAGATTGAAGTTGTCGTTTAGAAAGCTGAACGGTAGATGATTCAACTTCACGTTTGGATGGAGATGAAATCGACTGTTCATCTACATGTCGTTTGACTTGTGGTGATAAGGTGGATTGGTCTACTTGACGCTTATCTTTTCCTTGAGTTGTTTGTTGATAAACTTGTCTTTTGACTGGTTGTGGAGTAGATTGTTCTACCTGACGCGTCTCTACATCTTTGTTCTTGCCTTCATCTTGTCGTTTTGATCTTACAGTACTATCATCAGCTTCAGGGGGTATATTTAGAAGGGGCAATGGAGTGGAATGGATCACTGAAAATTTGAAGTAAAGCTTGATCAAATATTTTTAAAACTTTTTCGTAATTTTTATTAAGAAACCTATTTCACTTTTTGCTTTTTTTAAATTTTTTAAGCTGGAAGAAGGAGGGGGGGATAGAAAAATTTTCAAAAAACTAGACTTTGGCTTTCACCCCTCCCTCTTTACATAAAAACCACCTTTTAAAAAAACAACCTTATTCCATCTTCACCACTGATGCCCTACTCTCCCATCTCTAGCCCCCCTCCCATAAACACCTACCTGCCCTTAAGCCCAAAAACTTTAGTTACAAAACCCTCCTCAAACTTACCGTAACCCAACGTGAGTAACCCGATCAACAATAAGTATTTAAACATCATTTTACAAATACCGTGATGAGAGCGAAGCCACCTTTATATATAAAAATCCGGATTGCGCAATATAACTTTGAACATTGCCCTTGGTCATGGATAATATAAAAAGGGAACAGTTTGAATGGGGATGGGGAGATCAATCCGAGAGTAAAAGCGACTAATAATATCTGTTATAAAGTCAACTGTCAGACGGGTTGAAATGCGATCAAACAACACCATAACAATAAAGGTTAAAGGGGGGGGGGATTTTTAGACTAATCGTCTGTGGCGAATGTTTATTTCGTTTAGCCTAGTGTTTTTAGGCCAGTATGAAAACTTAAGTCCTAATGTTAATAGAAAAGTACCCAACCTGCCCCACTCTGAAACAGCTCAAAATTTTTATATAAATTCTTTGTACCACCAATAGTACAAAAAAATAAACTCGAGATTGAAAAATTAAGTTTTGAAGTTCCCGCCAATTTTCCAAAGTTGGCATTGTTTTTCAAGCACTTTTTTCGACTTTTCAGACAAGCTATGCTTATAAATTGAAAAATTAAGGTTAATTTAAAGGTTTTTTACTAGTATAACAAAGAAAAATGATGAAAAGTCAAAAAATGACAGGGTTATAAGCCTGAAGCGGAATGCCCATTTGGTGGGAAATTCAAAACGTTATTCTTTAATCTCGCTTTTTCGAGATTTCCTGGAAAGCGGGCTTCAGTGCTTTGCTGAAGGTCTTATATGTACATAATCCTTCTATATAAAGTTAGTTTGAAGTCATTTAGAGCGAAGTAGGTCCGGAACTATCTTTGTAATTTTACATGCTTCCCCCCTCAATCAACCCCAAACCTTTCCGTCAAAATAGTACCAATTTATACAAAGTAACAGTATCACATTATACACAAAACATTGTTCAAGTTCCCTTTCTGCGTCGAGTCTTGCCCGGCAGTTTTGTCTTTGGAGTTTTGGGTGATTTGCCTTCCTTATCTTCTTCTTTACTTCCAAGACTTGGAATCCCGACGTTGGCAGGGACAAGCTCCTCGTTCTTCTCTCTAGCTGAAGTAACTTGGCCAGGATACTTTGGAATCAGAGTGAACATCTGAAATTTTAAAAGTAAAAAAATCAAAAATTGAAATGCCACACTTTTTTGAAAAAAGGCGTATTTTTTATTTTTAACCACCTAATAAGCCCTAAAGTAAAAAAAAACACAATAAATAATAAATTTCAGGCCCTTTCAAAACCCATCGCAACGTGTGCCATGATAGCTCAGTCGGGAGAGCGTTAGACTGAAGATCTAAAGGTCACCGGTTCGATCCCGGTTCGTGGCATTTTTGTTTGGAACGCTTTTTATTGGTCAAAACAGAGTTTTTTAATCCTTCTCTTTGCTTGTACAATATAAAACCACCTTTTTTTACCGCGCCCTGCCTTAGCAGTGTAAAATTGCCTTTTTTTACCCCTTTCTCCCCCAATTCCTGCCCAATCTAAATCAACTTTTTTCACCCCTGTCCTTCTCTTTTCAGTCCAAATCATCATTTTTACCCCTACCTTATCTATTAGGTTTTTCAAATAATCCTGTGTCCCCTAACCTTAAAAGTTTGCTTTGAGAGGGGGGGGGGCACATAATTACTTGGACTAACTAATATAATCATTAATCAGTACTATTATAGTTACCGTTCTTTCATTCCTATTAGCCCCATTAATCGGGCTGATCTTGTCCGCTTGAGCAGAGTAATTGACCGATACCGCCGGTAACTTTGTTTTGTAATTCTTCTGTGACGTCGTAGCCACATCCTTCACTTCCTTCACAACTTCAGGCCTCATATGAGCCGGTACGTTCTGCATGTCAATTGTCATTGTTGTGCATTCGGCCGTCTCATCATCTACCGTCTTCTCTTTCGCATTGTCTCTCGCCGTCTTCATCTTCTTGCCCTTCAAGCCCTCGGTGAACTTGCAGAGTGGAACGCCAAACTCCAGGCACATTGGTTGATAGCGTTTCCATTTGCCGTAGGTTCGTTTGAAGGCGGCACGAGCCTCGACCGACAGTTCTTGGGCTTTGTTGAACTGTTCCACGGCCTCTGGACTGGCTTGGAACTCTTCTTTGAACATCTCGGCTAGTTTGTCGTACTCCAGTTCGGACTGAATATAAAAGTTTATTACTTTAGCTCGGCGAAATGTTACCTATTAGGTTGTTCATTAAATTCTGCGTCCCTAATACATTAAATTTGCTTTGATGGGTAGCTCAGAATCATTTGAACAACCTAATATCAAAATACAAAAGAGCACAGAATTATTTGAACAACCTGATATCAAAATACAAGAGGGCTCAGAATTATTTGAACAACCTAATATCAAAAAACAAAGAGGCTCAGAACTATTCAAACAACATAATATTAGACAAAATCATTCAAGACCCACCTCAATGACCTGTTGATAGTAACTAAAAGCGCAAGGTTGGCCAAGATTCCACACGGCACAGTTCAGTTCCTCTTGAACACCAGACTTAACGTAATGTTTTGAGAATTTGCCGTCAGTCAGCGCTGTCACCGCCTCTTTCAGCCACTTGTAGATCCTCAAATACCTCGGCGCTTGACTGTTGTTCAACATCTTAATATGCATCACGATTTGGTACATGAATGGGCCTGCTATTGGGCCAAAAACATAGAGCATTTTGGAAATGTCAGTCCAGTACAGTCTCTTCAAATGGCGTTGTTCCTTGGGCTCCCATGGCAGGTCGGTTGGATGACGAAGGTAGAGCATCTGAAATGAGGTGGGTAAGACATAATAAAACATACGTTGACTTCAAAACTTTTTTAAAAATTCAGAAACTCCAAAATCAAAAAAAACCTTCAAATCTCACCTCCAAAACCCAAAATTTACCCATCTAACCCAAAGTTAATGTCTTCAAAAAGTCTTGTCGTTTTTCACCATGCAAGTGCATATAAATTGAAGACAAGACTTTTTTTTCCTTAATATCAACCAAGTCAAAAAAAATTCAATTAGCATACATTAGGTTATTTACATAATTCTGCGCCCCCTTACCCCACAAATTTGCTTTGAGAGGGGGCGCAGAATTAAGTGAACAACCTAATATTATACATAGAAATATAATGATCTTGATACACAATAAAAAGCTCTTGTTATGGTCAATATAAAATGTATGTTAAACTCGCCATGAAAATCCAAGAAATTAGGTCATCATTTCTACCATATTTGTAAAAGTCATCTCTTGCAGCAGGTGAAAAGACACCATTAGTAGCCGGAGGCAAGTTTGGAATAACTTCATTGAATGGAACTGTTGAACAGTAGGGTCTAAAAATAATTCTATTGAAGTGAAATAAAGAAAATTGACCGCCATAAGTTACCGTAGAGTAAAGTAGCTTAGACTTTACTCTATTGCAAAGTACAGTAGAGTAAAGTAGAGCAAAATAAAGTAAGGTAGAGATAGGGGTAAAGGTAGAAGTATAGGTAGAACAAAGAGACAGTAGAGTAGGGCAGGGTGTAATAGAATAGGGTAAGATAGAGTACGGTAAGGTACGGTAGGGTAAGGTAGGATAAGATAATTCCCTTCACAATACAATACAACAGAGTAATCAACATACAATGCCGAAGTAAGATCAATGAGCACCATCTTCCCAAACAAATGCCCTGGCGCATTGTGTGAATGTAGACAAAAGTGTTCTGGAGTAATGTTTCTGTGAACCAGTCCGGTCTCATGAAGTTCGTGGATGGCGTGGAGCATTTCCATTCCGACTCTTAATGTAGCTTCCACTGTTAACGGACCAAAGGTTTTCTGAAAAAAAAATTTTTTTACATTGAAAAAAAATTTTTAGGTAACATTTTGAACAAAAATTGCCATTCCATACCTAAATTACAACAAAAATGCCATTTTAAACAAAAACCTCAAAAAACATGACATTATTTATATTAACCTACCCTCAAATTGCCCAAAGATGGCCCGAGAACGGGGAAAGATAGCGAATGATCGTTCGGCGATGTGATTGGTGGACAGAGACGTTCGAACTTTCCAAACCGCTTCAGATACGCCCATACGAACATCTCCCTGAAGATACTCCGATCCAACGTGCCACTTCTCTTGTATGATTTCACAACACATCTTGGTTTCTGAAATTTATATTGTTTTAGGTAACAAAAGCTAATTTTAGTGGAACATAAGCTTTAAAATTAAACTTGTTACCTAAAAACTGTTTTTATAAACTTAAAAAGACCTTTTACCACCTAAAATTGAAGTTATAAGCCTAAAAGTGGCAATTGCAACCTAAAATCCCCATTTTAATTAAAAAACCTCAATTTCTAACTAAAAATAAAGACTTGTTACCTAAAAAATGTCTTTAAAAGCTTGAAAAGTCTCTTTATTACCTAAAAATTGTTTTTATAAGCCCAAAAACTTTCATTTCAGGTCAAATAACCAACATTTGTTACCTAAAACCCTCAATTTTCAACCATAAAACTCACATTTTCTGAACAATCGCAGAGATATAAGAAATGTTGAGATGTGTTGTTGATAATGGCAATGATCGTATACTGAATATTGCCTTTGCCTCCTTCCTTGAACAACTTGTTACCAATCTTCTGCTGATTTGGAATTACCGTTCCTTGGACGGGCACTGCTTCCTGAAACAGTTTATACATAATCAACCGGTCGAGAGGGAAGTAACAGACACAAACTGGTTTTTTGAGACTATTTTTGGCTAGAAATTGATTTTTTAAATGTTTTTTTTTATTAAAATTGATTTTTTTAAACAAAAAATGATTTTTTACAAAAAATTTAAATTTTTTAAATAAAAAAAAAATCATTTTTGCTTTTTTTTGAAACTACAGTGAGGTCAGATCATCGCTACAGCACGGTAAAGCACGATGAAGATCTATCAGAGAGCAATGAAGAGGTTTTGTGGCATTTTGCTTTGTTGCGAAATGTCACTATTGATTTTATTATTGATTTCTTGGTATTTTCGCCAATTTGTGGGGAGGATGGTATAGACCTGTAAAATAGCCCAATTTTTTAAAGCATTGGTTTGGGCCCGGCTCTGGGTCTCAGATTTCTCGAGCCAAGATTGTCTTACCTGTTAGCTTAAAGGAATTTCGTTGCGGGACCTAAACTGAGCTTCTGGGGCCTTGGTTTTTCGGGCCCACCTGTCTTCAACTGTCCCGGCTTTTTTCAAATATTTTTGTTTTGTCGGGTCCTAGGTATGGTAAACCCTGCTTGGCCTCTTTCAAATTTCCTGAAGCTTTGCTGGGTCAGGGCCGGGTCGAGTGGGCCCCTTTTCAGGCCTAATCGTGGCAAATTCCGTATTTTAGGCAATATCTTTTCCAAAAATAAAACAAAATATGTAATGTCCAACCTTTAAAATTAAAAAATTTATTAAAAGATATTATTCTTGTGGTTCTTCAGTTGTTGAAGGTATTAGCTCTTTAGCACCCGGCGCTCTAAAATCATATTGAACTTGGCCGTCTTGGCCGAAAGTGAAGCCACTTAGGGGGTCGTAGCCTGGTTGTCGTTGTTTTCCTTGTCCGTTAGCGATTCCAAATGGCAGGTTTTGAGGGTTTTGAACTGGGCCGCCGTTTTGGCCCCATTGGTTACCATTGTGATTAGGATTATATGGGTATTGATTGCCATTCTGGTTACCATTAGAATTATATGGGTACTGGTTGCCGTTCTGGTTGCCATTAGGGTTGTATGGGTACTGGTTGCCATTTTGACCCCATCCGTTGTTGTTTTGACCATTAGGACCATATGGGTTATATTGACCGTTCTGATTACCATTAGGACCATATGGGCTACCATTTTGGCCATTCGGACCATAGGGATTGTACTGACCATTCTGGTTTCCATTTGGGCCCCATCCATTGCCATTTTGACCATTAGGACCATATGGGTTATATTGACCATTCTGGTTACCATTAGGACCATAAGGATTGCCATTTTGACCATTACCATAAGGATACCCATTGTTTTGCCCATTGAATGGCTGACCATTGCCATTCATATTGTTGTTGTTTTGGTTGTTTTCGGCATTGTTTTGTTCTTCTCCTTCCTTCTTCTCTCCATTCTCGCCTTCTTTGTTCTCTTCTGCTTGCTCTGGATTGGCATTTGGATTTTGTTGGTTTTGATATGGTTGTTGGGCATAAGGGTTTCGGTCTGAAATTTTATTTTTTAAGGTTTATATGAGTTAAATCTTTATGATGGCTTGGTAGGCTCAAGGTAAGTAGGTTTAGGCTTACATAATATATAGGTCTGTCCCAAAGTCGATTTCTGTTTTAAATACCTTCCTATGTAAGTACCTTTAGTTCTGTTATGTTTAAACCTGTTACCATTAATTAGGTTTAATAAACTAGTACTTACTGTACCCATTGTTAAACCCATTTTGAGGTGGATATTGACCATTTTGTTGACCGAAGGGATTGCCATTGTATCCATTACCATTTGGATACCCATTAGGGTTCTGATAGCCGTTAGGATTGGTAGGGTAGCCATTCTGGCGAGGATTATTAAAGCCATTTGGTCGGTTGTGGCCATAAGGATTCTGATTGAATCCATTGTTCTGGCCATACGGATTCTGATTGAATCCTCCTTGACCATAAGGGTTGTTGTTGAATCCATTCTGACCGTAAGGGTTCTGATTAAACCCGTTTTGCCCGTAGGGGTTCTGGTTAAACCCGTTTTGTCCATTAGCTCCCCATGGCTGTTGATTGCCATTGCCATAGGCATGGTAATCACCGTTCTTGTTTTCTTCATCAGAAGGTGATGGTGATGGCTGTTCTGGATCTTTGGGGTCATCAGCTAACGCCGGCACATCATTGAGGGTCAATGATGAGGCGGTGGGTAGGGCAATGCCTGAAAATGGAAATAATATTAGTTTGTTCATGAAAGATAAGTTTATGTTATGGTAGGCTGTTTAAATAATTCTGTGCCCATAACTTCGATAATTTTTTTTTGAAAGGGGGCACAGAATTAGTTGAACAGAATAATGGAAACAGTTTTTGTCGCTTTTTGTTCAAATTGTTCTGTGCCCCTAAATTAAAAAGTTTTCTTTGAGAGGGGCACAGAATTAGTTGAACAACTTCACAGAAACTGTTTTTGACGCTCTTTGTTCAAATAATTATGTGCCCCTAACTTCGAAAATTTGCTTTGAGGGAAGGGGCCGGACCAGGCCTCTTATATAAATTTAGAATAGTGTAATGTAAACCGGAGTTCTTCAGTAAACGTCACATTAGTTTTACAGTTTTTTCAAGTCAAATCTTTCGTTGTGGGACCTAAGTTGGCCCCTTGTTTTATGCCCCCGGCCTCGGGCACACATTTGCCGGGCTCAGCCTTGCCAAATCTGCTTTTGGCCGGGATAGTCTGGTCTAGAAAGTCTAGTAGGCTTTGTTTTATGTCTACTTCTGACGAAAATTGCTTTCGGGGCTTTTATTTCTCTTTTTTTTATTAAAAATTTAAAAATTTATTTTTATTTTTAAAAATTTTTGCCACTTTAACCAAAACCCAACCTTACCATACTGACTCACAAAAAACAAAAGCAATATTAATTTAATCATACTGATAAAATTACAAAATAGTCGTAGATACAAAGAATCGAAATGAGTTTATGTAATGGGAATGAACGGCCTTGGCCAATCATTGTTTGTCCAACTGCTCATTCAGGCCCAAAATATAAAACGACAAACATTTTAGTGGAGATACCACTAAATTTTGATAGAATACTCCATTCTCTGACTCACAATTGCGATTTTAGAGGAAAATGCGTGAAAAGTTGGGGGCAATGAGTAAAACAAACATTATTTTAGGTATCACGCAGCTTACCAGGGGGGTTTGAAATGTTTTTTAAAAATATAAAATAACCATTTAAAATCGAAGAATCTTTATAACAAAAGCGCAAAAATGAAAAAATTCATAGTAATTTAAAACAAGTTCTAAAAAATTGCAAAACTTTCTTTACAGCTCAAAAACCGATTAAAACTCATCAAAAATGGTCCTAAAATGACCTAAAAACCTTTGAAAAAACATTATAACCTAACTTCTTATGTCTAAAACGTTAACAAATGACAATTTTTATCAATATTTTAAAATACAAATTTTAAAAAATTGCAAAAACTTTCTTTATAAATCAAAAAAAAGTTGACAATCTTTAAAAATTGCCCTAAAATGGCCTAGAAATCTTCGAAAATCATTTTTCATCTTCTTTTTATGCCTAAAACGTTTCAAACGGACGATCTTTTTCAATATTTAAAAATACAATTTAACAAAAAAAAGCATAAACTTTCTTTACAACTAAAATAACAGTTGAAAATAATCAAAAATGGTTCTAAAATAGCCTAAATATTTTTGAAAATTCATTTTAAACTACATTTTTTAGTTTAAACTAAAAACTATCAATATTTTAAAATACACATTCAAAAAAATTGCAAAAACTTTACAACTTAAAAACGAAAGCAAAACATCAAAATAGCCCTAAAATGGCTTAAAGTAATCAAAAACTTCAAAACACAAACATGTTTATTCCTCCTCAATAAATCAATAACATATTCTTCACAATAGGTCAAAATGTCACTTTACGGGAGAATTAACCAATAATTTTCGAGCATAACCACCCAAGAGCCAGTCCAACGATGCAGTCAGTCTAACGACCGATCCAGCCAGTCCAACAGTCGATCCAGTCAGTCCAACGGCCGATCCAGTCAATCCACGCACTCATTGAGGTTGTGGTGGTTCAAGTCTTGATGCTGGTACTAGTTGACGTCGTGATGGTTGTGGTAGATGCGGTTTTGGTAGTCGTGATGGTTGTGGTAGATGCGGTTGTGATAGTCGTGGTGGTTGTGGTGAGCTTGTATTTTTCGAACTTGTTTTCCAAATTTTGTCTCCTTCACGGGGTATGGCGCAAAAGTGGCCAAGCCGCAGATCATACCATTCCATCTTAACTTCTGATTCAAGTCCCACTTTACAGCCTTGTTGAAGTAAAATACATGGCTGAAGCGAAACAGTAAAGATGTTACTACGTATCCTACTCTCTACTCTACTCTGCTCTACTCTGCTCTACTCTACTCTACTCTACTCTGCTCTACTCTGCTCTACTCTACTCTACTCTACTCTACTCTACTCTACTCTACTCTACTCTACTCTACTCTACTCTACTCTACTCTACTCTACTCTACTCTACTCTACTCTACTCTACTCTACTCTACTCTACTCTACTCTACTCTACTCTACTCTACTCTACTCTACTCTACTCTACTCTACTCTCTACTCTACTCTACTCTACTCTACTCTACTCTACTCTACTCTACTCTGCTCTACTCTGCTCTGCTCAACTCTACTCTACGTTTTTTTTTAAAAACTTACTTTGGCAAGTCCACGTGATGAATGCGGTATCGTTTACCACGGACATTTCAATAATCATTTTTCCAAATCGACCAGCCGCTAGTCAATTTACGCAATTTCCTGAGTATCTGGATCCATTGTACAACGACAAGAGTAGTCCTATAAATTAAAACACTAGATAACCAATATAAACCTTGCCGTAATCAAGTCTACGGCTAATATTGAACCAAAAGTAGTGGGACATGTTTATTTTCAATTAAAGTGTCCCATTACTTTTGATTCAACCTAATAAGAATAACTCAGTAAAAACAAAAATCAAACCTATTTAAACCTACTTTTGGACTATTGTCCACAGACAACTGGTAGGTAAGCACTTCCGTTCACACCTGAAACCAAATCTATTAGAAAATGGGGTTACCTTTACTTTACTGGCTAGATCTCAAAACGAGTGATAAAAAATCATAAGTTAAAGTTTAAACTTGCATCTTATGACAAGAAAGGTTAAAATGGCATCTTGTGATAAGCAAAGTTTAAACTGGCTTCTTATGATAAGCAAAGGATAACTGGCACCTTATGATAAGCCAAGCTTAAACATCTTTCACTTACTGCACGTTGAGTGTCCACAAATCACCCTCATTCAAGATTAACATAGTGACAAAGTAGGTACTGAAAGTCGCCTTGCTCTAGGTGGAGATATAGATAAGTCGTCCTGCTCCAATTCTCACAGACTGACCTGGAGCATCTTTAACTCAACACAGGCTCGCCTGGAGCCGCTAACTCAACACAAGCTCACCTGGAGCCTTTCTAACTCATCACAGGCTCACATAGGGATCTTTTGACTCAACAGGTCTTATCTTGATGGTCTCCTTCACATGTCGTGTCCTTGTCTTTTTCACAAGTCGTGCCTTGCGATGATCCGAGCTGTAGTCAACTCTAGCTTGAGGTGATCCGTGCCGTATTCAACTCTGGCTTGAGATGATGCAAACTGTAGTCAACCATGACATTCCAAACCAAACCAACTTGGAGCAATACGACTACCATCAACCAAAGCGACCAGCCATCTTGTTCCAAGAACCGACCATTTTGTGCGACGACACAAAACGAAATGAACGTAAAACTAGGATGGACTAGATGGGCGAAGCGACCATCCCGTGCGGCGACACGAAACCAAATGGCCATGAGACTGACAACGTGACGATTGGCATAGTGCAAAATTAGTTAGGTCGATTTTGGAATTTTGAATAATTAAAAATTTTTTTTTTAATTTAATTTTTTTTGAAAATTATAACCGAACGGTCGTGAAATTTTGAAAAAAGAACGTTATACTCAGTGCCGGGCGGGGGTCGATAAAATTTTTTCAAAAAATCCACAGGGAGGACCGCGTTTAACTTTTTTCGCAAATTTTTTGGGGGGGGGACGCCAAGACTAATGAGAAACGTCTAACAAGAAAATCAAATTTAAAAAAAAATTATTTTTCAATACTAAAATGTCATCAAACTAAGCCTACAGCTAGTATATCGCATACTAAACAACGTATTAAGAAGCCTTGGCGGTAGTAGCGGCCGCAGCAGCACCAGTAGTCTCGGCAGCTGAAGTGACACCAGTTGCAGGTGGAGCTTTAGTACCGGCTTTGGCTGGGGCTTTGTGAGTTGGAGCTTTGTGTGCTGGGGGGGGGGTGGTGGGCTAGCTTTTTACCGTGGTGGGCGCCTCCTTAGGTAATTATTGTAGAGATGATAAGTTGACAGTGCATTTTTAAAAAGTAGAAATAAAATACTATGTCCTGAGGCATCACTGGTACTATTAGCAGCAAAATTAGTAGCACAAAAGTTTCTATATAATTTTCGTCAACTACTATAATATAATGTACGTTATGTTATTTATAAAGTAAAAATTTATTTTTCTTAAAAATTTAAATTATACCATGACAATCATGAAGAAAGTAGACTTTTGACAAAGATGAAGAGATAAAAATATACAAAACATTAGTTTCTGTTGTTCTGACCTCCATTCTGTCTGCCTCCTTGACCTCCTTGACCACCTCTCTGACCGCCTTGACCTCCCTGACCACCGCTCTGGCCTCCTTGTTGGTTGTTCTGTTGCCTTTGACCTTGTTGTTTCTGTTGGTTATTGTTCTGCTTCTGCCCACCACTCTGACCTTGACCTCCTTGACTGTTAAGGCTTCCACCACGGCTTTGACCGTTCTGTGAGTTGGCACGTCTGAAGCGACCTCCACCTTGGTTGTTGCTTTGGCTGCCGCCTTGTCCATTCTGACTTCCCTGTCCTTGCTGACCTCCTTGACCACCTCTTTGACCTCTTTGGCTTCCTTGACCACCTCTTTGACCTTCTTGTTGGTTGTTCTGTTGTCTTTGACCTTGGCTTCCTCCTTGTTTTCCTTGGCCGCTTTGTTGGCTAGATTCAGTCAAAGAACGTTGGGAACGGTTGCCGTTTTGGTTATTTCCGTAAACACAAGATCCGCCTTGACCTTGTTGACCTTCTTGTTGGTTGTTCTGCTGTTTCTGACCACCTTGTTGTCTCTGACCTTCTTGTTGGTTGTTGCTTTGTCCTTGACTACCTTGTCTTCCTTGGCCGCTTTGTTGACTAGATTCAGTCAGAGAACGTTGGAAACGGCTTCCACCTTGGTTGTTACTTTGACCACCAAAGCCTCCTTGACCTCCCTGACCTCCGAATCCATTTTGTCCACCTTGACCTCCTTGACCACCTCTTTGGTTAGCTTGACCACCTTGTCCATCTCCAAAGCCTCCTTGCTGTCCGTTTTGTCCTTCAAAACCGCCTTGACCTTGTCCTCCTTGACCTCCTTGACCACCTCCAAAGCCACCTTGACGTTTGCCTCTTACTACCTCATGAACAGAATCAGAAGACACATCAGTACCATTGTGGGGACGATGAGTGTGATGAGAGTAGCCTAGAGTTATATTATTATCAAAGGCATGGCCAATCTTATATTAACATACTGAGTTTTTGTGTCTAGAAACTCTTGTCGTTTTTGAATTTAGACTTTAATTCAAACTGACGACAAGATTTTAGCTGATATTGTATTAGTCATCTACTACCTTTTTACTAGTATAATGACTATAATAATACTATACGAAGCCTGAAAACTTACATTGTTGTAGAACCAATGAAGCGACCAACACCTTGAACAACATTTTTTCAATTTGAAAGTGAATCTACTGACAAATGACAGTGAACTGTTGTGTGACACTCAGTCACTGCCATCGTTTATATAGTAGACCTTGTTGATCCACCATCAATGACTAGGTGTTTGTTCAGCTTGAGGGGAAGTCAAATACGTGATTATGAACAGCCAAAGCTCAATTTAGATTTGCATTTGTAAGTGGGTGTCAAAACTAGATAGACTCAATTCTGATTCATACGGTAGAGGTGCAAAAGCTGGGCAAATAAGACAATATTTGTGCAAAAAAAGATTGGCAAAGGGGGTGGTTTTGTTTGATATATAGATATTATTGTGGCTTTTTTAGATTTCAAACTTTTAAATTAAAAATAATTTTTGAAAAAAAGCAACTTTTGTTTTATTATTGTTTTTTGTTTCACCTTACAGTAACGGAAATCAAGTTTTATAAAAAAATTACTTTTCAAGACAAAGAATATCACAAATTAAGCCTAGAGCTAGTATATTGCAAACTAAACCCCTTAATAAGAAGTCTTAGCGGTAGTAACGGCTGCAGCAACACCAGTAGTATTGGCAGCTGAAGTGGCACCAGTTCCAGATGGAGCTTTGGTACCGGCTTTGGCTGGGGCTTTCTGTGCTGAAGCTTTGTGGGCTAAAGGGTGGTGACCTGGCTTCTTGTGGATTGGCTTCTTACCGTGGTGGGCGGCTCCTGAAGATAATTATTGTTTTCTTCTCATATTACCTATTATATAGATTATAATATTATACAATTTCAAATTTTTAAATTTTTGTTTTAATCAATATTAAAATTAAAAAAGTATTTTTTTGAAATTATTTTAAAAAATAAAAAATTTAAAAATTATAAAAAAATATGTAAATTTTAAAAAGTTAAAGTTTACTCAAACAATTTAAAAAAGAAACGAAAAAACTAGTTAAATCCCCTAGTTTCAAATTGTTAAAAGTAGAGCGATTACATGACTCATGGTTACCTCGAATTGATCCCTAAACAGATTTTAACCCAAATAACCGCAGTAATCTGTGTTTATGATTCGTGTCATACCGAGAACTCTACTTCAATATGATATTAGGTCGTCAGCTATCCTTACTACAACATGCTATTATCAGACGTAGTCATCGGATCCTACTACAACAATATATTACGTAGTATCACCGTTTGACTGATTACTCATCGCTGTTTATGCAGAAATGGGCCGGGTTACTGGTCAGCCTTGTAACAAACCTATTTCGCAGTAAATCCGATTAGCGCTGACTATAAAAGCATGTTGTAGTAGGTTGATTGAACAGTAAGAAATTTGAGTTACATTACAATTGTCAGCAATGATTGTACAACTAATTATTGTTGGACTAGCTGTTAGCCAAGGTATGATGCTTCTAACTGATTGATAAAAATTTCAAAACGTTTTTTGATATTTTAAAATGATTTTTTAGAAGATATTGATTACTGTTGTAGCTTAAAATTTAAAAAACCTTGGTGTTAACATAAGTCATTTCAGTATTATCTCACCCAACTCCTCAATTCGGTCAAAACGGACAATTCAAAGGCCAAGAAGGAGAACAAGGCCAATTCGGTCAACAAGGAAGCTTCAGCCAAGAAGGCAAATTTGGACAGAACGGTCAGCACGGTAGCTTTGGAGGTCAGGAAGGAAGCTTTGGAAGTCAAGGTGAACTCAGTGGTCAAGGAGGCTTCGGAGGCCGACATGGTCACGGTTTTGGCCAAGGACTAGTTTCATTCGAAGCTTCAGAACAACGTCAGAAACGTCAAGAATCCTTTAGAAGTGTAGATGGATTCAGCCGTGGTCCAGGACAAGAAAACGGTCAGTTCGTACAACAGGGTGGTGAACAAGGTCAGTTCGGCCAAAATGGTCAACAAGGTGGATTTGGAGGTGAAAATGGACAAGGCTTTGGTCAAGGAGGTCAAGAACAAGGTAATGAAGGATGGGAAGGTCATACTGGAGCGCCACAGAAACGTCAAGTCACTGAACAAGGCCAACATAATGGGCATGGTTTTGGCCAAGAAAGTCAAGAAGAACATGGTGGATCTCATGGTCATACTGGTGGTTTTGGAGTCCATACTGGAGCCTTTGAAGATCATATTGGAAGACCTGAAGAAAGAAGAGAAAAACGTCAAGAATCCTTTGGAAATATTGAAGGATTTGGTGGTGAACAAGGTGGTCAATATGAAAGCCAAGAAGACGGATTTGGTGGTCAACATGGCCTTGGCAGTCGACAGGGCCAAGGAAGAGGCTCTAGCAGTCAAGAAGGTGCAGAACACGATGGAAGAAGCGGTCAATTTGGAGCTCAGAAAGGCCTAGGAGGTAACGGGTTTGGTGCTCTTGGTGGTCAAGGCGGCTTCGGAGGTCAGGGAGGTCAAGAAGGTCAGGGAATTCAAGAAGGTAGACAACATGGTGGCAGAAGCAGTGAATTTGGAGGTCAGGGAAGTAAAAGAGGTCAAGGAGGTCAAGCAGGTAGACAACATGGCGGAAGAAGCGGTGAATTCGGAGGCCAAGAAAGTCAAGGAGGTCACGGTGGCTTTGAAGGTGAAAATGGACATACTGGAAAGTACGAAGGTCAATTTGAAGATCATACCCGTAGCCCAAGAATACAACGTCAAGCATCTTTTGGAAACCTCGATGGATTCAGCCGAGGTCCAGGTCAGGAAGGTGAACAAGGCCAGTTTAGCCAAGGTCAACAAGGTGGCTTTGGAGGTGAGAATGGTCAAGGTTTCGGTCGAGAACAAGGTCAAGGCTTTGGTCAAAGCAAGTCTGAAGAACACGGAAGATTTCAAGATAAATCTGGCCAACATAACGGCCAAGAAACCTTTGGACAGTGGGAAAACGACCAGTAAATGATATTATTCATGATGAATTGACTACGTTTGTGCCAATAATTAATCTTTCACTATTTATTGAACGTTTTTGTAAATAAATATATGATTATAAAGTAACAGTGAATATTGTATTATAATAAAATTAAAAATAAGGTTAAACTCAGCTGTATTATATTATTATAAAAGCTTCGAAGGTCTTATTTGGTGGTCAACATGGCTTTGGCAGTCGGCAAGGTCAAGAAAAGGGCTTTGGTAATCAAGAAAATGGATAACACGATAAAAGAAGTCACTTTGGAGTTCAGAAAGGCCCAGAAGGTACTGAATTTAATGCTTTTAGTATTCAATGCAGCTTTAGAGGCAAGGAAAGTTAAGAAGGTCAATGAGGTCAAAGTGGTAGACAACATGGTTAGCTAGGAATAGTAAAAAACCAAACATAATACAAGATTTTGATAGAAAACAAACAAAGAAAATACGTACCCTACCTTGCTCTAATTGACTTCAAACTTTTTATGTAGAAACATCATGTAAATATAAGACCTACAGGAAAGTACTAAAGCGCGCCTTCCAGTAAATCTCGAGAAAATAAAAATAAAAAAATTACGTTTTGAACTTCCCATCAAAGTGGCATTGTGTTTCAAGCTTATAACTCTGTCATTTTTTGACTTTTAACCAATTTTTTTTGATATACTAGTAGAAAATCTTGAAGTAGGCCTACATTTTTTAATTTTTAAGCGTAGTTTGTCTGAACAGTCAAAAAAAATGCTTAAATCACAGTGCCAAATTTGCCAAATTGGCGGGAAACCCAAATAATTTAAATTTAAAACTCAAAAGCGCGAGCTAAAATTTTTTATGGGTACTATTGGTGATACAAATCATTCATATAAAAATTTTGAGCTGATTCGAAGCGGAGCAGTTTGGGTACTTTCTCTCTATGTTATCTCATTCATTTTCAAGCAAACTTTTTTAGGTAATTGTAAGAATGAGTATAAAATAAGTCTTGTGAAGTTCATCGTTAGGACCCCTGATATTACTACTGATTTTTTTGCATTTTTATGCTTTACCATATCTTTTTTAGTAAAATTTTAAAAATATGTTGTTATTGGATTAATATTTATTATGAGTCAACAGACAATTTACGTTGTTTGATCAGTAAACAACTGTTTCAAACTTTAATTGGAAGTGTTTCATAGTTTTAGTTTTAATCTTTTGTTAAGCTCGTTTTTCATTGGTTCAATAAAGATCGATTCTTGATCAAATGAAACAAGTTTTAAAGTGAAAAAACGTAAACTTTAGTTCATCTACAGTATGTTGTCCAAATATAGATGATCGTACATTAGGGTAAATTTAAGTTTTTTTAAATTGAGTTGTTTATCATAGATAGGTAATATAAAACGAACGCTTCTAAAAAATAGTACATACTAATGTAAATACAACTTTATTAAGTATTTAAAAACTAATTAAAAACAATAAAAATATGCAAAGTTAACCTTTATTGACAACGATAAAACTTTAAAAAAACCAATAAAATTTAAATGATCTACTAAAATATTCTCCTCGAGCAAATCTAAGCAGCAACAGTAGTAGTAGTAGTCTTCTTGGTCTTGTTCTTATTCTTCTTGGCCTTCTTAGCCTTCTTGTTCTTTTTTGTTGTATTCTCTTGGCTCTCAAAGCTTTCGTTCGACTGGCTACCGCTTCCTTCTTGGCTTCCCCAGCTACCGGCTTCATTACTGTGTGATCCGAATCCAGGTGGTCCACCATGTCCGCCTTGGCCTCCGAATCCACCACGACCACCTTGACCTCCAAATCCATGGCCTTCTTGACTATTTTGACCTCCAAAGCCACCGTGACCACCTTGACCTCCAAAGCCGCCGTGACCTCCTAGACCTCCAAAGCCATGACCTTCTTGACTTCCATGACCACCTTGGCTTCCATGACCACCTTGACCACCGAATCCTTGGCCGTTAGGTCCAGGACCTCCAAAGCCGCTTACACTTCCAAATCCACCTGGTCCACCGAATCCACCATGACCTCCTTGACCTCCGAAACCACCGTGACCTCCTTGACCACCGAATCCGGAACCTCCAGAAGTTTGTCGACTTTCACCGCTTCTTCCACCATGTTGTCCAGCTTCATGACTGCTTTGATCTTGGCTTCTAAGACCTGGCAGACCACTGAATCCGCTTACTTGAGCTCCTGGCAGACCGCCGAGACTTTGACCGTTCTGTGGACCTTGTTCAGTGACCTGACGTTTCTGTGGCGCTCCAGTATGACCTTCCCAGCCTTCATTGCCTTGTCTTTGACCAAAGCCTTGACCATTTTCACCACCAAAGCCGCCTTGTTGACCATTTTGGCCAAACTGACCTTTTTCACCTTCTTGTTGGCCGAACTGGCCGTTCTCTTGGCCTGGATTTCGGCTGAATCCATCTACACTTCCAAAGGATTCTTGACGTTTCTGACGTTGTTCAGAGCCTTCAAATGAAACTTGTCCTTGGCCATTCTGACCTCCAAAGCCTCCTTGACCTCCAAGGCCACCTTGACCTCCAAAGCCATTTTCTTGACCTCCAAAGCCACCGTGCTGACCGTTCTGTTCAAATTGACCTTCTTGGCCGAAGCTTCCTTGTTGACCAAATTGACCTTGTCCACCTTGTTGTCCTTCGAGTTGTCCGCTTTGGCCAAATTGAGGAGCTGGGTGGGATAATACTGAAATTACTTATGTTAACATCAAGTTTTTTAAATTTTAATCTACAATAATCAGCATAATCTTTTAAAAAATAATTTTAAAATATCAAAAGACGTTTTTAAATTTTTATCAATTAGTTAAAACCTACATACCTTGACTAACAGCCAGTCCAACAACAAATAGTTGTACAATCATTGCTGACAATTGTAATGTAAACTAAATTCCTTACTGTTCAATCTATCTACTACAACATGCTTTTATAGTAGTGTTAATCGGATTTACTGCGAAATAGGCTTGTAACAAGGCTGATCAGTAACCCGGCCCATTACAAACAGCGGTGAGTAATCAGTCAGACGGTGATACTACGTGATATTATATTGTAGTAGGGTCTGATGGCAACGTGGGATAATATCGTAGTAGAGCTCGTTGACTACGTAGTATACTGAAATTGTGATGAGATAGTGAGATTAGTTATGTCACAAGTTACAAACACTCATTTGGCTGCAAATTTGTTAAGGGAGGAGGGGGGGGGGGAAGTGGGAGAGGGATTAGTAGTGAGGTCAATTTGAGGTAGGAGATGAGTAATGTTTTTAAACTGGGTTTAATAAGAACAATATTGTTTTTTGATAATGTAAGCTGATAAAGATTAACATATATATCATAAAATTTAAAATTTCGAAAAAAAAATTTTTTATTTTAAAAAAAGTTTTTAAATTTATGACATTATTATATTCCAGTATATATTTAATAATAGGTTATACCATGTTGTTCATATAATTATGAGCTCTCTCTCAAAACTTAGTTTTTGAAGTTAAGCAGCACAGAATTATTTGAACAACCAAATAGTACCACCAAGCCCTCTTTAGTCTATTGTATCACCAAACCCATTATATTACCACCAAACTCTCCATAGTACCACAAAACCCTCCATATTACCACCAAACCTCTCGTAGTACTATCAAATTCTTCATAGTACTAGCAAACCATTCTTAGTACTATAAAACACTCCACAGTACTATCAGTATTATCGAACCCTCCAGTACGTGTTATTATAAATTTCGATTCTCTTTCAGCCAACCAATACAGTAGTCATACATAAGACAGAATTTGTCTCATCAAAACGAATTTTCTAGCCGAATTGTATTAAATGTGAGTATAAGTGTGCCATTTCGGATAATCGCCGCTTGTTACCGTATGCTTCTTTGCTAGTCTTTCATATTCGAGATATGGACAGTACCGATCTACCTCAAAATTCAAGTGCTGCCAAAGCTTTCTTCTCAGTTGAATCACCTTATTATACCTTCTTTAAAAGGCCTGGATTACGGTATGACTACTTCAACTACAGCATGACTTATAGGGAAGATAGTGATCTTCCACAGGGTTATGAGTTTGATTTGGAGGTGGCTTTTAATGGTACTAGTAAGAGTGTTGAAAATGTATTATAAGTTTAAGTTGAAGTTCAATGAGTTTTCAAGAAGGTAGAGCATACTGAAAAGATTAAAATAAAGTACGTTACTGTAAGGTGAAACAAAAAACAATAATAAAACAAAAGTTGCTTTTTTTCAAAAATTATTTTTAATTTAAAAGTTTGAAATCTAAAAAAGCCACAATAATATCTATATATCAAACAAAACCACCCCTTTGCCAATCTTTTTTGCACAAATATTGTCTTATTTGCCCAGCTTTTGCACCTCTACCGTATGAATCAGAATTGAGTCTATCTAGTTTTGACACCCACTTACAAATGCAAATCTAAATTGAGCTTTGGCTGTTCATAATCACGTATTTGACTTCCCCTCAAGCTGAACAAACACCTAGTCATTGATGGTGGATCAACAAGGTCTACTATATAAACGATGGCAGTGACTGAGTGTCACACAACAGTTCACTGTCATTTGTCAGTAGATTCACTTTCAAATTGAAAAAATGTTGTTCAAGGTGTTGGTCGCTTCATTGGTTCTACAACAATGTAAGTTTTCAGGCTTCGTATAGTATTATTATAGTCATTATACTAGTAAAAAGGTAGTAGATGACTAATACAATATCAGCTAAAATCTTGTCGTCAGTTTGAATTAAAGTCTAAATTCAAAAACGACAAGAGTTTCTAGACACAAAAACTCAGTATGTTAATATAAGATTGGCCATGCCTTTGATAATAATATAACTCTAGGCTACTCTCATCACACTCATCGTCCCCACAATGGTACTGATGTGTCTTCTGATTCTGTTCATGAGGTAGTAAGAGGCAAACGTCAAGGTGGCTTTGGAGGTGGTCAAGGAGGTCAAGGAGGACAAGGTCAAGGCGGTTTTGAAGGACAAAACGGACAGCAAGGAGGCTTTGGAGATGGACAAGGTGGTCAAGCTAACCAAAGAGGTGGTCAAGGAGGTCAAGGTGGACAAAATGGATTCGGAGGTCAGGGAGGTCAAGGAGGCTTTGGTGGTCAAAGTAACAACCAAGGTGGAAGCCGTTTCCAACGTTCTCTGACTGAATCTAGTCAACAAAGCGGCCAAGGAAGACAAGGTAGTCAAGGACAAAGCAACAACCAACAAGAAGGTCAGAGACAACAAGGTGGTCAGAAACAGCAGAACAACCAACAAGAAGGTCAACAAGGTCAAGGCGGATCTTGTGTTTACGGAAATAACCAAAACGGCAACCGTTCCCAACGTTCTTTGACTGAATCTAGCCAACAAAGCGGCCAAGGAAAACAAGGAGGAAGCCAAGGTCAAAGACAACAGAACAACCAACAAGAAGGTCAAAGAGGTGGTCAAGGAAGCCAAAGAGGTCAAAGAGGTGGTCAAGGAGGTCAGCAAGGACAGGGAAGTCAGAATGGACAAGGCGGCAGCCAAAGCAACAACCAAGGTGGAGGTCGCTTCAGACGTGCCAACTCACAGAACGGTCAAAGCCGTGGTGGAAGCCCTAACAGTCAAGGAGGTCAAGGTCAGAGTGGTAGACAAAAGCAGAACAACAAACTACAGAAACAACAAGGTCAGAGACAACAGAACAACCAACAAGGAGGTCAGAGAGGTGGCCAGGAAGGTCAAGGAAGTCAAGGCAGTCAGAATGGAGGTCAGAGTAACAGAAACTAATCTTTTGTATTTTTATCTCTTTATCTTTGTCAAAGGTCTACTTTCTTCATGATTTTTATGCCAAAACTTAAATTTGTAAAAAAAATGAATTTTATTTTCTTAAATATTCTAATTCATGTTATATTATAGTAGGTGACAAAATGACAGTAATATAAAAACAATATTTGAAAGATGTTTTTGATGAGTCGTTTTCAATAAGTCAAAGCGGCAAATTTGTTAAAGATACTATCTGCTTTTTATTGGTAAAAATAAGCGAAGCGGGTGAAGGAAAGTTAGAGAAAAGTAACACCTTGTATCTAACTGACAAAAATAAAGTTTTAAAATTTATAAAAATGAATAAAATTGTAAGTTTTTATTAGTTTTAATATCCTACCCTTTATTTGACTTTAACTTATCCTACTTTACCCTACCCTCCCAATTGGCTGCGAAAAGGGTCCAGTCCTACACTCGACACCTCGGTTTTCAAGGTTGCTGGTCAGACCGGACTGAAATGCAGGTCCAAGTCAGTGTGAACGGCTACCTCTACCCCGTTTGCTCTCCAGCACCGACATTACCCATTAGCACTGAATTGAAGTATATTTTTTTAATAAACCGCACAATCATTACTGTAATTTCAGGTGCCAGAATTAAAAAGTACGTACCATATCTCTTTGGCTAATATATCTTTGACAGTTGCTTTCATTGCTCTATCAGTACTGTTCATATATTGGTACAGTCAAGAAGAAGGAGTGGTTAAGAGCAGTCATTATTTGCTGTCAGCTTTAGAAACTTTTCAAAATTTGACAGAAGAGCCAATAGGAGATGTCATAAAAGTAAGCATTTTTTTATTTTTGCCTTTAGGCTATTAAATTAAATTTCTAAAAAACTTTTTTAATTTAAAAAATTGTATATTGCTATTAAGGTTGTTCAAATAATTCTACACCCTTTTTCAAAGCAACTTTTTGGTGTGAGGGGGCTTAGAATTATTTGAAAAACCTAGTAGTACTATCAGACTCTCCAGTACAACTTAAATGTCAATTCTCTTTTAGCCAAACAATACAGTAGTACTATATTGGACCGAATTTTTCTCATCAAAACGAATTTTCTGGCCAAATTGTACTAAATGCGAGTATAAGTGTACCATTTCAAATGACCGACGCTTGTTACCGTATGCTTCTTTACTTGTGTTTCATATTCGAGATATGGACAGTACCGATCTACCTCAAAACTCAACTGCTGCCAAAGCTTTCTTCTCAGTTGAATCACCTTATTATACCTTCTTTAAAAGGCCTGGATTACGGTATGACTACTTCAACTACAGCATGACTTATAGGGAAGATAGTGATCTTCCACAGGGTTATGAGTTTGATTTGGAGGTGGCTTTTAATGGTACTAGTAAGAGTGTTGAAGAGGTAAGTTTGTTTTGAGCTCTGTTGGTTTTTAAGGTAAAATTGATCTATAAGGCAAAGGCAAGGTTTTTATATCTACCTTGTTCACCTTGACCTCACTGATCACCTCTTTGGTTAGCCTGACTTTATTGACCACCTTGTCCACCTCCAAATGAACCAATATGTTTTAGATCCGCAAAATAATTTCAAAAAAGAAGGATTTGGCTTTAATAGCGGATTCAAATTGTAATACCAAATCACACAGAGAGTACTTATTGACCGCCCTGAATAGCCAAATGAATATAACTCGAGTTGGAAGTTGTGCCAATCGTACTTGTGACAATGGTTGCTTACAGGAACTTATAAGTAAGTTAATATAGATTATGACAAGTAGGGTAAACATCATTTTTATAGGTAGGGTAGGGTAAATTTAACCTTAAATTAATTTTTTTTGTAAAAAGTAAGCCTTTTTCAAAATTTTTGTTACCTAAAACTTCATTTTTAGCTACTCATCACTTTTACTTTGCCTTCGAAAACTCGATATGTCATGATTATGTAACCGAGAAGTTCTTCCGTTTTACCAGGTTTATAGTACCAGTGGTACTCAAGCGTTCCATCGTGCCTAAACGAATACCTTCTGATCTATTTATAGCTGTTGATGACTTTAATAATGTTACAGAGCTTGTAAATCATCTTCAGAAGGTTGCTAGTAATCATACTTTGTATGAACAGTAAGTTATAGTAGGGTAGAGTAGGGTAGGGTAGGTTGTATAGGGTAGGGTAGGGTAGGGTAGGGTAGGGTAGGGTGGGTTAGGGTAGGGTAGGGTAGGGTGGGTTAGGGTAAGGTAGGGTAGGGTAGGGTAGGGTAGGGTAGGGTAGGGTAGGGTAGGGTAGGGTAGGGTAGGGTAGGGTAGGGTAGGGTAGGGTAGGGTTAGGGTAGGGTAGGGTAGGGGTGGGTTAGGGTAGGGTAGGGTAGGGTAGGGTAGGGTAGGGTAGGGTAGGGTAGGGTAGGGTAGTCAATATTTTTTATATTTAGATATTTCGACTGGTCGATAAACAACAAACTGCCAAGTACTTACGACGAAAAGTTCGACGCCACGTGTCATTTGTGTAAAACAGCTCATTTGTTACCTAAAAAACATATTTCTGACTATCGACAGATTCTTAACGTCAAGAACGACTGTGATAACACATTTGTCAACAAATTTTTAGAAAAGTCTAATATCACATATAGTTGATAAGTAAAATAAATTTTAGTTTATTCTTCTAAAAGTTCAAAATTTTTTATAAATTTAGAAAAACATTATTACATTACATTAGAAGCCTGAGAACAAGGTAAAGTTAGTCTTAGTAGTAATACTCTTAAGCCGCCTTGGCGGTAGTACCGGCTTTGGCTGGAGATCTAAAGCTTCATCTGGAACTGGTGCCACGTCAGCTGCCAAGACTACTGGTGCTGCTGCGGCCGCTACTACCGCCAAGGCAGCTTAGAAGCGGCTTTATCAGAAGCTACTTAACATTAGCGTCTTTGATTTTTATAAAAAAATTTTTATGATTTTATGATATTATAGTAGATCTAAGTTTTATATTATAGTAAGTCTAAAATTGGGTAGAAATGAGCTCCAAACTGATTTATTGTTCTTATTTATGACAAAGTTAACATATTAGATTGTTCACATAATTCTGCGCCCCTTTACCTCACAAATTTTCTTTAAATAAAGGTGCAAAATTAAGTGATCAACCTAATACAACAGAAAACGACAAATACAAAATTAATTTCTGTCGATTTCCTGGCTTGGTCGCTGACCATTTTGGCCTGACTGACCAGTCGAACCATCTTCATGTTGTCTATCGTTTTGGTTTGGACTTCCAGCTGAGTTCTCGTGACTATGTTCATGGCTTTCGCTTGAAACGGCACGTTTTTGTCGTTGTTCAGAGTCTTGCTGCTGTCCATTTTGGTTATTATCTTGTCTATTTTGACTTGATTGGCTTGATTGTTGTCCTTCTTGAGCTCCTTGATCATTTCCTTGACCTACTTGACCATTACCAGCTCCACCTTGGCCAGACTGACCGTTTTGATTAGACTGTTGGCCTTGGCTTTGATTGGAATCGGTGTTGTCGCCAGTTGAAGCTTGACGCTTCTGACGATTTTGTTGACCACTTTGATCTTGTTCACCTCCTTGTTGGCTTCCCTGACCTTGTGATTGACCTGGTTCACCTCCTTGTTGACCACTTTGGCTTTGTTCATTTCCTTGTTGGCTTCTTTGGCCTTGCTGGCTACCTCCTTGTTGACCATCTTGACCTTCTTGGCCATTTCCTTGTCCTTGTTCACTAACCTGACGTTTCTGTGGTCCTCCAGTATGACCTTCCCATCCTTCGTTACCTTGTCCTTGGCCTCCTTGACCAAAGCCTTTGCCATTTTCACCTCCAAAGCCACCTTGTTGACCACCTTGGCCGAACTGATCTTGTTCACCACCTTGTTGGCCGAACTGACTGTTCTCTTGTCCTGGACCTCGGCTGAATCCATCTATACTTCCAAAGGATTCTTGACGTTTCTGACGTTGTTCAGAGCCTTCAAATGAAACTTGTCCTTGGCCGAAACCTTGGCCATTTTGACCTCCAAATCCTCCTTCACCTCCGAATCCACCTTGACTTCCAAAGCCACCTTCTTGACCGTTCTGTCTAAATTGACCTTCTTGGCCGAAGCTTCCTTGTTGACCTTGTCTACCTTCATGGCTTTCGAATTGGCCGCTTTGTCCGAATTGAGGAGTTGGGTGGGATAATACTGAAATAACTTATGTTAAAATCAAGGTTTTTTTAATTTCAAGCTACAATAGTAAGCATAATCATTATATAAATCACTTTAAACTATCAAAAAACGTCTTTAAGCTCTTATGAATCAGTTAAAAACACCATACCTTGACTAACAGCCAGTCCAACAACAATTAGTTGTACAATCATGATGATGACAATCAAAAAACCAAAGTTATGTTTGATCTACCTTCCATCCCCAGGCTTATATATCACCTTCACTAAGCGGATAAATCAATTTGTAACAATGTTGATCGTCTACCAAGTCTAATAACAGATCAACCAGGTATCGATGAGTAATCCGTAGACTATTATCTATCAGAATACGTATGTCATTTCACAGAAACTAACGTCACATCATCAAAAACTAATACCCATATACGTGACATCTAAAAAAGTATAGACATCATGTTTAGAGATCAGTTCGAGGTAGGGATGAGTAATATAATTGCTCTACTTCTATAACAATCCCATTTTGAACTGTAGGGGATTAAAGTAATCTTTTTTGATAACGTCACTTTAGGTTTTACTGTTTTTAAAAAAATTGGTTACAGTAATAAAATTGTATTTTATAAGAACGGAGGAGTGAATATGAGGGTAGAAATGAAAATGTAGGAAGGGGGATATGAGGGAAAGAAGGTGAATATAAAGCCAGAAAAATTTTAAGTGCCGACATAAAGAACCCGCCATTTTTTACAGGAAATTACAGGCAAAGTATGGCGGGTTCTTTTTGTCGGCACCTAATAGTTACATATGGAATTTGAAAATTAAATATGTAGGTAGAGCTTGAATGTTGGATAAAAGAGTGAATATGGAGTATAAAGGTAGATAGTTAATTATGGGAGCAAGAAAATGAATATGGTAGCAAGAAAGTAAATATAAAGGCAGAAAGTTAAAAATGAAGATATTAAGGTGTATATGAAAGTGACAAAGTGAATATGGAGATACAAAGATAAATATGGATTTCGGGGCTAGAACCGTAGCCGGAGGTTTATTAAGTGTACTTTTACTTTCCTTACTATGACATACTGTAGTAGGTATACTAATTTTGATTTTAAAAAATTTGTTGAAATTTTTGTTTTAATTTTAAATTTTAGTTATAAACAAAAAAAAATTTTAACATCTTTTTTTTTAATTTTAATGTTTTGTTAAAGTTTTAAAGGTCAAGCTGCGTGGTGTTTTTTAAAATTGAACCAAAGTGATCTTCGAAATCAATTTTTGACAAAAGTAAATAAAGTACTATTTAATCAGCAGCTTTTATCACCCACTTGCAAATATGGGTCTAAATTGAGATTTGTTTCATTATTAATCACGTATCTGCACTTTAGTCCAAGTTGTTCAAATATTTAGTCATTGTAGACAAACTAACAATGATTACTATATAAATGACAGTAAACTATCTTTTTTCATCAACCAAAGGCATCTCATTGTACGTTTACATTTGAATTGGAAAAATGTTGTTCAAGGTGTTGGTCGCTTCACTGGTTCTACAACAATGTAAATGTTTAAGGTTCATATAGTCTTTTACAACCGTTATAGTACTAAAGAGGCAGTAGATGACCATTACAATATTAGGTAAAGTCTTGTCGTTAGTTTACGTTAAAGTCTAACTTCAAAAACGACAAGACTTGCTAGACCCAATAGCTTCAGTATATTAATATAAGATTGGCCATACCTTTGATAATAATGTAACTCTAGGCTATTCTTATCGCACTCATCGCCCCCACAACGGTACTGAAGTGTCTTCTGAATCAGTTCACGAGGTTGGAAGAGGCAAACGTCAAGGTGGCTTTGAAGGTGGTCAAGGAGGTCAAGGTGGCTTCGGAGGTGGCCAAGGAGGTCAGGGAGGTGGTCCTCCAAGCCAAGGAGGTCAACAAGGCGGTCAAGGAGGCTTTGGAGGCGGTCAAGGAGGCTTTGGAGGCGGCCAAAGAGGTCAAGGTGGATTTGGTGGTGGTCCCGGGAGTCAACAAGGCGGTCAAGGCCAAGGAGGCTTTGAAGGAGGTCAGGGAGGTGGTCCACCAGGTCAAGGTGGCTTTGGTGGAAGCAGTTTTGGACAACAGAATGGAGGCCAAGGGGGTTTCGGTGGTGGACAAAGAGGCCAACAAGGAGGTCAAGGCGGTAGTCAAGGAGGACAAGGTGGATTTGGAGGTGGCCAAGGTGGACAAAGCAATAACCAAGGTGGAGGTCGCTTCAGACGTTCCAACTCTCAAAGTAGCCAGCAAAACGGCCCAAACCGTGGTGAAAACAGTCAAGGAGGACCAAGTGGATAACAGAAGTCAAATTAACCTAACGAAAACTAAAGTATTAAATATTTTACTCTACTTTATGTAAAACTTAAATTGTAAATACATATTTACTGCGCAATAAAATTGTATACAATTCTGAAATACATCTATATTATCATGAGTTTATTCAAATAGTTCTGTGCCCCTGAACCCAAAAAAATGTTTTGAAAGGGAGCACAGAATTAAATGAACAACCTAATATTACTCAGAAAAGGCTCTTTTACTTCAACTTCTCGTAAAAACTAATATACGTGTACTACCATCACCTTCCCCCCCCCCTTCTAGAAAAAACGTGTAGCTCTGTAGCAAAGTCCCCGGCTTTTACCACAACTTTACAACCATTAGTAATCAAGGTTTCAACAAGGCTGCCAATGAGGCTCTTTAGACAGCCAAGGAAGTTAGGAGGTGGTCCACCAGGTTAGAAAGGTTAAGGTGATATGCCAAATCTTTTAATATAAACAAGTTTATTTCTTTGTTTCCTTCTTCTGACCTTTCTTTTCCTTCTTCCCTAAATTGTTGATTGCTTGGTCGTCTGATAGAGCATCTGGCGACGTGTCTTCTAGTGGGTTTGGAGCTGCTTTCGTGGGCTTCGATGAGGCTGGCTCTACGACTGGTCGTGCTAACAGTTGGTCTAGGGTCATAATCGGTGAATCTTCTGAAAATAAGCGCCAGATTAAGGCGATTTACTAAAAATGCGCCTCCTGAACAAAATGTCAATTTTACAAAAATTGATTTTGACATTTCGTTCAAAATTTATTTTGGCATTTCAAAGCCAGTATCAACAAAAAACAAAATTTAGGTAACAATTTAAGCCCAAAATCTATTCTATAAGCAAGATACTAATACCGTATATAAGCCCAATACCTATACCATATCAGTTAAATCCTAGGCTATGAAAAAAAATTTGGCCAAGGTATATTATAGTAGATCTTACTCGGAGCTGGTGGTGGTTTAGTGCCCGGTTTTATGAATTTTGTTTGTCGATTCGCTCCTTTCTTGTAATTTGTCTGCACATATCCACCATTCTTGTAGATCTGAAGCATTACACCGTACCGCCGCCATGGGTCTGATCTTGCTCTAAATTACATTAACTATAGCAAAAGATTTTACAATTTTCGTAATATCCGTATTTTACCTATTTTTTAAAAAGTTTGAAGTCAAGTTACTTACCTGATGACTTTATTGTGAGATCTCTGACGTTCGCCCTTTACTGGATAGCAGGTTTGACTTGACGTGAAGTAAAGCTCTTTGTAGCTAGCGTTGTCAGGTAATATGGCCTAAAAGACCATCTACGTAATTTAAAATTTTAAAACCCTTAATCATCCAGCCGGCACAAAACAACTCTCCAAACACAGTTCCCTCAATTTTAACACTTTTTCAAAATCACCCCTACTATAATATAAACCATCCTCTACCACAATATAAATTGCCCCTCTACCTACATCCTCAACCTTGATAATATAAACCACCCTCAACTTACATCCTCAACCTTGCTCCCTTCATAATCCTCACGAAAACAAGCTCGTACTGGAATCTTTTCAGTGTCGTTCTTTTCGTTAGGCGATGGCGGTGTTCCATTGTAAGCGTCTGAATCGGAATGATCAGTCACTATCGACAGGTCGGTTTCTACCTTCGACGTATCTTGGAAAAGTTCTTCAATCTCCGCCAAGTCTGGGCAGTCCACGTTGAGGTTATTCTTCAGATTGGTTAGGACTGAAAAGTTCAATAGTTCAAAAAAGTCTAATTTCAAAAAAAATTTTTAAAAACATTTAAATTTCAAAAACCAAAATCCAAACCCCCTACTTTGCTGCCGTTTCTGCACCGTACTCTTCATTTTCCCATCAGAATTCGACTTGTCAGTCCCAGGAGCTGTAGATGATGGTGAATTACGACCTTCGGTTGATGTAGAATCCCCACTTTTATCTTCTTTCCTACCTTTACTCTTGTTGTTGTTGACATCACTAGTCTTGCTTTTCCCTTTCGCAGATTGAGCATGACTAAAATCCGAAGTAGATTTCGAAGATTCCGAATCGGATGGGCTTTTGTCGCCTGAAATCCAAGATTGAGGTAACGTTTTCTTCGAATTTTGCGACATTCCAACGAAATTTTGGCTGCACGTTCGGCCGACCGGTAGAAAAAGAATACAAGAAAATGAAAATGTCGAAAAGCATGAAAAATTTAGAGTATGACCAAAGAAAAACTAATCCAAAATGACCCAAAACATAAAAAAGAACCACTCAGTTAACACTTCCATGGTTAATATAATTTAAATCAATGTGGATTGTTTTCGAAAAACTACCAGAAAGTTGACATCGTAAAAGTTAGCCAAGACCTCTGAGCAGCTTTTAAGAGTGTTAACGTGAAGTTCCGACCATTTTTCCAAAAGTTATAACAATTTTTAGCAGCACAAAACCAAGAAGAAGTCTCAAACAATATATCATTAAGCGAAACACGTCCTTCAAAACCTTCTAAAACTTATATAAAACATCTCACAAGCCTAAACCATCAAAAAATATTCATCCCTGCTTTCCTCCACGATCTTCTACATCTTATTCTCTCAGATCCAAGCCTAAAACCGTAAAAAAGCAACAAAATAACTTACTTTTAACCAATTCCAAGCTCTGATCATACTGTTCAGCCTATCTTCATCATGTTACCATAACTTTACGTTATTATTAGCTCTTGTTATCTTCTCTTTATTTAACTTTGATCAGTTCTTACGCCAGAAGTTCTTCAAAATAAATAATAGTTTTGCGCATGCTGCGGCCGAACGTTAGAGTATTGCGCAGGCTGCGGGTCTTTTTCTACCTTGACCGTATTGAAACTATGTTTTTTGTTGTTGTTAGTATCCTTTCGACTATTTAGAACCTCTTTCAAGTTTCAAGGTATCCTTGAAAACAAAAAACATTAGTTGTTTGTTTTTTTGGGTTGCGAAAAGTGAACCTATTTTATTTTGACGTGAAGACATTACAGAGTAAAAGGGATGTGTTTGAATGGAAAAGTTAAAAACGGCTGCAAGAAAAGGTAAATAAGCGTTTGAAAAAGTAAAAATGCGATGGTTTAATAGTAAGTGTTTTAAGTTTAGGCAGTAGAACTTGGTTTTAGCCAAGAAGAATGACATTTTTATCACTTTTTGATGTCTAAATTGCCATTTTTATCATTGTGCCTAAAATAGCCTTTTTCAAGGTGCAGCTTAACTTTTATAGCTTTACAAACCCTTTTCAATTTAAAAAATTCATTTATCAAGCTATGATAGATTAAAGAGACAACATGTGTTTCAAAAAAGTTAACTTTTTCAATTAAAAAAGCTCAAGTACTAATTTTTAACGTTACTTTAGATATTAAAAATACCTATAATGCAATTTTTAGATTGTAAAAAGTACTGGTTAGTGGCTGTTATTTGCTCTTTAGTTCTGATATTGAGTTTGGCACAAAATGAGGATGGCGACGCTAATTCAGTTCATCACACTGATAAAAATGGAAGTTTTGGTAGGGTTTTGCCTTTATTTTGACTAAAATCAAAATTTTTTTTGAAAAAATGTTAGTTTATTTAAATATTTGGTTAAAAAAAGCTATCTAAATATATAAAATACGGGCGCTAGGACGAATGCGGTTTTTGGACATTTGCGGATCTTCGGTTTTTGGACACTTGCGGATTTTGGACATTTGCGGATTTTTTAAAGGTTTTTTTAAATTTTTTAGTTAATTTATTTGTAGTATGGTACTAAATTGTACGAAAGTCTAAATTGGTGCGGTTTTAACATAACAGTACCTTTTTGGGCTTTTAGTACCATTCAGTACCAAAAAATATAAAACAGTACCAATTTAAAATTTAGTACTATTTAGCACTAAAACATATTAAAACAGTACCAATTTAAACTTTAGTATCATTTAGTACCATACTACAAATAAATTAACTAAAAAAAAAAAAAATTCCCTTTAAAAAATCCGCAAATGTCCAAAATCCGCAAGTGTCCAAAAACCGAAGATCCGCAAATGTCCAAAAACCGCATTTGTCCTAGCGCCAAAATACGATACTATTAGGTGCCGACATAAAGAACCCGCCATACTTTTCATGTAATTTCCTGTCAAAAATGGCGGGTTCTTTATGTCGGCACCTAATAAAATACTAAACCCAAACTTCCAGACGTGCCATTTAAATTCTTTGAAGAAGTAAAGACCAAAGTAATTCGAAATGTGGACAAAAATCATATGGTTACTCAGCTGTTCCTCGAAGACTTTTACAATATGACAATATCAACCGTTCATCTACAAATGAAAGAACTTACTTCGAACTTGGCTTTAGTGTACCAGGGGGAAGAGTTTGTGCCTTTTTATCATAAGTGCATTCAGAATGTCAAGAAGTTGGCGCCAAATTTGAAAAAAGTTCATTTTGGAGAGGCTAGGAATGCTGTCGTTATTGGTGATAATGTAAGTCATTTTAATGGAGTTTAAAAGGCTTTTATTTTGTAAAATACGGTATTTGTGCTCCTTTAAAAAGGTTCCTTAAAACTGACTTTAAAATTTTCTTTTTACATGTTGTAGTAAAAATATAGTAATAGAATATTATAAAAAGAATATCAGAAAAGTAATGTCGTTTTTACGTGTGCAAATACATTTACGTAAACGACAAGACTTTTTAACATTTTATTAGGTTGTTCAAATACATCTGTGCGCCTCTTAAAGCAAATCCTAAGGACTAGGGGGCTCAGAATTATATGAACAACCTAATATAATGTATTAGCTTTTTTAAGAACGGTTATATCTCCAAAAGATGACTAATATGTTTTAGCTTTACGAAGGTTTAAAATCAGAAGTGGACAAACTGAAAGAAGATGCTGCTAAACTAGAAGATCTGTTCCTTGAACATGGCGTTAGCATAGTCGACTTTAAAATGGTAACAGAAGTCGTCATAAAAGATGTAGTAAGTGCTTTACAGTTTTTTATAGGGTTGGTGAGGGTAAATGAGGGCATGTGAGGGTAGTTGGGGAAAGATGAGGGTAGCTGAAGGCAAGTAAGCGAGGTGAGGATAAAGGAGGTCAGGCGGGGATATGCAAGGATAAATGAGGGTAGTTGGGGAAAGGTGAGGGTAAGTGACAGTAGGTGAATCAAAGTGAGGGAAAATGAGGGTGGGTGAAGTTTTTTGACTGTAGATAGCTATAGTTCAGGGTAAGTTAAGGTAAGTGAGGGTGGGTGAGAGTTAGGTTGGGCAGGGCAGGTAATGAAAGGTGAGGGTTGGGTAGGAATGCTGAAGAACAAGGAGGGTAGATGAAGGTAAATGAGAGTGTAAGTAAGAGTACGTGAGGGAATAGTAAAGTAGGGTAAGTTAGTGTAGGGTAGTGTAAGGTAAAGTAAGGTAGGGTAAAATAAGATAGGGTATGATAGAGTAGTAAAAAACTTATTTCAGGCTCTAAACATCACCGAGCTCAACGATGTTTTTGATTCAAACTCAACCTCAGAATTTGCTCAAGTTTATGGTTTTGTATCTAATACTACGCTCAAAAATGTCACTCTACAACAACATTATGTTTTCTCTTCATCGAAGCTATTCAATACTCCAGAAGACATTACAAAATATAAACTGCTACAAAATGAACTAATGAATTCAGACAGATCAAGGATAAGATTAGAAGGAAGATTGCCATACCAATGTGTACGACCAATAATGGCTAGCTCTATTATATGTTTGGCTAGCCCTGAACGACTTATGGTGTCGAAACGAGAAGAAGATGGAAGCCAGATTCAGTTTTGTTGTGAATTCATGTAAAACATATGTTGTAATTTTTTACTGTAACACACCATGGTTGTAATATGGTAATAATATCTTAATAAACATAATAAATTTATTTTCTAATACTTTCTACTAAAAGACACTAATAATGTAACTTCTAATAAAGCTATTTCTAAGCCGCCTTGACGGTAGTAGCGGCCGCAGCAGCACCAGTAGTCTTGGCAGCGGAAGTGGCACCAGTTCCAGATGGAGTTTTAGTACCGGCTTTGGCTGGGGCTTTGTGAGCTGGAGCTTTGTGGGCTGGAGGGTGGTGGGCTGGCTTCTTACCGCGGTTCGCGGCTCCTGAAAGATCATGGTGTATATGATATTATTCAAAGAAAAGTCAAGGTTTAAAATTTTCATTTTTTTCAATTTTTCAAGTTCAAATTGAACTTACCAAGAGCAGTGACAGCCAGAAGAGCCAAAACAAGAATGATGAAGAATCTCATATTGGAATGGACAAACAATTTAATGAATAATATGGTTATTGCTGATTTTCCTAGCCTTTTTATACTAAATTATGTAAACAGATTTACATATTGATTATAAACTAGTCTTGGAACTCTATATTGTTTATTATTCTTTCTTCCCGTCTATTGTTTTGTTTACAAGAACTACAGCGTATTATAGGATTAACATAAGTTGCACTAAAGATCACATGAAACGTGTTAGTTAATATAACAACAAATTACTATGTAGATCTTAATAAGATAAGTAGTATAAAAAGCTAAACAACTAGTGATGACAATACCCTTGATAGACTTGTTTGTCCATTCCAATATGAGATTCTTCATCATCCTTCTTTTGGCTCTTCTGGCTGTCACTGTTATAGGTAAGCTTATTATAAGGCTGCTCAGATAATCCTGTGCTCCCTCTCAAAACAATTTTTTAGAGTTAGAAGCACAGAATTAAATGAACAGCCTATTAGTATCTCTTTTTTATTTTTACCTTGATTTTCTTTGAACTTATAAATTTTTTACATCGTTTTTAAAATTTACAGGAGCCGCCCACCACGGTAAGAAGCCAGTCCACAAGAAGCCAGCCCACCATCCCCCAGCCCACAAAGCTCCAGCTCACAAAGCCCTAGCCAAAGCCGGTACTAAAGCTCCATCTGGAACTGGTGCTACTTCAGCTGCCAAGTCTACTGGTGCTGCTGCGGCCGCTACTACCGCTAAGGCTTCTTAATAAGTCGTTTAGTGTGTAATATATTAGCTTTAGGCTTAATTTGTGATAATTTTTGTTTACGAAAATAAAACTTTTACATTTTAAAACCCAGCTGGTACTGCCGTTACTCATAACAAGTTTTAAAACTGTTGCTGCTGCAAACGCTATATTAGTGCGCTAGGCCAGAGTCCTAGCAAAGAGCCCTAGCCTCCGTCTTTGCACTAACCATAGTCCAGATCCCTACCCAGAGCCCTATCCCTTTTCCTAGCTCAGAGATCTAGGCTAGAGCCCTAGCCCAGAGCCCTTGCCTAGAGCCCTAGCCTAGAGCCCTAGCCCAAGCCCTAGCCTAAAGCCCTAGCCCAGAGCCCTAGCCCTGAGCTCTAGCCCAATTCCAAGCCTCAGCCCCTTCATGTTTTGCAGAATGTTTTCAAAGTTTTTAAACACGGTAACAAATTTAACTCCAGCTGGCCATGTGCCAAAAATAGGAATTGTCGCAAAAATTTGCCATTTCAAATTGATTCCTTCCGGAAATTTAATGTTTTTCGAATTTAAAATGCACGTAAAAGAAACCTCTTGAAATGGTTTGTCAACGTCTTTGTCACCACTTACTCGCGTTCCCTTCGCTATTTCTAACCTTCAGGATTGAATTTCGAACAACAAACAGATTCGGCCGAAAGGAACTCCAATCTGACGTCCAATTAAAAAGTCAGTCTTTCATACTTCTGGACTAACTATTGTGGTGGGGGTTTTTATTGGGTAGAAAACGCGTAAAAAGGCATTTGGTTTGGCTTACAAGGAAAGTACCCAACCTGCAACTCTCAGAATTAGCTAAAATTTTTTATACGGATTCCTTGTAGTACCATTAGCACATATAAAAAATCTTAGCTTGCGGTTCTAAGTTTTAAGATCAATATATTTAAATTTCCCGCCAATTTGGCAAATTTGGCATTGTGTTGCAAGCACTTTTTTTGATGTTCCAGTCAAGATAGGCTTACAAATTTAAAATTGCAGGTTCATTTGAAGCTTTTCTATAATTATATCAAAGAAAAATAGTTAAAAGTCAAACAATGAGAAAGTTAGAAGCTTGAAACACTATGCTAATTTGGCGGGAAATTCAAATATATTGATCTTAAAACTTATGCGATTTTTTGATTTCAATTTTCTCAAGACTGGCCGCAAACCGCAACTTAGAATTTTGCTTGAGATCTTACATTAACGTGACCTTTCAATTTAATAATTTTGAACGAAATCTGAGCGTTGCAGGTCGGGTACCTTCCTTGTTAGTAATGCTAGACTAGGTAAGCTTAATCTAGTTAGGCTTGTAAATCGTTTTAGGCTCTTTTAGCTTTGAAAAGAAAAGGCTAGCGAAACTTAAGCTCAGAAGGTTAAGCGCTTTTAAACGGACTAAGGCTAAGCTTATGAATTTGGTTAAGGCTAAACCTAAAGCTAAGGCTCAGGCTCAGGCCATTGCCAGGGCCAGGGCCAGGGCCAGAGTCAGTGTCGGGCTCAGGCTCAGGCTCATACTCATGCTCTTGTTCATGCTCATTTTCATGCTACAACTCAGTTTAAAGCTACAGATGTAACTTAATTTCAATTTTGTGCCCGTAGGCGTTTTTATGTTCAAAACGTGTAAAAATTCAAAATTGAAATCTAGAATCTGTAGCCTTTGTGAGTTTTGTTCGAAAGTCAGTCAATATTGTCACAGCTGTATCGCAATATGCCTCGTTTTGTTCAATCACAATTGACCACTTGAACATCGTTTTGTTACATGTTATTGCACTTCAAACGCTGTAATTATTCTCCTGGTTTCGTTTTCACTTTGATTTTTGAGATTGTATGTTTGTCTACATGGCATCCACTTCCGTGTTAGGTATTGGCATATTCTTAAGTTTTTGAAAAATTTTTGGATTTTTGTGGCTAGTCGCGTTTGGTATACCAAGTCTTTTATATAACATATTTGACGATAGTAAACGGCTTCTTATGGCAATTGTAATAAGAGTTTACTGTATAGTAATAGACTTATATATTTTATTATATAATTACTTGTAATAGTTACCTTTAGACATGATACCCCCAGAGTACGACTATGACAATGAAACTATTATTTTAGAAGATGATGTTGAACATGAAGTGAGTATTTTAAAATTATTAAGTATATGTTTATAAAACTGATATGCAGTCAAACCCCTTTAGTATGACAATCAAAGGACTGCTCTAAACTTGTCTTTATCACTAGGGTGTCACAATATTTAAGCCAAGCGTTTGGGATAGAAGTCCTCTTACAAAGAGTGGTAAGGAAGCTGTTATAACAAAGAAGTTGTCATTCTGAAGAGGGAGCCACTCTATCGAGAGTCGTGCTAAAGATCTTTCACTGTATATCTTTTGTATTTTGCCTTGTTTTTCATATAAAAATAGTGACTTGAGCTTAATATAGATTTGTAAACGAGCCGGGCCCCACCTTTTCAGCCCGCTTTTTTTCGTATTTGCTAGAGTTTAGAAAAGGCCGAGTTAGCTCTCTTCCAGGTCTAGCTAAAAGTTTTTAATTGATTTAAAATATTTCTTTTAGATAACACACGAAACACTTATAGCATGGTTTTGTGTGTTCAGCTACGCCATTTCAACCATTCTTTGTGTTATATCTTTGAGGATTTTTAGGCATTATCAGTAAGTTTTTAAATATAATTTTATAAATGACATTTTTTCTAAAAGGAGTATGTTATTATCAACTTTTGCTAGGTTAAGAGAAGAAATTTGAAGGGTAATAAAAGAGAAAGGCAAGAGTAAGACAAAAGTAGCGCAAGGGTAAGGCAAGAATAAAGCAAGAGTAGGGCAAAGTTAGGAAAAGGGTAGAGCTAGATTCGGGGCAAAATTAAGTTATGTGTAAGGCAAAGGTAAGGCAAGGGTGGGGCAAGAGTAGAGCAAAAGTAAGGCAAAGACAGAGCCAGAGTACGGCAAGGATAAGGCAAAAGTAGGGCAAGAGTAGAGTAGAGTTAATGTAAGAGTAAGGCAAGAGCAAGAGTAGAGAAAAAGTAAAGCAAGTATATGGTAGGTTAAAAAAGTATATTTGGTAAAATACGGGCGGTATACCTTTTTTCAGGAAACTATGGTGTCTCCGCAACCTAATCCACTTCAATTTTATATTATGTATAGTAATTCACAATATGGCATGGTTGACAGCCTTGTTCAGTAGTTACTTCGGAGCCTACAAATGTGTGATAACCTTCATTTTGTTTGAAGTAATCAAGTTCTGTGTAACATCAATCTTCTGTTGGATGTTGGTTGAAGGTGTCTATCTGTACATGAGTGTAATGCATTGTTTACATGCCTACAAAGTAAATTACTTCGCATGTGCATCGATTGGCTGGGGAATACCGTTATTATTGACTGGTAGAAAATTGGCTACCTTGGGTTTACAGGAGCTAGAGGATATACTGAGGTAAATTTAATTTTAATTAATTTATAAATAATTAAAAAACATTTTTTTTATATTTTTTCTATAAACTTTTTGACCAAGACGGTAAAATATGAAAAATTGATAGTATAACTTTACAAAATTATTTCTCTATTTGATTTTTTGCTCTTATAGAAATTACGAGATTAAAATTCAAAAAATTGAGTTTTCATAGCGAAGTGTCACAAAATTTACTGATTTTTTTTAAATTTAAAATTTTATCACATTATTGTTTTTATCAGTTAAGAAAAGTCTTTCAAACATTTGATTTGTAAGGCTTACTACTTTTTGTGTTTAAGTTACTCAATATCGACTTTTGTTGCGAAGTGTCATAGAAATTATAAACTTTTTCAAAATCTAAAATTTATAAAATAATTGTTTTTACTAGTTAAGAAAAGTGTTTAAAATAGTTGATTTGTAAGTCTTACGGCTTTATGAATTTAAATTGTTTAATAAACCCAATTTGTTGCGAAGTGCCACAAAAATTACTGATTTTTTTCAAAATCTAAAGTTTTATAAAATTATGTTTTTACTTGTCAACAAGCCTTCCAAACATTTGATTTATAAGCCTTACCACCTTATTGATTTAAATTACTATATATTAGCATTTGTTGCGAAGTGTCACAAAATTTATTGTTTTTTTCCAAATTTTATAAAGCTTTGTCAAACTTGTTTTTATGAGTTAAAAGTCTATTTTAAAATGAAAAACAGATAAATTTTGTCTATTTTAAATGTCGACCTTACTGCAACATTCATTTCAGATGCTTTTACATTGATGAATCATTGGACACATGGTCAGTATATCTGATTATAGGCATTATAATGGTAATTTTTATTTTGGATTTGGTATATTTTAGTTTTTTTTGTTGATATATTACTGTAATTTTCGAAAATGCTTTTAAAATTCTATAATATTTTGAAAAAATTTTTTTTTTAATTGAAAAATTTTTAAATAATTAATATTGTTTTAGATAAACCTAGTCATTTTGTTTGTAATAATCTACGTTTTGTTTGCCAAATTTCGAAAAGTGGAGCAGAAAGAGTGGAAGACGATTAGAAATCTTCTCCGTGCTTTGCTATTCCTTTGCCCTTTGCTTGGGATCAATTACTTGTTTACATTGTATCAACCACAACACCCGGAATGGCTGGCACAACTCATTGTTTACTACACGTTGGCTGTGAATTCGACACAAGGAATCTTCATCTCCATTTGTTTTTGTTTTTACAATGATGAGGTAGGTTAATATAAGGTTTTTTGAAATTTAATGGTTAAGAGGGGGGAGGGTATGGTAGATTAGCAGTAATGCTGGGACAATGATAGAAAAAGGTACGACAGAGTCGAAGCTTGAGTAAAACAAAATTCGGAGCTAGGAGTCCGGCTAAGACTAATTGTTGTAAGGCTAGCATTAGAACTAGGGCTAAAGGTAGAACTAAACTATGACTATGTATTAGGGCCCTGGGCTAGGGCTAGGACTAAGTCTAGGTGTAGGTCTACGTCTAACACTAGGGCTAAGCTTGGACTTTGGGCTAGGGCTAAAGCTAGTCCTTATGTTAAGTTACAGGACTTTTGGCTAGACTAGGTTTGGGATGACTAAGACTAAGGTACGGTAAAGCAAAGGCGAGGGTAAGCCAAGACTTGGTCAGGGATACCTTAGAAGAGAGATGCCCCTAATGGCCTTGATCTCAAAATTCAAAAAGTTTTTTTGTAAAATTTTTAAAATAAAATAATAATAAATTGTAAAATGACATTTTGCAGGTTCGATCGTGCATTTCCCGTTCAGCACGACAAACATATTACTCATTGTCAGTACGCGTACACGAAATTCGACGCAAAAGTTTGGATGGAAGTCAGATGACTTTCATAGGCAACGCCTAGTGACATTATGTCTATGAAAATGTTTTTCAAAACTAAAGTAATAAATTTAAAAAAAATTTATTTGATATTCTGTGACGTTTCTATTAATAATATTATACTAAGTATACTAACAAGGAAGTTGTACAGTAACATTCCTTGTTGAAATTTAGAAAAATCTGGGTTTAATGAATGTAAATCAAGGTTTCACTAGACTTTTAGAATGAAAACGGAACTAAACTTCGTTGTCAATACAGATTAGTATGCAAAGTTTTGTTTTTCTGTTTATGTTAGGTTGTTCAAATAATTTTGTGCCTCACAACCCCAAAAATTTGTTTTAAAAAGGGGCGCAGAATTATTTAAACAACCTAATCAGTCGTATTATCCACATTTTGAAAGCACATAGTAGTATAATACATAAATTGATAGTAGTATATAAACCGACAAACATTATTTAATAGAACATTGATTGAGTGGTTTTTTCAATAGTATTGTTGCACTGTTATTAATTAATTATTGTACTATTGATAAAGCTTTAATAGTAGCTTGTTGTTTTATAATAGCTATGAAGTGTTATATTGTTATTGCCTTTCTTTTGTTCAATGTAGTTTTATGTAAGCTTCACTACAATAAAGAATTGCTACAGAACACTAAAATAGCTATACCTTCGACAGTTTCAAATAATATTGGACACAAATCAATAAAATCAGCAGAGTCGGCAGTAAGAGCCAGAAGATCTCAAGTTCCGATGATAGTGTATCCATCTTTATTAATTGAATTTTCGTAAATAAAATGATTAGTGTATTGTACTGAAGGCAGCTGTTTTGATTTACCAATTATGGTGTTTTGGCGACTATCAGCGTAGAAGGTGCTTATTAATTTTATAATATGTTATGTTGACTCATGCTGTTACGAGCAGATGTAGAGTTTCATGGAAAGTCAAGAAAGCCACAAATTAGCCCAAAACATACGAAAAAGACCTTACCGACACCGCCGCATGGATTCAACTTGCGTTATTGTAGGCGTAATCGCGCTCACTACGACTTTTCAATAATAAATTAGATTAAAGTTAGTTTTATACCACTTTTAATGTCGTTATAGGGGTGTTCGTTATACAGCAGTTCAACTGTATGATAAGGTATTTTTAAAAAAAGGCTGTGCAAGGCTTTAACTAGTGTTTTACCGGACCAGTCCAAAATTTTTTTTTGATTTTAATAAAACTGTTTTAAAAATTGCAATTAAAAATATTTTCAAAAATTTTTAAGCAAAACGAAAGGTTTTAGCGCTTCTTGCTTTTTTAAAAATATTCTTTTTGCGGACTTGACCGGACCCAAAAATTTGAAGTTTGGACCGGCCCGAAAATTGCAGGACCTGACCGGTGAAAAACGCCCGGACCGGTCCGGGCAAAACACTGGAATTAACCAAAGCTGCTTTTCGCGGATTAGGTAAACCACGTATTGAATATTTTTTGCAAGAAAATCCTAAAAATATTTTTGTGACGCGCAAGCGTTGGCTAAAGCTAACTGCATCAGTTTATCGCTGAAATTGCCTCACTGAATGGCCACTTTTTTATCCTTATTTTCATTATGTTTCGTGTATTTGTTGTTTAGCGTGGCAATGTTTCCAATGTGCATTTATGCTCGCGTACCTTTATTGTCAAATGGGCTGTAACTTTTTTTCTTATGTTAAACTTTCGTTTGCACAGGCGTTACTCGTTAGAAAAATTAACAATTCAATGCACAGGCGTTACCAATAGAAAATTAACAATTTCAATATTATTTAAGGCTAACATCGGCTTATTGCTAGTTTTTATAAGGTATTTAGCAGAACCTGCCAACTTTGTCGCTCATTAAAAACGCGCCAACTACTTGTATATTACATTTGTGTCTTCCTTCGTAAAATCGTAATTTAACGGTCGTAGCCAGACTGATTACTTTTAATTTTTAGATACATAACTCAATATGCAATCGACGAAATCGGTGCTTACAGAGAATGCCATGGGATATTTCATGGAAGAATTTGTTGGTAGCCGGATGTATAAGATTTTATACCGCTTTGACAAAAGGATGTTTAGAGCATCCGCTATCAACAAAAAGTGCGCAAGATTACTGAATGAAGTAGTGAAAGTGAACAAAATTAGGTTGGAAGTCTATACTGAATTTCCTAGACAACGTAAGTGAACAGTTTCTCATTAAGTGATAGTTCGATACTAAAAAATTTTAAAAAATGGTAAAAAAGAAAGTAAAAAGCTTCCCATTGGCAATTAATAACTGGCAACTGGTTATACTGTGTGAAGCAGCGTAAACCGTGGCATCCGAATAACTGGTTAAAATTGCCAAATAAGTATTTGAGTCTACAACAATATTTCAAAATTAATAATAATTTTGTGTTTTCAGCCGGCCTTCGTATCCGTCTGCGTTCGGACAGTCACCCGGACTTTTGTTATGATGGAAAAAATTTTACCAACTACCTCTACTGCATATTTTTGGGCAAAAGTTTGCTTGAAGCCCGCCAAACTAAAATTTTGGAGATAGAATTGCACGCACCTAGTAGTCCAGTAGAATTGGATTCCTTAAAACAGTTATCTGCATGTGGTCAAATGGTGGCTGATGTATTTTCAAATTATGAAATTCATCTCGAGTGCCCATCAGAAGGTCCCGCAAAGTTGTTTAGTCAAAGAGCTTCGTTCTACACACCTTTCATATCCCAGGTTCGACGTCTTGTTGTAGAACGAAAACTCCTTAAATACTTTGCTGGACTTGCAGTAGATTTTTTGGAAGTGAAGAGTCGTTTTGATACTACAAATTGGGGTAGGTTGATAAACATTAAATCATTATACTAATGCAAAAAATAGACATAATGTAATGCTATTGTCATAAGAAATACATGTATTTGTTGGTCTTTTTCAATTTTTTTAGACTTTGGATCACTATTCAATATCAACGCGAAGACCTATCAATGTTATCTTTTCAAGCTGCATCATTTTTGTCATGGAGGGTAAGTTTTTGTAATCTTTTGTACAATTAACTATTACATGAAATAGGGTAGTCATATTTTAAGCACGGTAGGGTTGAGTAAATGGTGACATAAGAGGATAGGAATTTTACATTCTAAAAAATGGTTTGAATATACTAAGAACAAATGAGAATGTTATTTTGACGTTGTTGTATGTTTGTAAAAACAAAATTTTCCAGTTTTGAAATCCAACCGCAAACAAAAGAATTTTATTGCAACATGGACGCGAGTGTAAAGACGAGCGATGTTATGTTAAAAAACATCTTAACATCAATTGAAACGACAATGCCAAACTTGAATCTACTAAACCTTTACTTCTTTGTGAAGCCTTCAAGTGCACATCGAGACTGGACTGAGGTAAGACTAAAAAATTAAATTTTAGTGTTTATACATGTACATCGCAAAAATTTTAAATTTATTGTTTGTTTGACAAATTGAAACTATTGACTCGTTTTCAGAAATACACAAAAATGACTAACAACATCATAAACACGATTAATTTCATGGCCGAGCATGCTCGTTTCCCAATCATGATACGTGGTAAAATTGTTGTTGCAAACCGAGATCGCGATTTAATAGTTGGACTACTGCAAAAAGAATTTCCTACAATGACGAAGTTCCTACGCTACTATAATAATATCGGAATGGCGTATCGTTGTAACGATGTTTATGTAAATTTAAATTTGCCCAAGTATTAAAAACAAATAAACAAAAAGTTTTAAAACCACATTTTAGTCATTAAATATAAATTTTAAAAACTTGAGGAAATTCAACTATTTGATAATAATATTTTATAGTTCATGAAATTTACTCGTGCATGAGCTCATGATAAAGATACTCACAAACAATCTTATGACAAAAATGCCCATGAAAAGTAAAGTAGAACCTGGACACAACAGTCTTAACTTTTATAAGCAGTTCATGGAAAATTACTATTATCAGTTTATTAAAACGATTATAACACCAACATCAATATAACAAAACATAAACGTAAAATGTTTCTGACATCCATATACACCGTTTTTAGTCAAATTAGAAAGACAAAACAATTAGCTTAAAGCTTGAAAACATTATTTTACATAATTATTAAATACAATTCCAAAAATCAGACTTAAACAATGCTAAACAGTTAATGGAAACTTTAAAACTACCATTTAAACCCTTATGAACCAAGTTATTTTATAACAATGCCTCTAAACTTCAGAAAATATACACCAAAAGAAGTTACTGAGCCAAAAAAAGTTCAAAAAACAAATTTTAATAGCTATAAAAACCAATATATAATAACACATCCTGCTTTTAACTTCGCATAGAAACAGTCATGAACAACATACACCTTGCCTCTACATATCCAAACTTTCTCTCCAATATACAAAGTTCTTTGTTGTCATTCTTCGGAGATTCGTAGATATTTCCAAACTTTTCCTTGAACAGCCTGTAGACTTCATCAATGTACCAATCGTCAAAAACAAAGAATTTGGCTAATACTAAGATGTCAGCGTTTTTGTTGTGCTTGGCTATTTCCTTGAAGTTTGTCACAATGTTGTCGATCGTTTCCATATAGGACTGAAAAGTAGTTTTTAAATAATTTTTTGTTTTTTTTTCAAAAAAAAATTTTTTTTTAATTATAAGTTAAGACCCTACTCCTGCCATTAAAAATAGTCCTACCTTATCCTAGCTCGATAAAAACCTTCATCTATCCAAGGCATACCCAATATTTATTTTAGCATAAGCTTCCACTACCTCTGGCCAAAGTATCCAAGTCTCACCAATGCTCAACCCTGCCCTACCATCGTAACCCCATAGCCCTGCCCTAACCCAGATAACATCATAACCTACTTTGGACACACTTCCATTGACTTTTTCGTAATGTTCCGTTCTATCAGCAACATTCACGGTGTATTCAGAATCGTATGTATTGATGTTCTCCACTATTGGCATGTATTTGGTGATCACTTCGAAGACCTTCTTGTACAAGCCTGTCTCTTGTTTTTGAGCTAAATTGATAGCACACTCCATGACGAGAACTTTCGACTCTTCGAAACTGGAACTAAACCTATGAAAAATATTAGTGTTCAAACTAACATAATATTCAATTTTTAAAACGGATTTTGCTCAGTAAAATAACGGATACTAACCTTTAAACGATTTGATATCCAAAAACACATTTTCAACCAACGTTTTGCTAGCTTTTACGCATAACAAGTCCAAACTATAATCAAAAGATCCTACTTACCCGCCTTCAACAAAGTTTTCCAAGCTGAAACACTGTGAACATACAATGACATTCGCGATAATGCGGAATAAAGCGCTAAAGTCTGAAAATAAAACAATTAATGACATTAGTAGTCAACAACAGTAAAAACATTCAACCTATTCAGGCCATACACAAGCTATACATTATCATGACCTACCTCTAGCCAAAATAAATAAACCTAAAACTCAATTACGAAACCAAGTAACAAAATTTAAACATTACAAAACCTATTCTGATTAATAGTATCCGTGAGATTCCAAAATATTCAAAAATTATGCCAAGATTAAGATAAACTTATCCCCAGTAATATAAAACAAACCCCAGTCCCGTTCATTGCCATTGACTCTCAGAACTCCAATCTCTTTGCCTTCAAAGTACTTCAACTGTTTTGGGAAGCATTCTACGTCTTGGTACATTAATGGTCCTTCTTCTCCCAGAACCTTCACTTCCAAATCGTACGTTTTTGCCACTTTCAAATGAATCTCCATCTTTCCTGATAGCTCTGAAAATCACTATAGGTAGATCACGTTATTATCCAATTGTGACACAAAAAAATGTATATTTTAAAAAATTGTTATATATGTTAGTTTAAACAACAAGTAAGCTAACTTCCCACAAAATTTCCAGCTTTTATCTATCTTTACACAAAAGTTATGAGTAAAACCACATAACTCACCACTTTTCCTTACCTAAAACACTGAAAACTCTTTAGCTTACGTTACGAATAATGTAAAACTTCGCCAAATAGAAGTATAATAACAAAATATAACATCTTCAGCATCATACTAACATATTGACGCAAAGCCTTACCTTTTAAAACCTTTGCAAACGGTGCAAATTCAGCAGGCTGCAAGGTTAAACCTTTCAAATCCTTCATTTCAACGCAAGTTTCGACAGCCCATGGAGCAAAAGCTCTTTCTTTCCTCATCAAATGATCATATAACATATCCATATTGTCAACTTCGAATTCAGTGTCCATTTTGCCATAATGGGTAATACAGGTACCAAGAAAACCTGAAACAATTTAATACACTAAATCTTTAACCCAAAATGTTTTTTTTTTCTTCAAAATTCTTCGAAACACTAAAAAAAAGATGTTTGTTATCGTAAATAAAAGATTAGAAAACAAGAAAGTTGACAACAAATGCAAAATGACGTAAAACCCCACCTTCTGAATCCTTCGAACGCTTCAGAATAAGCTTGAGAGCCCTGATCCTTTCGTCCATATTAATTGCAAAGTTCGGCTAAAACATATAATAAACATTAGAAACATTAAAAAATCTATGAAAAGTTTTAAAACAAAACTTACATTCATACTTTCGATTGATCAAACTTGAGTTAATTCGGCCAATAAAATCAAGCGTAACATCGATAAAGCGAATGAAATAGCACCTAAAACTTGAATATACTGATAGTAACAATACAAAGGTGTCAATTGTTAAATGATACACGATTTTAAAATTTTCCAAACATAAATATTTACATATGTCAACGGTCGGACAAAAAATTGTAGATCTAGAATTTTCGTGACATGCGCCCGAAGGTGCGCAGGCTGCAACGCATTTTGTCCAACTTTGAAATTTATAGTTTGTTCGGACATTATATAAATTGACATTATATATATAGTTATTCTTGAAAATGTTTTTAAATGGTGGGATATTTTGATAATTGCTACCTTGGTATTGCTACATATATTAAATTCTTGCTTTAGTTGCTATTTTACTCAATTTAGCAATTTTACACTTGATTTTTTATCTTATTGGCTATTAGTAATTCTTCAATATTGGTAATTCTTCAGCCCTAATAACTCTTCAGTTTTGGCCTCTTTTGTGGTATCTTTTTAATATTACAGGGTGTCCCAAAAAATTTGCAGGATTTAAAAAATTTTTAATTCATCTTTGAGTGATGGCTGAAATACCAAACTTGGTACGGTGGAAGTATGGTCAATGTATATTTTTTGTAAAAAATTTTGGGTTTTAAAAGTGCATTTTAAATTTTTTATGAATTTGTAAAAAAATTTTGTTAATTTTGAGTAAAAAATGAGCCTTTTTGATGTTGGCAAAGGTTCGACGGAGGTCGGCGGACCCACCAAGGTATCGGCGAAGGCTATAAAACTTGCCTTAAAATGGTCGTATGACTTTGAAACAAAAATTACAGTGGAACTCCTGTATAACGAAACTCTCGTATAACGAACAACTTTTCATTCCCCGTCTACCATTGCACAGTGCGTTTAAAACTCTGGTATAACCAGTGTTTTGCCGGACCGGACGGACCGAAACAAAGACTTTTGCGGACCGGACCGGACCCAAAAACCTGCGGACCCGGACCGAAGAAAAAGCTCCGGACCGGTCCGGAAGAAATTTTTTTTTTTATTTTATTAAAACTGCTTTAAAAATTGCAAAGAAAACATATTTTTAAGTATTTTTAAACGAAAAGAAAGCAGTTTTAGTGCTCTTTGCTTTTTTTAAAAATAAAAAAAAATTTTTTGCGGACCGGACGTACCGGACCCAAAAGTTTTGGGTTTGGACCGGACCGGACCCAAAAATTTGAAGTTTGGACCGGACCGGACCCGAAAATCGCCGGACCGGACCGTTGAAAAACGCTCCGGACCGGTCCGGGCAAAACACTGGTATAACGAAAATCCTGTATAACGAACAAATTTACAGTTCTCCGAGCGATTCGTTATACAAGAGTTCCACTGTATTTTACTTTAAATAATATATTATTGCATTAAAAATTTTTAACCTAAATTTAAAAAATGGATTAAAGAGGATATATTATTTATTAACTATTTATAATAATATTTTTTACTAATTATTATCTTATTTCCACGTTATTACCGTGACCATTAATACAGGAACGCAAACGCCGTACAAACAAGTCAAGAATGATTTATTTTTATATTGTAATTATTTTTGCATAATTTTAATATTTGGTTATTTTACTTATTATTTTGATCGACAGTTGTTAAATGGCAAAACCAAGTGCGCCTTCACTATGCCTTGTTTTTAAAACCCTGCAGAAAAAAGAGCGAGGGAAAAAAAAGAGCCGGACATTTAAAAGCGAGTAAAATGTATGTCTTTTTGGTTGATTTTCGAAATGTTATTTATATATACGGTGTATTTACAATTAATTATACGGTAATTTACTTTGTCCGCGATTTTAAAAAATTTTAAATTTTTTTGAACATTGTTGCATATATTTTGAATATATATTTAATATAATACTTAAATATATAATATATTTAATATAATACCTAAGTATAAATGAATATAATACTTTACGAACAAAATATTTTATATTTTATACAATGGCATTTCAAGCTGAAATAATTTTATATATTTAAATACAGTTTAAACAAACTTGAATTATATAATCATTCGTTTGTTACATATATTACTAAACGATATATTGCTATTTGACATTGTGTATAATATAGTATAAGTGAATATTATGTATATAATTACATGAAAGTATTTATTTAACCTTATATATTACCATATATTAATTATATAATTTTAAATATACTCATATACTACTATACCATTAATATACTCATATATTATGGCCACAACTCTTGGTTTCGCCTTTTATCTATTATAGTTTTACTTTGCCTTTCATATATTATTGGTTTTGCCTTTAACATTTTTTACAATATATAAAAAAGTTTAAAGCCAGTCATAGCGGGCCAGGCACTAGTTAATAACTTGGTTTTGCGCTTTTTGCCGCGATTGCGGCAAAGTAAAGCCTCATCTATGAGGTCAAGCAAGAAAGAGAAGGATCTCAGAACATAAGATCCAATTTTTGGACGGAAGAAGCTTTTTAAATATGTCTTTGTTTTAAGGTTTTTGTCATTCGGGACTTGCTTTAATAATAATTAGATTTAAAAATTTAATTGATTTAAATTTTTGTCATTATTTCGGTATTTTATATTAACTTTTATTTTGAATTAAATTTAATTTTTTAATTTTTTAAAATACTTTTTATAGCTCAACTTTGACATTTAGAAATATATTTTACTCATTTTTACTAGTTTATGTTTTTTTGTTTTTGAGCAAATTAATTAATACAACAGTATACCGACAGTGCGTGTTTAACGCCCATTAGATCTGGTTTATTATTTGAATGTTAAGCTTGTTTAAAAGTATGGAATCTCTTGAAAAAAAGTAGAGATGGCTGTAATAGCTGGAGTTAAAATATCAAGAAGCTCTCTTGATATTTTATGTTAACTACTGCTTTAATAAATGATTGTAACTGTACGCTAGTAAAATGACTATACGGGCGGAGCCTGAACATCGGTATTTATTAAGACATTACACTTGTTTAGTAAAAAATGTTTCAACCATTAATAGTTTTTAAATGTATACAGTAATAATTGAACATGTAATACAGTAATACTTAAATATATTTTGTTTTTAGCTTCTATACGGTTTATATATTATATATAACACAAAATTTTTGTAAAATAATATATTACAGATATATTACCCTAGTAATAAGTGGCATAATTAGATATGAAATGTAATTTCTTGCAATACTAACGATAAAATAAAAGCAGACATTTCTGACTCTGAGCGCTACGAGTCGTTGATAAGAGTCACTACGGCTCCGATCGAGCGGATTGTGCCCTACTATCCTAAAGTTTTATCTTTGTGAAAAAAAGCGATTTCAAGTATAAAGTTTTGATCAGTCGTGACTAAACTCTGCTGTCAATAAAAGTGTGAATGAGGGCTTTTGGTTATAGGTTTGGCTTTGGGGGGGGTACTTCTAGGTTTTTTTAACGACGATGGAGCCACTTTCTGACACGTTAAGGTATCTGCTTTCGCGGCAGGTACCTTGTCGTGTTACTACGGTAGATCTACTTTGCGAGGATCCGCACTTGTACTTCGATAGTCGGTGCTATATATTGTCCCGCTGGCCAACGTCGCGCTAATTAACCAAATCAACGGCCGTAGCTTACTTTGTAGATCCATATTTATAAAGCATTACGTAATATGTGCTGATTACCCGGTGTTCGACTGACCGCCCGATTGAAGCCCTTGGAAATTAACTTAATATTGATTTTGGTTCTACTGTAGTCTACAGTTAGTTTATTACGTTTTTTTGTAACATAATACGCAACAGTATGGTATTATTATTTTCACAAAAAACAGCCATCCGTGTCGTCAACTGTTAACATCCGTTGGAACTCGGAGGGATAGAGCAGGAGGAACCAATCGGGTTCGGATGAAATTATCGCCAAGAAAGCCCATACATGCAAACGAGGAGCTGATGACGTTGAAAGAAGAAGGTTGTTGTGCGTTATGAAAAAGTTTGTTAATTATTGTAGGATATGTTCACAAGAACATTCGGCGGATCGGCATTCCTTCAATATGACAGTCGTGATGATCGTGAATACGGCGGTAATTTGCTTATTTTTTAAGCTGCAATAGAAAGTTTAGAAATTTTAAACTTTTTACCGCTTTTTCTTTTAGCGAAAAGAATGAAAAGTCTTATTAACGGCCGCTCATTACCTTTCTTGTTTGGTTTACGTTTTCCAATTTAAGAAGCAGGTTGTGTGATGGTTATAATACTGTAAAAGTACTCGCAAAAATCGGCGTAAAAATTAAACGCAAAGAAATCCGTACGATTTGACTGGTATACTTAGGTAAAAAATGTTTGTTAGACTCTGATTTTAATACCGGCTTTATTTAAAAAGTTGGGTTTTGTTTAAGCAAATTTGGCTATATCTGAACAAATTTGAAATTTTTCACGATATTGTGACATACACACAAAAAATAAATCGTATAGTCGTTTAGACGGAAAATAAACTGCAAAGAACTATAAACCAAGACGCCGTAAAAGAAAGGTGGGTTCAAGGCCCAGCTGAAAACCATTGGGGTCGCTGCTTGCATAAGGATTTGTTGAATGGCTACGTAAATATATACGATCCAGCGGTCAAAGACATAAAAAGAAATGGTCGAAGACTTACTACAGCAACATTTCCCGTTGCGTCTCCTTGTTGGAAACGTAACCCATGTTGGTTCCCATAGATCGGTACCATCTTGAATCATTCAAACATTGATTCTCTAGGCCGGAACGATTTTGATCAACTGTCGTATTTTGAAGTTTCCTATTCTGAAAAAACGAAGATACTATTGCTTATACAACTTCTGCCAAAAAGCTTTATCTAAAAACTGCTAATTTGTTCTATACCAATGTTAGAAGACTTATCAATAAATCCTATGTCACTAACCTGCTTACTAACCAAACTTACAAGATCCTAACTTTCACGGAAAATGGAAAACGGACGGGTTTTTGAGGCTCTTTATAATA